TGTTTGCAGATCTCTTCTTTCATTGACACAAATAGAGTGACAGTATTTGACTTCACTAAGTTTTCTCAGAGATGTTTGCAAAATACAACCTCCTAGACCCTTAAATCACAGCCGCTGCAGCCCCTTCATTTGTCATAATTTTGATGTTTTCTGCCTGACTTCCAAATCCCATTTTTCACTTTATTGTACCTTTGCCTCCACTTCCACCCAAATATGAGCAATTTGATCGTGAAAACAAATTCAGTCTCTCGTACAGCTGCAAAAAGCATTAGAGATATGGGGAGGAAAATGCTGGGGTAGTGCAGTCACTTCCCAAGATGTAATTGTGGGCTGAAACATCACTCTCACAAAGGCTGGTAGCAGGCCAAAAGTAGCCCGACAGGTAGTCAAACCCCTTGAAGCCCACGCTACAGCGAGGTTCATTCAAGTGCTGGAAATCAGAGCGAGCACCAGCAGAGCCGGAGTGGCTTAGGTTACATCTCCTGTCGCTGCAAGTCATTACAGAAAGTAGACGGACTCCTCTCGGCTCTGCATATGGTAAGTCCATTTCCGAGGTTGAATTACAGCGACTCAGACTGCTGTATAAACTCACAAACCATCAATCTTCCTCCAACAGGAGAAAAAAAAGAAAAAGAAGAAAAAACACTCTGGATTTGGTGTTTTAAAAAGAGCGAGCGCATTTGTCGGCATTATTTAAAGAGATGACTGGGAGGCAAAAATGCAAGTGATTGTGTCTTGTCAGAAGTGGCGTCTGAACTCTCCGAGGACCGGTCCCAGGACTTTGAAGTCTGGAGAAAGGTCTCGAGTCTTTGATGTCTTGGAAAAGATCTGGAGGCTTTCACTCCTCGCAAATACACAGAAGACTGAAATGTCAGAAACATGACGGCACAACAAACCGCAATTTCAGACACCTATATCATGTTTTGCCGCAGTGTTAGACACAGATCCTCTGTCAAGAATACTAAAAGATACTTCTCTTGTTATGCTCGCATATTTTTGTTGGATATTCAGTCGTTGAGAATATCAAATGGAGGAGCAGAAACACACTAGAGGCTGTGTTTTTGAAGTTTCCAGTCGTCACCCTCTAACCTTCAGAGGCTCTCCGGGGTATATACGATCCCAGCCTCTATATTATCCATAATGAATCGTCCCTTGTGTCTTCTTTTTTGGTGGTATCCTTCATCTGTGACCTTAGCCAGCCTCTGTGGCTTGTCCTCCAGTCAGATGGCAGACAGGGGGCCCAAATTCATCACCACCTTTCATTCTCCTCCCCTGGCCAATCTGATCTATGATAGCATTAATAAAACCCTGCTGCCGAACGCCCCGTCGCCCTCTGTGCCCTGCCCACTCCCAGCCTGCACAGATTACCACCAGCCATCCACAGCAGCCTATTAAAACTGTATTTACTTATCAGCCTCTCTGGGGCCGTCACTCTGTTTTTAAGACTGATGCCCTGAGGGGCGGCAAAGAGTGACCTTCCTAAAGCCTACAGTGCGCTAAGTCCCCGGTCCCCCATGATTCTGTTGACTAAACTCAACTGAAAGCCATCAGTCCCTCTCAAACAATACGTGAACGCTTTGACAACTCGGGAAACACAATCAGACTCAGAGGCTCGTGCTTATTATAGCAAATATAATCAAATTACATTGTAAATAATATTTTAGCTGTTATACTCATTCATTTTTATAAAAGGAAGACACTAACAGCAGCTCTTAGATAATCTTACTTTGGCCAAGATTGTCTAATTTTATCTTAGTTTAGCCTTATTATCCAACTTATATCCAACTACACAATATAAAATCACTATAAAATATCACAATAATTCATGGTTTGTCACGGTTTGTTGTTTATTTATGCTCAACCACCTCTATTCACTTTACCTCTATGATCAGTAAGCACTTATATGGGATTTCCCAGAGCGCTAAGTTTGCACGTGTGTAAATTCTGGGATGCACGGGGCATCATGGTGCTCCGGGTCATGAGGAGATCTGGTTTCAGGGCTGCCTCTGGATTCTACTCAACAGAGGGAAACATTTAGCCCAGATCAGTGCAACTGTGACTCACCCATAGATAGATGGACGCCGTCTGCCTCCTTCGCTGGGTGAAGCCACGGCAAGAACAGCACCCTCTGGTGACGGGCTGCAGTATAGGTCATAAATCCCACCTCCTCCAGCCATCCTTGTGGAGCTGTGGACAAACTTTAGAAATTAATTACAAAGAATATAAATTTTTCTGATGTTGACATGTAGTTACAGTCACATTGGTTTGTGCTCAAGTCCTCTTTTTTCTGTACAGCTCCATTTTTAAAAGTTATTAGGGGGTTCATGTTTTCTATGACTGACACTTGATACAGCCTATGGGGCGTATGAAAAGATTGTGTAGTTCACTCAGGAGATATGCTGGTTGAGCCGAGCATCATCACAGCGAAGTTGAGTTATCCAGAGTATTTACAGTCTATGGACAAAACGGAAACTGTAACATGGATTGCAGGACAAGATCTTTTACCATTTTCCTCCATCAGAGGTTGTTGGAGCTGCTCTTACAACTGCGCTAGGGCTGGGCGATATGGCCTCAAATCAATAACACAACATAGTATAGATTACAACTTTCTCTCCGTCCTCCATCTCCTCACCTGTCTTTCCCTCTTTGTTACAAACTGGATGGGGTGGAGTCACGTCTCTGACGTAGGACAGCATCTTAAAGGGACATGAGACCATAGCCTACCTACACACATCCAAAACAAACTTTTAATTTATTTATTTTTTTGAGATAACCGATATGGGCAAAATGATGTTGGTTATTGTCGTAAATTTCAGTATCGGTAAATTTTCCGTTTATCGCCCAGCCCTAATCTGTGCTCAGTTACAGTCATTAAAATCCGGCCTGAGATAAAAGCTGTCATTTATAAGAATGTAAGACACTTTAAGGAAACTGACATTTTTGCCATGGCGTCAACTGAGCTGGACTAACACCATATCTTCTGTGTGATCTGGTTGTTCTCATTGGAATTTATCAGTTTTGTGGTTTTTTACCCAAATCAGATTCAAATGTTCGACACGGCTGGAAATTAAAGGTTTTTAACGGGTGAAATTTGACGTTTTTCTTTGCTGTAAATGTATTTAACAATGCTATAGAGCTTATCATACTGTCAGTGGTTCATTGAATTACTGTGTTAACTGGAGCCAAGAGTTTCGAACCATTGTGGTCGAGTTGGCTTCACATGTGCCATTATATTTGACTGACAGCCGAGCGATCGCGATGGAAAAAAAACGGGACAAGGTGAACTCTCCTCATTCTTCCTCACACAGACAGTTATTTCTTATCAGCTCCAATGTGTCATGGTCTACTTTGGGTGTGCTTAACTCTCCCTGACCTTTAAAAAGGCTGATTATTTCCATCCACAATCTTCACTCGGCAATACGCTGGCAGCACAAAGGGATATTAGGCCCAGACCTTCTGGTCTGATAATTCAAACTCACTCTGTATAACTGAGGGAAACCAAACCACAATGCCCCGCCACTCTATTATCATCATCCCTCTGCCTTTAGCTCCACCGCTGGTATTAAATCACCTTTAACCTCCGAGCGTGCCGCTTTTTAGGGCTGGGAGAGTTCTGTGAATGTGCGTGTGCCTTTTATTACTTCCTAAAAGTGCTTAATATCCTTAGTAATTAACTCTCCTTTATGTTACACCCTCCCGGGACTCCGCTCTCTTTGCATAGTCAAGAGTATTTTGTAGCCGCCTAAATCTCCTCGGTGTTCGGAGACTCCCCTGACACCGCTGTTTGATAAAAATAGAGGGGATCCAGAGGGAGCCAACAGGTCTAAATGTTTAATAGATTTTTTATTTTACGTGTGATAATCTGGTAATCAGAGGTTCTGGGGGGTTACATCTATCAGCCAGGGAACAAATGAAAGTCTTATTGTGTCCCGCTTCCTTTCACCTCGGGAGGAAATGTGAACCAGATAAATGATGGCCTTGTTTCAGCACAGGCTCAATCCATTGCCAACGATTTGTGGCCAACAAAGTAATTTCGATACCGTTCTTTGTATTGATAGATGGGACCTAAATTTAATAAAGAGCCAATTTACTGAGGGGGTATAGGAACGGAGCTGCAGTTATCTTCCCTCTTTTTCCCCTCTTTGCCTCCATCCCACAAACGAGCTTAAAGCAGACGGAGGAAAAGGACAAACAGCAGAGAGGGGCTGATGTTTCTGACAAAGCTCTGCTCTTATCTACCACCATTACTCTTCAAAGCTGTTCTTTGACATACTGTTAAAGACACGCGGAGGTCAAATTACTGTACCAATGTGAAATATGTGACCCGCTTTATGTCAGCGCGGTTGAATTTCAAGATTAACTGAGGCCAGAAACAAAACCAGCGTGTCAGCTCAGCAGTAAAACTTGCATTTGGTTGATTTCCTGCGGGAGAGCGAGGGGGAAAAATGGTGGCTTAGGGGATTTTAGCAAAAGCAGTTTCAAATGTGCTTTTATGATGACTACAGGCGCTGAAATTGCAACGCTTTGTGAACAGCTCTGAATCTCGCTGCGCCATAATGATGTTCCTAAACTTCCTGAAGAACCTGCATTAGCGCCTCGCAGCAAAATGACTCTTTTTTTTTTATAGCCAACACCTCGATGCATCTTTCCACCTGCTGTTTCTTTTCTCCCACAGAAGCAGTGTGCTCTCGCCACCACATGGTGGCGGAGGTACAAATTAACTTCAGAGTAAGAAAAAGAGATTGTCAGCTTCACCGGGGATCCCTGACAGGTGTGAGCACAAAGACGGGGGAAACTAATCACTGGCAGGTTTATGAAAGGAGAGTTAAAGTGGATTATTCATGAGCACATGGCTCCAGAGTGAATGGAGGGGGAATTAAGTGAAGTTGGAAAATAGCAGAAGATAATCGGCCGTATAAGATCTTTTATTTAGAGAGCATATTTAAGAACAACTGTCTTCAAACGGATAAAACTTTATTGATTTAAATCTTGGTTTTGTTTTCGGCTGCACTGAGGGGGGGGTTTCTGTGTGCCAGACGGATTCACTCAGTGTTTGTTGTTTCTCTGCAGTGCACGTCTCCATGTACATGCTGGGCTTTGTTTGCTCTCATGCATGTGTTAAACTGTGCAGTCACACATGTGCTGTATCATAACAGATGTCTTCTGCTGAGTCCCAGCTCTGGGATTTGGTGTGTTGGCTTGTGCTGCACTGCTGCCACCTAAAGACTGAGTTTGAGTTTGCTGCCAACCATGAACGACTGGACATCTCATATACTTTATACTAGTTATAATTCAAACACAGCATACACAGCCTGATCTGTGTTTCAGAGAGTTCACTTGTCAAACATGAGGAGGATATGAAGAGCTCTCTATGGGACACCACACAGTCTGCTTTTCTTGTCACTGAACAGCCTTTCGTTGGCGTCAGTTAAAACAGGAATCTGTCTGGTTTGCAGCTTTTATCTTCCCACTTGAACATTTCAACTTCAACACATCCTTTTTGTTTTTATACTATTCACCATACGCACTAAAAGATTTCTTTTTTTTCCTCGTCTCATGAGAAGATAGTATCAGTTTGATAAATGCATCTTCCTTTGAGACTCGCCTTCTTTTAAAAACAGCCAAATACAGTATGTCAGTCTCAACATACTTCCTGCCAGAATGCACTGTCATCAAAATACACTGTGATTAAAATCAGACTCACAGATGTGTTAAAAATTATGTCTTTTGTAAGCACTCCTCGATGGTTCTCAAAACGAGCCATCTGTCACCAAGCGCACTCGGCGGGGGTTTCTGTGCTCAACAGGACAAAGGAGACGGTTCGCAGCCAGATGCTGTCAGCAGAATAAAACCACGACACATCTGAGAGCTGCTGTCTCAGACTGATGCGCCATATGGACAAAAAACATGTTTTTAAAACTACACAGCATTCAAACTGAAAAATAAATAATCATTAATCTGATCTCTGAAGGAAAAAAAAAAAATTTTTATCATTTATATCAGGAACAAAAGTGGCAGCTGAAGGTAAATGTTGTTCTGAAGTTAATTTAAGTATCCAGGCTGTATCGTTTTAGTTAAAAATTATCACTGTCTATCAAACATAGTTTAATTTCTTATGTGTCACTGTTATCAAAACTTTACAGGTGAGAGCTGTACACCAAAGACCCTTAAAACCCACAGCAGTTTGTTCTGTTAGGGCCACATTAAAAAAGACTTTCTAAAAGATTGAGGACTTTATTTCAAAGATTCAGATTCATTACACTTAAATTAAAGTCAGAGCAAAGTCATGATAGAAGGAGAATAAAGTCACCATGTTCTGGGAATAAAGCAGAGATAAAGTCGTAGTTTTGTTTTACGGAGAGCGGCCAGCTGTTTGTACCAACATGAGGAACGCTGAGCATCTCGTGATATAGTCTATAATGTTTTTGCCCATCAGCAGCACTTTATTATAGATCAGATCAAATTAAAATGTTTTAAGATGTTTTATGAACATACAATTCAAATTCTTATCTCTTTTATGGACTTTTTCAGTTTTCAGCAACTTGTCTACATCTGTATTTCTCTTAACGCACAGTAGTTCATTTAACTTATTCTCTCTTTACTTTTTATTTCTCAGCATCTTATGTATTTCAAGATCTATAAAACCCGAATTCCAGCACTAACTTGTATATATACTTTTTGATTTATGTACTTATTCATGTTTTTATTTTTATTTTTTGTTATAGCTCCAGAATTTATTATTTAAACAAAGTAATAGGAATATCCAGCTGTAGACGGGGTTTGGGGGAAAGGGGGTGTTTGTAATGTGTCTCCTGTGTATATCTGTATAAAATCAATAAAAGTATTGTTGAATCAAAAAGAAACAAACAACCAGTGCTGGCCAAATCTGTGATGTGTCACAGATCTTGTCTGTTTTTGATTGCTTTTAATTTTTACTGTACAGCACTGGTCAGCTTTTGTTGTTTTTAAATGTGCTTTATTAATAAACCTGGATTGGATTAGATCCCCTTAAAAAATATCATGCTACAAATTGTTGACTGAATGAAGAAGTTGGAAAATGACTTTATTCTGGTGAGAAAATGGATTTAAATGTAGTAAATCCTTTAAAAAAATCTAAATCTTTGACCATTAGGACCCATTAGGACTTAAAAATTAAATGACAGTATTTGCTGCATTTTTTCTCGCACACATTTTTTCACTAAAAAGAAAAGAAATTTTAAAAAATGCAATCAAAATTTGCGGAATCGAAATTCGGGTGTAAAGCGGAACCTTCGTCACCTTTTTGTTTCACAGCGGAACAAAAACAGCGTCGGAGCGGTGTGGGCGTGGTCGGAGCTTCCCTCTGTTGACTGTAGCGGCTGAAGTGCGCGTAAGTGTCTGTCGATCGTATTCGTTTAATCGATCATTTAATCGATAATTCTGTTGATATCGGATAATTAAGTGGTCCGGAACTGTTGAGGAGTGAGTGTGACTTCCGGCTAACCGCCTAACTAACCGTTAAAGTTGATTTTCAGCGAAAAAAACCTTCATTTTATCAACATCGAGTTTACAGTTTTGTAAATCATTTATCCTAAAAATGAAACTCAAATGAAGATATGTCGGTTAAAGTTAAAGAAATAGAGAGTTAAATGTTTATAAAGCGTTTTTAGTTGTAAGTTAGCTTTATGTTTGTCCAGTTTTCTGAGGATATTATTCATCTGTGCCCCGGAGATAAAGTGAACCAACCCCTGATAAAAACTGACAAACACCCGCCCTTCTTCATTTACTCACATTCTCGTGTTTCTCCGTGTTTTTCCCCACTCTCAGACTCGGTGTCGGAGCTGTTCAGACCGGAGGAGTCATGCCTTTCCTCCACGGCTTCAGGAGGATCATCTATGAGTACCAGCCGCTCGTGGACGCGGTCATGTGTGTGTTCGGCCTCGAGGAAGGTGGGAGGGGTCACGAGGACAGGTAAGGACGGTGCAGGTGCGTTCAGGGACCCTCCCCCAAACCCTGAACCCTTGGCACCACCCTTGAGAGCTAAAACTGATCAAACCAGACCTTTGTGACTTCTCATCACACACCGACACAAAAAAACGACATGTAAATTATAATGACAGAGATGGAGTGTAAAGTTTTTATTTGCATAATGTTATATTCTGGTGTCAAATTAAATTAGGGTCAAACACACCATAACACTGAGTTGAACACCCCCTCCAGAGATGAATGTTGTCGACCCCTTCTTTCTCTAGTTATACCAACTTAAGTAACGACCGCAGGATAGCAATACAGAGAGCCACGCCCTCAACCAAAACGCCACTCTATAGCCACAAATAATGCTCAGAACAGCACCTAACTTCATCAACAGGACATATAGGGTCACAGACATAGTACTAGACACCAAACATCTTTTTAACTTTGACTAATTTCTTTAGCAAAGAGACTAAACACAACTCACCCACTCTCTTCCAGCAGACGCTTGTTTGGTCAGTCCATTACAGACTACAGCGGGGTGACGCAGCTCAAGGAAGAACATTTATGATCATTTTTATAACTATAACTAACTTCAGTAACATTTATCTCTCGACAGGGTGTATTTGACCCTACTCAACTCAACTCAACTCAACTTTATTTGTAGAGCACTTTAAAACAACCACAGCTGAACAAAGTGCTGTACATAACTAGACAAAACAACAAGATAAAAAACAATCAAGAAACAATTAAAACAATGGATAAAATAAAAGCAGAATTAAAAGTAAAATATAGCTTCAATGTTTTTAAAAACTAACTTAATTTTACGCCAGATTATCCCTTTTGACACTGAAAAGGTTCATGAAAAGCAAACTTCTCTTTCTAGATTTATCTCTGCAGACATGTGACAACATAGAAGCATTAATAGATTTGTGCTGCAGCAAATAAATCCACTTTGATAGGGAAATAAATCTGGTTTAAGTTCATCGTGGATACACTTCTCAGAATCATCCTAAGATAAAAACAGGTTCACAGGCAGCACTTTTTTATCTGTGTCATGGTGTTCCTTTCCCCATTATACTTGCAGGGTTCATGCAGGTTTGGTATCACGGTATCACATCCATACCTGCCAACATTTGGGTTATAAAATCCAGGAGATTTTGGGGTTACCTTTTCTGGTGGATATGAGCTAATTATGAGAGTATTAGTGATTAGATTACTCATCCAAATAAGTCTAAGTGAAGCTGCACACTTTTTGGTTTTAACAATAACAGATGGTAATAAGAAAAATAAATAATAGCTACGATATGCCTTAAACTTATTTAATCCACGAATATTAGTGTTAAAGTCTAAATATGTTTGACATGCTCTCTCCTGTATGAGGCTCTCTGAACATACAGCACTCTTTTATCTGAGGCTGCCCTGAACGCATCACTCCGAGATGATGAAAGACTATCAACGTAAATATGTCTTTTCCTTTCACTGAAGTTTTCATTTTGCAGCAAACACTGTTTAAATAGAGTTTACAGCTTAAACCGACCTGAAACATCCCAAACTGTAAAGTCAAAGTATCAATCCAGTGTCTGTGAGGTTGTCTGGAAACTTTGGACAAATATAGTGATCTGATTCATGAATGAACATGGACCATCAAACTACGGGAGAAATGACAATCCGGGAGGTGGGCGGAGATAGGTCTGAGATACGGGAGAGTCCCGGGAACAAACACGAGTGTTGGCAGGTTTGGACATCCTCATGCAAAGTCTGCAGAGAGGATCAAAGAGTCTGACAGAGATCCTCACAGCTCTCATGGACTTACTGGGAACGCACCTCAAAGTTACTGAGTATGGACATTTGAGACTGGGTCCATCTCTGCGGACCCTGCATCATAGTACTTTGGGACAGCACTTGCTAGTTATACCATTTCAAGCCCTTGTAATACACGCCCCTCAGTTCAATCTCAACACTTCTTCTTCTTCTTCCTCCTTCTTCTTCTCCTCACAGAGGCCCAACCCCTGAGGAAGAGGCCGGTCTTTGTCAGTCTCTGGTGGAGCTTTTGGAGCGGGAGTCCCAGTCTGAGGTGTTCCTGGAGGGCATCAGCTACGCGCTGTTTAAGGTCGCCAAGTGTGGACTCGTGTACGCGGCAGAAATCCTTCTACGCTACGGGGCCGATCTGAACTTTGAAGGTAAGAAATTCAACGCAGAATAACAATCTGAGGAAAGTGTCAGTCTGAGAAACCTCTGTGCTAATTGTTACTCCGGCTAATGCACTCGTTCTGACTTAGCCGAGTGCGTCATGCATTATGCAGTGTTTCTGCTGGTCTGCATCAACAAAGGCGTGATGGTAAATTAAGTAGTATGCAAATGTAAGAGATCCATTTTAATTATCTTGGACTATTTTGTTCTATTTGCAAATAAAGTGCAGCACATTCAGTGAAATGTGTTTGCCTCCATTTGAATAATCAAATTAATGGATTTAATCGGTCACACTTCTCCTCCCTCCACTTTTTCTGCAACAGTGGGCGCATATTTGTCAGAAACAGACTTCAAGAACCAATCATACTCTGAGGATAAACGCAAATTTAAAACTTTGAACCTGAAAAACAATCAAACTATCCTTTCGGCTCCTCTTGTGCGTCTGCGGGTCTCTGCTGCATGCAACAACTTTCACAGATGTATCAGAGTGTAGAGAGTGACAAACTCATGAGCAGAAACGTCGTCTTCACTTCATACAAAAGGAACTGCATGTAGGAGAGAGCGAGTCGTCGTGCATTTACACTCCGGAGAATCAATCTGCCTCGTTCAAATTGCCTCGGAAAGCGCAGCAGGTCTTACTGCCGCGATGAAACCTGCCAGTGTTCGTCTACGCTCCGCTGTGGTGACCTCCTGTGCCTGTAAAAATGTCTTTCCCCAGAGGCATAATTAGTGGATCCTGGCAGAGGATGCTTCATTCATCTCTCACTTTTCTTGGATGCTTCTTTCCAGAAAGTTAACACTGACAAATGCTCCCACACAGCGGAGGGAAATGTTCGACTTTCACTCTACTTTAGTTGTTCTCCATCTTCCTCCTTTATGTAAGAAATAAACGAACATGTGCAAACTATCAGACGGGCTCAGATCTGGATCTTTTCACGTGATTTTAGTTCTTTAAGTGACACTAAATAACTTCTATATCTTAATGTGAACATAACAGAGACATCGACGGTGATTTAGAAACCCGAGGAGTAAGAACCAGATATAGTCAGATATAGACGCTGCAAACAAACTTAACTCTGATTTATTCTCTGGAGTTCTGCAGAAAGAGCTCAAATCACAGCATCATCTGAGATTTCAGTTAAATCTATAATTAGCTGAAAGTAGGACAAAGATAACAAATCTAATGTTATAAAATTGTCATGATTGATGACAAATTTGTGTGAATTTTAAGTTTGAGACCAGCAACAGTTTGGACAGGGACAAGAAAATACTGGAAAAGTTGTGTTAACACGTAAAAAAACAGCTGAAGGAACATCTCCAAAGTAATGAGGTGAATTTCCAGACGCAAAGAGGTTCATCGCTCTGTGAGAGACTGAGTGAGTCCCACTAAGGACCAAAACCAAGACTGCTCGGCTGTGTTTTTTTCACTGCCTTATTAAAAACAGACATGACTCTGTAGTGGAAATCACAGCATGGGCTCAAAATCACACCTCAAACCCAGTGTTTAAACAGAGTTTGTCTCTATTTTCACAAACACACATTAAAACTGTGTCATGACCTTTAAAGACGAGCTGAAGCAAAATCACCTCGTCTGTGTTTCTGTCTGTTTCAGGCGTTTATGATCAAATTGGTAATCGGTAAATTATGTATCTGTGGGTCATCTCTGTTAAAACTTCATCTTATCTCACATAAACATTCGTCTCCCCTCTGCAGACCCGGTGTCCTACTACAATCCTCTACACATTGCAGTTCTTCAGAACAGGCCCGACATGGTGAGGCTGCTGGTCGGACACGGAGCCAACGTGGAAAAGCGAGACAGGGTGAGGCAGACTGTGGTCCCCTGTTTTAATATCCTCCCTCTGTTTTCTCAGCATTAAGGTCAATAATTCAAGCGTTCACTTTCAGATCCACGCCAGCAGCCCTTTGGATCTCGCCAGCGAGGAGTCCGAGAGGCTCCCCTGTCTGCGCGCCCTGCTGGACCTGGGCGCTGACGTGAACGCAAGAGATAAACACGGTAAATGAACGAGGCGGGGTTTAACTGTCTCCTTTTCTTTGTTCGCTCTAAAGTCTGATTCCTGTGGTCTCCGCCTCCTTTAGGTAAAACACCTTTACTCCACGCTTTTGAGAGCAGCGATGGAATCACCGTCCACAACACGGAGAACATCCAGCTTCTACTCGAGCGAGGTACAGACTGGAAACCCTCTTCCTGAATGTCCTCTTGACTGAAGATGTTATTAAACAAACTCACCACTGGGGGGCGCCAGGTGTACTCAGATGAGTCCTTACTGCAGAGGCCCAGAGTTCAGTTTAGACCCGGTCCCTGCAGACCACGCCATGATTAATGGTTAAAAAATGATCGTTCTAAATTCAGCGTTGATTTGACTTTCTCCCTGTCAGGTGCCGACGTTCACGTTTCAAATGAAGACGGCGAAACGGTCCAGTCCATCTTGGTGTTCCTGACGAAGGAGGCTCTGGACTCCAGCGTGGAGAACGCCGCAGAGATCGGGAACTTCAGCCTGAGAGTCACACGGCTGCTGCTGGCTCACGGCGTGGATCCCAGCAGCTGTCTGAACCAAGACAGCGAGCCCTCGCTGACGCAGACCAGCCTGGAGCACTTTGACCTCTTCTTCCCTCTGGCTGTTCTCCTGATCCAGAGCAGAGCCTCGCTGGTCTGCTCCATCCACGGCGACTCCTGCTGGTGCGGCTACACCCTTCTTTTCCAGCGGCTCAACACCGCCCTGCAGCAGTGCTCCGATCTAAGTCACGCCTCCGAGCTCCTGGAGCAAGCCGAGGTGTTGCTCGACTTGGCGAGGGTTGACGTCCCTGTGCTGCACCTGCCTCTGAGGCTGGAGCTCCCCATGCCTGGTGAGGAACCTCATCCCTACACTCAGGCTCTGAAAGACCTTCATCACCGCGCTGTAGAGCAGAACGCAACCCCTCCCGGACTGAGGTTTCTCTGTAGGGCCTTCATAAGGAGCCACCTACAGCCTTGGCCCCTAGAGGAGCGGGTGAAAGCTCTGCCATTACCGGACAGAATGAAAGACTTTCTTCTCCCTGAGAACACGTACACCCCGAAGCCCGGCTGGGACCGCGTCAAGCCCCAACAAACCCAGCAGTGACTGTCAAACACAGTCAGACTGAAGAGGTAAAAGTCTGAACGTGAACCTAAACCCATCCTAAACCACCGAGGCCTTTGTTAGATTCGTCTCGTGTCCAGTCTGTGCCAAATGAACAGACATAAATGTGTGTGTCATGTTTACAGATCAGCCTTTGAGTTCTCAGACTGTAATGAATAAACTAAGTGGTAAGAAAGCTGCAGTACGAATCAAAGCCACCAGATGGCAGTGTTGCTCTGGCGGCGCGTGGAGGTGCTCGGATGTCAGGGTCAAAGATTTCATTCCTCATTCACAGTGGAGCCTATTACAGCTGTTCCAGCGCAGGAGGCAACATCTATATTTTATCTGCTCTACATGACAGAGCTGTACCGTGGCGTTTGTGTCTCTTCTCTCTGAAAACGAAGGTGGGATCATTAAAAACAGTCCGCTGCCTCCTCAAGGCCTTTTGTTTTCCTCTGCGTTACATCATTTCATGTTTGTTAAACACTGACCAGTTAGTGGCAGTGCGGCGGCGCTGAAACACACTCACAAAAACTCACTGACTACCTGTTAAAGAAGGACGCACGGCGCCGAACGCTCGTGTGCATGCAGATAGGAGGATGCTGAGAGTTCGGGCTCCGGCGCCGCAGAATAACTGTGCGCCTGTAGATGTTTTGGTTGTGCTGTGACATAATGTGTCTGCAGTGGCTGCTGGTGTGGAAAGTTTTCCCAAGCATTCTTAATGCTTATGTTTAAATTCAGATGAATTTAGGACCCCCCCTCTCTCTTTTATTTTTAAAGCTCCCTCGCTCGCTCGCACGCACGCAACCCGTTCTTCACATCCAGTCCGAGAGCGCCTTGGAGAAACATACTGTGGTAGTAACACCATCGTGTGTGTACATATGTGTTTGCGTCCATGCGTGTGTGACGGGCAAACTAAATAGGACATTGTGTTACACAACTAACCCCTTCCTGACATTGCTGGAGCTGGAGTGGCTCCAAGGCTTGCAAGCGCTCCAGCTCCTCTTGGTTATCTAGGTCACAGCCTCTGAGGAGAAGAGCCTGAGCAGCAGCAGCAGCAGCAGCAGCAGCCCTGCATGACACACGCTTCACTCTCCTGTCTGTCTGAATCTCTTGACAAAACCTCAACACTGGCCCTGGTCGAATAAGAGAGGAGGAGGAGGAGGAGGAGGGGGTGAGGAAGAGGGAGGGAGAGCAGCGAGGGGGAAAAAGTTCCAGGCACGGCATAGGTGGAATGGTTGCTGGAGCACTCATGGAGGACACATGGAAATGGAAATGGCAACGTTGGATTACATTTATACAATACACAATCTGTCAGAACATAATCCACCCGACCAACAATCACAACACTGAGAGAGAGAGAGAGAGAGAGAGAGAGAGAGAGAGAGGCTCCTTCCATAAGAGTCCAATCCCTGCTTGTAGAAGGCGATAGAATAGAGATAGTGGGGGGAGGGCTAAGCCAGTACACTCTCCATCCAGCCTTTATTGGAAAACTGTGCGAGTGAAGCTCGGTACTGAAATTAGTTATTGATCTATTCTCTCCCTGAAGCCCATGGGTCTTTCCCACCACACCTGCTCATTCTCTCACAGCCTTTTCTTTCACCACAGCACAGTTTCTCTCAGCCCTGCCTCCAGCTTCTGCTTGTTTTGTGCTTCTTTATTTTCTTGACGTCGTCTTTGCATACAGAGAAGTTCGCCCAAATAAGACCCTGATTACACCGAGAGGGAAAGTTGGAGTTTTCGAGTCAGAATCTGCAGGGACTTTTTCGACACGTATACACGATCATTTCAGAGCGTACCTTTAGCTCTGTGAAGATAAAATTACATAACATGTTTTATATGCTGCCCAGTGATTTCAAATCCAGTCTTTTTAACAGCGATTTCTTTAGAAAACCCCTTTTTAAAAAGAAGTCTATTCATGCTCATCTTCACCCAGTCCCTGACACCATCTTCAGCACTGCAGAACCACCTCCTACTTGAAGAGGACGAAATGCAGCACAAGGTTGTTTTCTACGTTTTTATTCTCTGAATCTACACTGAACCCGTCCCTGACCTGATCCTTCACGTGCACTTAGAAGCACAAAACACAACATACTATTCACTTTCTTTTTGTTTTATTTTGTTCACAGCCCGGCTCGTGTTATCCAGGTCCTTTTCTCTGCCCCTGACACCATCCTCTCTGGTATGGGCTTAAAAACTTGCGTTCATGTCACTCTTTAAAAATGCCTCAGGGCCTGTGTCCACTGGACGCCATTTTTTTTTTTTTCGCACCAGCAGCACCTGACACCTCTATTTCAGTGGGCTGTCACTGGTTTTTACGCTGCGTTCTATTAACCTCAGTGTTCGGATCTTGGAGATGGGAACAATGCCACGCCCACGCTGAAGTCGCCCCTGTTGTTGTTACGACCACATTAAAAACAAAACAAGCATCGCCACAACATGTCTGCAGATCAAACTTACACATTACTATCACTGCAGCTGTTCTACAGTAGATGCAGGGACAACAATACAAAAATATTTAGTATGAATAGCAAAGTAAAATTTATCTATTCCAATTTACTAACAATAATATGGGCATAAAGGGTAGCAGAAGCTCCGCCCCCTTTTGATTTTGATTCGTCAGTGATGAAAAGGTTCAAAAGTTTAGGGCTGCAGCTCGTGGATATTTTAGTAATCGAGTATTCTACCGAGTATTCCATTGATTACTCGAGTAATTGGACCCAAACAGCAGACTCACATACGGTGAGATTTCTTACATCACAAATCCAAGCTCCGCCCCCGGAGCCCCGCTATGACAGCCAGATTCTGAGAAATAGAGCGGACAATCGCGGAATGAGCATGTGCTTTAGCAGATTGCAGCACTCGTAAGAAAGCTAGTTATGATATTAACTTCCCACCGAGCATTTTTTTGGTCTAATAGACGTCTAAATGTAGCCTCGACGACTGGTCTAAAATCGACTACCACAGGTCTTACAATGAAAGTTTTTTAGATGTCTAAATTTAGAGCAGGTCCAAATACTGTTTATTGCTCAACGGCTATCATAATTATTTTGGTTAAGTACTTGGAGATCAGTCATACAACTCACAGTTGCTATTTAGAAGAAATAGTTATCAAATAACGGGTTAAAGTGCAACATCTAAATTCCGTCTAAAAATAAACAGAATCTAGAAATTAGGATGAAATTAGGTCTAAAAAAAAAACAAGACATCTAATAGCCATTTATTTCTCAGTGGGTTTCATCATGTCCCTAAAGACATTAGCTACTATGTTACCTGCTTCTTCTACTACAGCGGCAATGTTAGGCTACAAGCTAGCATGAAGAGGAGTGTGCAGAGCAGGGCCGACTCCGCCCACAACCAAGAGTGGTTTTGTCCTGAGGATGCTGTTTTGGTTTGTGCAGAAAATCAGCTCAGCTAGTGCAAGAAAAACAGAACTTCATACAGAGCTTTATTTACACATAAATGAGCAGATGCAATAAAAGAATATTAAATATTTGGTCTAAAAAGTTGCCAAAATATCATGTTGTGCAAAGCCTTGTTGACCAGACAAGCAGGGGTGTGTCCAGAGGGGCAGCCAGGGGTGGTATCAGCCCTTTTTAAAGTCAGGTCGGCCACCCCACCATCCTAAAAAATGACTGGCTAAGTTTTGCTTCGACTATTTCGTACAGTAGTTGTGCAGGAAAAGATTTAGTCCATCAGAAATGACGAGAAACTTTTCAAACTTTTCTAACAGTCTGGAATACAAAGTTAAACGCTTTTAAATTCACTTCTGTATACATGTAAACAAGATCATAAATAGCAGATTTAATAGTTTAACATCAAAATAAAGTTATATTTGTTTTTGATAGTAGCTTGTTGATTGTGTTTATAGAATCGCCAAGGTAATTTTGAGCTCGACTGTTTGTGTTTCTCCGCGTCTTTATCCTTTTTTCTCGAAGGTCTCCACCAGTCCCTGAACCCGCCTTTTCTACTCGCAGCACTTCAGACTCAATAATGTAGAAAAATGAGAGACATGATACTTGAAAAGAACAAAATACCACACAAGGACGTTTGAAAATATGTACTTGAGAAATCTTTGGAAGTATTATTCCAGAGATTTTCAAAATAAAGCGACCAGAAAAAAGATGTCTTTTGTCCATCTTTAGGCTAAAAACACGGGGACTAAAATGTCAAACTGGAAAAGAACAAATGTTATATAACGATGTTAATATCAAAAACTCAAAATAAAAGTGCCTAAAACACAAAAATACATTAATTTAATGACGTTTAGGCTGAAGGAAAAGTCCCAAAAACAAAAATCGGATTTCAGGTTGTAAAAATGTTTTGAACGCCTGAAAACTTCCTGATATTTTCCACTTTTTCACCTTCGATCTCACCAAAAATGACTGAATTTACCTCAAAATCAGTCTCCTCTCTTGTTCAGCGTGTCTGCTGAGCTCCTAGTCGGGCCCTAACCTTTTCATTCAGCACCACGTCACCGACTGACTGAAAGACATTGTGGACGCTCCCCGGCCTTTTCTTCTTCTGAATGTGCATCTCCTTGTCTTTCACGAGACATTGTCTAGACACGGGATAATTGCAGACATCACTGAACACTCAGCTGCTGCCTGAAGCCTCATGGGAGTCGAGGTGGACTTTGGAGGGAAACGTCCGGCAGTCAGTCAGTCAGTCAGTCAGTCAGTCAGTCAGCCGACGAGGGGGGTCACACACACGCGCACACACACACACACTCTTCAGCAGGCGTGTTTGCCAGGGTGAGGAGAAGCGTGTGTGGGAGCGAGAGGAGGAAGGCGAGCGCAGACATTGAAGCACACAGAGCTCATAACCGCAGATGTGGTGACTTCATCAGAAGAAAATGTTCCTCCTCGTCCTCCTGCTCCTCTCGTGTTGATGGAGCTCTCACAAATTAATGGCTGTTAATGCTCGAAGGGATGCAAAACAAATTCACACTCCACATCTTCTGCATGTTCTCCACACGATCTGGTCTCATTTTGGACCGTTGTGATACGGCACAGACTCTTTCAAACGGGGGGGAGCTGGAGTGGAGTTGGGGGGTTGGTTGGTTGGTTGGTCTCTGAGAGATGGTCGCAGGTCGCCGGGTTCACCCCGGGCGCAGGACTAATCTCAGTGGGGGTGGATTGGATGCAGGATAACTGAATCCTGTCGGGGCAGGCCACCTTCTCTGTGAGCTCCAGGTGTTGGTGCTTCATTTGTGGAGGAGGACTACACAAAAACAGTCTGTACAACAACCACCAAAGAGTATCTACAAACATCACAAAGCACCACATTGAGTTTTGATCACTAGGCCGTATTAGTTATTGGAAATTGGAGAAAGTTGGTTTAACTAATCCCGGTTTGACGCTCTGAAAACGTCTTTAAATCTGCCCGTCACTTTGCTCTCTTACAAAGAAAAAGGTCCAACAAGTAAAAGTCACCAAAGTACTAACTATGAGGACTCTCACTTAAACTGAAAAGGAACTGGCGTGATTTCTACGCGCTAATTGCCATAATTATAAGGCAGAAATCACAGAGCTCGGCTGCATTTAGTCAGCGCTCTACAGGGGACATCCAGCGGCTCAAAAACAGCTCAAACTTCTCCAAACTTTTCAGGCAGATCTGAAACTACGCTTTGTTGTATTTTTCTCAAATCTGTTGCTTTTCCTCTATGGTGACTAATGTGACTTTAAAACACCAGGAAAAGTTTCCCGGTCTGCGCTTTAACTCTTATTTTAGCTGCAGAAAATCCACCACCCCTTACATTTGAACAACTGACGCCATTTCACAGAAATTCCAGACAACTGGCGCCTGAGCTCTGCCTCCGAGAAGGACATGATGAATAGGACACACCCTTGGTATGCTAGTGAATGGTGGGATATATGGCACACTGCAGTGTTACAGCCTAGATTCATTACAGCTCTTTAGAGTGTCGTTTCTCTCTGCTTTTTCTCCCCCTGCACGCGCTTCACGCTGCTCGCTCGCTCGCTCGCCTATTTTTAAAAGCCTGAATTTGAGTGAAATGCACTGAGGCACCAGCAAGGCGAGCTCCAGCTCTTTCCAGCGCTGGTTCCTGATCCTCCTCTTTGTTGTGGTCTATGCATGCCTGCTCTAGTCACATGACTGCGTTTCTATGGCAACTCGGGTTTGAGTAATCATTTGCGTTACGACCTTTATTCCCTTGAGGAAAGGGGAGGGGGAGGTTAGACTGAGCCTGTAGAAAGAGGGAGCAAGAGGGAAAGAGAAAAGACAGGCAGAAGGGGAGCGGCGGAGAGAGAAAACAGGCAGTAGGAGAGGGGGATTTTTGCATTTTCTCGCCTTTAATTTTCGCATTTTATCCTTTTTTTTTGCACGCAAAGCCACAACCTCTCAGTGTTCAAAAAACACGAGACAAAAACTAAGCAGCGAAACTAGGCAGCGTGTGTCTGTGCGCTGCAGCCTCGCCGCCAGAGTGTCTTTTGTGCTGTGAGTCACTCTGAATCGGGAGGGCGAGTCACTGAGTTTGGTTGGAGAGAGGCGGCAGGCATGTATGTTTCATAAGGGGGGCCTACACACACACACACACACACACACACACACACACACACACACACACACACACACACACACACACACACCTCCCCTTCGTTTCTTCTCGGGGAGGAAAAGCAGCACTGTGCCACATGTGCAAGTCTCAGCAGAAACAGATTCTGTATGTTCCTGTTTCTTGCTCTCCCGGCTGCGTTGTCATGGTTACAGAGCTAGTCCACCAAGGCACGCAGCTACCTCCTCTCTCTCTCTCTCTCTCTCTCTCTCTCTCCTCCCCTCCCTCGCTTTTCTCTCTCTCTCTCTCTATCTCGCCACCGTTGGGTGATTCAACCCATCAGTTGGGTTGTGTCATCTCCTAGATGGAGTTTGTAGCTCCCACATCTCCTAAATGGAGTTTTTTTTTCCAGTTCAGGGTTTGTGTTTCAATTGGATCCTGACTGAAAAAAAAGTGTGTGTGTGCGCGTGTGTGTGTGTGCGTGATTGGGTGGGGCAAATGGGTGGGTTTTTGGGGGGCTCCAGCTCTGACAGGAGGTGGGCTCGACTGGGGGGCTGGTGATAGACACTATGGGGGTTGTGGTGGTGGAGGTGGTGGTGCTGTTGGTGCCGGCTGCTTCCAGGTGCCTGCATGCGACTGGGGCTGAATATGAATGAGGGGCCCCCGGTTCTCCAGAGATGGCGGCTGGGGAGAGCGCTGCTAAATCCAGAGAGCAGTGGAGCCTTGCTGGTTGGTTGAGAGGCCCCCACAAGCTGCTGACAGGAGCTGGAGCTAGCCATCACGTTAATTAGCGTTTTTACTCCAGCAGCAGCAGCAGCAGCAGCAAATAGGGGGAGTGGGTTAGAGAGGGATGTGGGGGTGGTATATGACTCATAGACACAGTATGGTTTATTCATGATGGAGGAAGGGGATGTGTGTGTGTGAGAGAGAGAGAGAGAGAGAGGAAACACACATTTGATTTGCACACAGTTTTCTAAGTGTGTGTGTGTGCGTTGGCAAAGTCGATCACTGATTGGCACTGAGCCGAGATATTATTACGTCTCGAGTATAATACCCTTCATTGTTGTTGTCATTGAGGGTTTCGGCTTTAATTTTGCAAACACATTTATAATGAACTCTTCTCATCGCTGCTCTATCTTCTCTGAGATTCTGTCAAACTAAATCTGAACCCTATTTTTTTTACAAACACGCTTCGATAAGATTAAACAACCGCAGATCGGGGCGCTGTTACATTTCTCATTTATTGCTGAGACTCTATTGATCCGGGGGGGTTTTGATGGCTGTCTGGGAAGCATCAGACTGATGAAATGGGTTAAGGGTGCCCCCTCTCACAGGTGACCTGACCTTGTCTCCTCTGTCTCAGCCCCTGACAGTGATCCTTACCCCCGTGAGGAATCTTCAGGATCAATAGATTGGTCCTCTCCTGCACCGATCACCCCAGGAGTCTCCAAAGCTGCAGCGAAATATGGAAGATTCTCGAAGAAGAAGAAGAAGAAGCATCTCCTCCTCCTCCTCCTTGTGTTTGTGTGCATGTATGTGTATGTATATGAGAGGGTGTAAAGGGGGGTTACATTACAGCTATACTATTGTCTAATTGTCTCCTCTTATCATTAGTGACAACCATGACCTCTGTTATTGGCATATCTGCATTCTGCCTGCACTGCAGAGCCTCCACCACACTACACTCGCAGCGTTTTCTCTCCCAAGAGCGGCAGGGCCCATGCCTCATAAATACAAACACAATCTCTCCTACACCTCCTGACTGCAGGACAGGACTCCACACATATCTGCCCGTGGAGCGCAGCCCATTTGCATACATATTAAAGTGACGCCTCAGAAAAAAGGAAGAGAGAGAAAGAGGGGGGAAGAGGGAAGGAGGGGAGCAGGAGGGGGGAGAGAGAGAGAGAGAGAGCGGGTATATGCAAACAAGGCTTTCATCTAATATGCAAGAACCGGCATTGCTCTGGCATAAATCTGCATCTGAGCTCAGGCAAAGAGAGCCGAGCCCATTTGACAGTAAATGGGCTGGGGATGGCTGTCAGATGCACAGGGGAACACTGAGTTACCCCACGGAGGAGGAGGAGGCCGATTGATCAGCGTGGCATGTCACATATAGCAGGAAGTACAAGGCAACAATAGCACATGCTAAGTAAAAGCTATAGATGGTGTTGGAGCGGGGAAAGAATGAGAGATTATAATAGAGGACGCCAATAAAGTGAGGAATGGTTAAAGGAGCAGTACGACATTTTTTCACTCTCGGTTTGTAAAGGATTTATCAAACTAAATGAAATTAGTTCTTCTAAGAGGCATTGGTGTTCAGATTTGTCATCTTTGTGGTTCAACGGTAAATGATAAACAGAATTCCGACATCAAAATGAGGTTTAGAAATCAAGTCTGGACATCTCAGACCTAATTTAAAACTATGACGAGCAATTTTTGTTTGTTTCAGATGGTGTCAGAGGAAGGATTGAATTGATTATTTTGATGAGATTTCCTCCAAAGTAATTTTTTAGTTCAAATCCTGTGCAAAGACAAAAATTCAACTCTTCTTTTTGAGTGGTCACAATTAAAAATGCTGCACTTTTTAATGAGTGTTTTTAACTGTTGGACAACAGAGGAATAAGGGATATGCATGCTTTTTCAGCATAAAGCAGTGTTTTTGAATATTTTTCTTTCTCCATTAAATTACAAAAATGTTAGAAAACGTCCACAAAAGCATGCCAGGCCAGCAAGTGGCGATCAAGTGCAATCAGTCTATTATATCAAAGAGCACTGCAAGACGCTGCTGTGTTAAGCCACGCATTTACCACTTTAAGGAAATTCATGCTGCGTTGTTTCTGGTGACCCCTCTGGTCAAACGTGGTAGTGTTTTCTCAGGATGAAGGCTAACTGTGATTTTGCTTGTAAAAGATGGCCAGTCGAAAACCGATCACAACCCTAATATGTAAGCTAATTCAGCTCTGTTGTTCCCAAAGGTTAGCAAGACTATTTCACCGTTCAGAACCTGATTGGTGAAGAAGTTTAAACAGAAACATCCACAGAACATTTGACCACTGCCGAAGTTTACCAGTGAAATTTAAATGCTGAATATCATCTCCTCATTTTTATTTTTGTGGAAAATCTGAGACAAACACAAGAACTGAAATTATGGTACAAAGAAATAAACTTTTTCTTCTGTAAACCTAAAATCTGAAAATCTAATGATACAAGATAAGCCAGAATAAGAGCAAATTATCAATTAAAAACTACTCACAGCGCCATTAGTCAATATATATTCACAACACCTAGGGGAGCAAATTTTAAGGTTTTTTTGGGGTCGGGTCGAGTGTTTTTTTACACACTTCTAACTCAGTTAGTCCATGCTACAGAAACTCAAAACTTCCATAAAAAACCCTGAACGTTTGAAGGATTTTATAAACTTCCCCAGAAAAGAGGACATGTCCGGATAAAACAGGACATATGGTCGCCCTACAAACCCACTGCATGCATTTCAGGGCTTATGAGAGTTACTCTTTAATATATTACACTGCACTAATAAAGACCCTGGTCTCCACACAGACTTGGACGCCTGGACTGACTGAATTTAGAGGAATCTGGATTCACAATAAATCTGTGGATGTTAGTTTTTAAAAGTGCTGAATCATCTCACTGAGGAATGCTACAGCTAGCTCACTAGCAGCTGCTGCTTCTTCATCTCTCTTCCATTTTATGACGCTCAGCAACAAAGTTAAAGTATAACCACTATGACCTTGCAGTATAACTGAAGGAGATCCAGAAAGAAGGAGATAAACAAAGGAACCTACGGCATGATGGAGCTCAGGGACTCCCTGAAAAGACCGTATCAGTGACTCTAATGATGATACGAAGTGAACAGACAGAAAAAGGATGGAGAAGGAAGGAAAGAAGCTCACTGTTCAAGTATTCCCGACAGTCTAAACCTGTAACAGTATAACTAAGAGCTGGTCCAGACCTAAACCAGGTCTAACTTTGAGTTTAATAGGCTTTTCATAATAAGGACATTTTAATTATGGGTGAATTTGCATTACCTGAAGTATTACTTCTTAATTATTCCTTTCACAGAGGTGAGTATTTTGCTGTTTTTCCCTTTAACTGGAGCTGAGATGTAAATTATTTCCTCTGAACAGGCAAATGTGCTGCACTTCAAGAACACACAGTGTTTGCACAAGCGATACTGCAGCGCATGATGGCAGTGCTAAAGCGAAAAAAGTTGAGCAGAGAAACTTTGAGTCTTCAGAAGTGGGAGTGCTGCCATGAGCTCTGGGTTTCCCCTAACTCTGCCTGTATTTCATGTCGGACACCCTTGAACTCCCTTTCCTGTTTTCCTGCCTGAGCACGCCGCATCGAAGCACGCCACTCTGTCTGTACAGGTGATCTTACGCACAGGAAATGGAAACTCTGGATGTGCGTGCGTGGTGCTTGCGTGTTCGTGCGTGTTTGTCCGTGCGCGTGGAGCACAGAGGTGGGGGCTGAAACAGGATATGTTGGGAATAACACAAAGCACAAAAAAGTGTCACATGATCTGAAACACAGAGTTGATTTATTTGGCTTCAGAAAGAATCTGTTGCATGTGGTTTGGAGGGGAGAATGTTTTCCTTCTTTGCTCGCTGTGTGCTCAGACACAACACATGGAAACATTTTCAGAGAGGCCATGGGTCTGCGAAGAAAAAAAAAAAAAAAAAAACCTCCAGACGTTTTATTTCTTCTCTCTCCTTTCAGAGCATTTTCAGCTCTTTTTTCTCCTCCAAACTGATTGAATTACATACATCTGCTCGCCATATGCAGAAATCGGCCTTAATGAATATTTGTGATGCACTGGGGGGCTTTGACGTGCAATTAGTATTGATGCTATTATTCTGTTTGGGAGTAAGTTAACTGATAGAGTGGAGGGCTTGTCTCTGATTCCATACAAGCGTTGTAGATATATCAATGAACATCCTATTTACAGCCTCGATTTCAGCCTGTAATAAATACACTTCCACTCACATGAGACACTTGCAGGTCTGCTCTATTGTCTGCCATAAATATGCTGGAAGGGTTGGTTAAATATTGATAACACCAATTTTCTGCCCCCCACCCCCACTCACACACCCTCTCCCCATCACCACCACACACACAAACACAAACACGCCAACACACACTCACATCTCACACTTGTACCAAACCCCTCCTTCCTTCTTTCTCTCCCTCTATCTGGCGGTTATTTCACCCTCACAGTAACCTTGCTTATGCATATTGCATATGTAAATAAAGCCCCCCGCCTCTGAAGTAATTGTGTGCATCTTCTCCGGAGCTGCAGATCTCAGCTCTGTGTTTAAGGAGGACTCACTGAGGAAAGAGTGAAATCTCTTTGTTTGGCTGTAACTCTGTGCAGGTTAGACTCATCCAGACAAACTCCACAACTTCAGATTTATCAGCGAGGAGGAAAGTCATAAAAGTTCATTTTTAAAACTGTTTTTCTGAATTATTTAGACTAAAGAAAGAGTTGGACCGGCAGGGACGAGCCCCTCATTAAGAAAAGCTCACAGATACAAATATATTTCTGTCAAATAAAGTATAAATTAATTTTATTTACGTTATATTTACATATATGTTGTGATATACTGGAATTAAATACCTGTAGTAATTTTTAAAGAGATAAAATATTCATATCATGTCAAAAATATGGTTATACTGTGAGTCCTTTAGAGTGGTTTTTTATGCTAGCTGCTGCACGTCACTGAAAAAGGGGATGAAGAAGAAGCAGCAGCTGCTAACAAACTAGCTTTAGCGTTAAAAACATGAAAAATTCACAGATTTATAATGAATTAAAAAAACAGCCCTGAAGCTGAGCCTCTTAGGGTTACTAATCAATCAATCTTTAAATCGTTCTTTAATTGTTTTTATTCGATTCTGTTGTATCGGCTCCTTCAAAATAAAAGCACATGTTTTCTCTAAAGAAGTTTCAGGTAACATGATGATAGTTACAGTTCACAGCTGTAGTATAATGAATATTAATTAAATAAGAAAACGACATTCTCCAAAATAATCACACAATTCACTTTAGGCTTTTCTGATTACAGTAACAAAACTAATTTAAACATATATGGACGGTTTAAATAATACTATGGTGAATGTCTCTACAGCTCATGAGGCGATATTATTATCATTAGAAATGGAGGATGACTGTAAGTTAAATCTGTTTATTAGTTCATGTTTGTGAATTAATGTGTTGCCCTTGTCTTGTCTTGCTTTTCTTCGATTTGATTGTGTTGTTTTTTTCTAAAGTCTTCCCTCTTAGATGTGATAATAAAGTTATCCTGATCTTTCATGGCCACAATAATCATGAAGTGAAGATCTGATATCATGTTTTAATTCCATAGAGACAAATTTACAGCATGTGCTTGGTTCTAAAATTAAAGTGTGGTATTCTCCAGAGTTACTGTACTCTGAGTCTGTACATAAATATATGTATTTACATCTGAGCTCTAAGCATAAAGGCTGGTTTGATTGTTAAACTAAAATCTGTTTTATGAATTTACTGTCATGTTTGAGTATTTTCTTACATCTGAACAAACTCAACAGAATAGAAATATCGTTTTTGTCCCAGGAGAGACACTTAAAACTTCCCTAGTGTCAAATTTATTCATAAAATCTCAGTAAGGAGCTTCGCTTTGTTGTACTTGGACAAAATAAATAGAGTCTTCCTTGTACGTATAACATTAAAAGCTGTTAATACATAAAACCTTTTAAATTAAATCATGTTTAATCAAAATGTTGAGTTTCCTCCTCCAAAATTAGCACCGGACTCTCCGATCTCTGGAGTCTGTGCGCTCCTGTCGTTCAGTTTCTGTTGAGATTCTTATTTTTCAGATTATTGAGAGATCTGATGTGTTATTGAATGAAAAAGCTCTCTATAATATCTGATGATTATTGTAACTTTTAGACGTTCGCAGCAGTCAGTGTTAAACAGTGAGTCCCCGCACACCTGGGCCTCGGTCCCCACACTTGGGCGTGGTGTGTCTTAAAGAAATACCCACATCAGTGCCGTGTGGGTCACTCCCTGAGCGTATGGATTATGTAACTGGGTGGAGAAATAGGCTCAATATAAAATGGAAACCAACCATTTTATACTGGGTCGTTTCCAGAATCAGAACCCTTTTTTAACAGAACGACTATGAAAAACTACTCAAAGACGTAAAAGGTCATGCACAAAATAATATTTTTGTGGTAATCCTCAAAATAAATCTCCAACCAGAACTTCAAAGAACTTGGAGAGGCTCTGAGGCACCTACAGTTTGGCACCATTTTAAAAGTCCGTCCAGCTGCTGAGCTTTGTGGAGACGGACTGATGCCAAAGAAGAGAAAATGCAGAGCATCTTCACAATAAGAGCAACAATATTCACATACTTGAGAGGTCGGCTGAGGTTGTGGAAAAGAAGTGACAATAGTAACAGATATATTAGAAAGTCCATTTTTACTTTTTTTACTTGTACAAATGCGCTGTTACTTTTGAAAGGTCTTTCTCTCTCAAACTTTCCTTTATTTTTACAACAAAAATGTATTTATCTCTCATGTTTAGTTGCATATCTGGATGATTCTAGGCGATTAAAACAAAGACTTCCTCCAGGAAAATAAAGCTTTCTCTTTCTAAGCGTTCAGGTCTGTTTTCAGTTTGGTGTCAGCCTCAGTATGCAGGAAAATCAAATTTAAAATTCAGGCGAAAATCAAAGAGACTTTTCGTTTGTTCCAAATAGTTCTTATTCATTTGTTGATTAAATTTAGCTCCACACTAACTTCATTCATACATTTAAAAAAAAGACATTCGTGCCTAAATAAAAAGGGTATGAAGTGAGAGTGAGTGTGTGTGTTTGCTGAGCTTATAAGAACATATCCTGTCAGCAGAATGAACTCCAGGTACAAACAGAGCTGTTACTACCTGACCCTCACACCCTGACCTTTCATTCACATGTGGCTGTACCTGTATTGTTGTTTATCTCCCACTTTATACGAACTGAAAACCTCTCAGAGTTCAACAAAAGCAGAAAACACAGCTGCAGCTTGTTGAGATGAATCGAAAAGTCAAAGGTTTGATTTCCCCTCCGTGTTTGTGATGATGTTTTTGACCTCTTTAGCGTCTTACTTTAAATCTTGAAACATGACAGCAGCTACGTCCTCACTTCTCTGAAGTCCTGTAGGTAAGGTTACTCGAGTTACAGTAAAAGGCTTGTACAGGAGGACTGCAGAGTCTTCAAAAACTGACACTAGGTCCATTTGACATTTGGTTTGACCTTTGGCTCTGTCACAGATTGGAGGTTGTGGTTTCTCTCCAGCGATGCTCAGTGTGGTTTTTTACGGTTTGTTTCTTTTTCCTTGTGTGACATTTTGGCATCTACTCCTTTCCTTCACCACACGAACGAAACTAGCGACGCCACAAAGCCAGCTGCAGTGTAACATTAAAAAATCTCATACTTAAAATTAAATTAGTTTTGTCCCTTTTTCCCCAAAGATAACCTGAAAAAATTCACACCACTTTCGAGATTTTTTTTTTTCCACCTTTACTCTGTAACAGTATACTGCAGTGGTTAACTCAGAGGAGGGGCAATCACCACTCCTGGTACCTTCATGACTGAAAAACTGCTCAGAAGTGCTCTCTTGACTGCCTTTATAGTAGATATATGTAATTTAAAAAAGGTCCTCTGTGCTCCCTTTGCAGTGGAAACCACGCAGAAAACACCTTAGTAGATGCTCTTTCAGTAATTTAAATGTAAACAAAGTGCACCCTGGATGCTCCTCCAGTGTACAACATGTAAGCAAACAGTGCACTGATTGTTTTTGGTGAATTCATTTTAAAAAGTGCCCTCTGGTTATTCTCAAGATGGATAAAATGTAAACAAAGTGTCCTCTGAATGATATATAACTATAAAATATACACTAACTGTGCAGTGGTTGTTCCTTGATTGTATAATATATAAATAAAGTGACTTTTGAATCTGATACTGTATGATATATAAAACTACCCAATGGTTGTTCTGTTGGTGGCTCAAATGTAAACAATGGCCCGTCTTAATGTCTTTTTTACCTCACAATATGCAAATTAAGTGCCCAGGTATTTCTCTTTTAGCAGGTAATGTGTAAATTAAGCACCTACTGGGTTTTTGGTGCATAAAATGTCATAGTGTACAAAAACTAAACCAACTGCCTACTGGTCTACTGGTTGTTTTTTAGTGTTTAAATGTAAAGAAAGTGCCAACTGGTTATTTTTTAGTGTACAAAATGTAAACAAAGTGCCACCTGGTTGTTCTTTTTTAAATTAAGCGCTGCTGGGTTTAATTTTTAATGTAAACCAAGAAACTTCTGGGTGCTGTTTTACAGTATATAATGTAAACAAAGTGCTCTCTGGTTGTTCTTTTAGCAGACTGCATGTAAATTAAGAACTGCTCGGTTTTTTTAATGTAAACAAAGTGCTCCCTGGTTGTTCTCATAGTGTACAAAAAGTAAACCAACTGCCTACTGGTTCTTTTTAGTGTAACAAAATGTAAACAAAGTGCCTACTGATTGATTTTTAGTGTATAACATGTAAACAAAGTGCTCACTTGTCATTCTTTTAGCAGATGATACATAAATAAAGCACCGACTGGGTTTTTTAATGTGTGAAATATAAACAAAGTGCAACAACAAGGGTTGTTCTTTTGGCAGAAAACATGTAAATTAAGTACATACTGGTTTTTTTATATCTAAACCAAGAGACTTCTGGATGCTGTTTTACAGTATACAATGTAAACAAAGTGCTCTCTGGCTGTTCTTAAAGTGAATTAAGAGTAAACCAATATGTCCATGTAGATTCTCATTCATCCAGGTCATGGTTATCTTGAAGATTTGAAACAGGCAACTGGACTCTACACAGTGCTCTTTGATTGTCCCTGGTAAAATATGATTAAGTTTCTATGTGTCTTCTTATTGATAATATGTCTGTTGCACATGGTTGGATGTAACGTTTGTGCCTCCAGAGTGATACTTTAAAAGTCTGTAATGGTTGTTCAGCGGATGCCTTTCAAACATTTTTCATCCCTACCTCTCAACTCTTCTGAAAACGCCATTGCGACACAACAACACTATGAGTGTATCATATACACACACTACACTCCACAAAATCTACAAATTGAACTAGGGTTGCTCTGGTCATGAAAATGGTTCCTCTCTGCATGACTTGGACAAACTGACAGAGGTATGACACAGCCGTACGGCGACTAGACTGGGACCACCTTATTGCACTCACCAAACCAGCCTGTAGGGACACAAACAGCTTTATCCTGGTATATCAAACTGTAGCATAAAACATGATATCAATCTGCTCTCTGCCGTTGAGAGTGTATTCCAGGGAGAGTGCACATGTCACACTCCAATTTAGGCTATTATCAGAGCATGATAACCATAATAGTGGCTGTCCTCCTGATTCACGCATTTGGCAGGAAATCAAAGTCACATCCAGGTGTTCAGTATGATGTCAGCCATCTGTGTGTGTACACACAAACAGATGTGGGGCACGGATGACAGATAATCTCTCTACAAAGAGCTCCTACCTCACACATCTGAGCGCAGTGACAATATTTCTATTACGGGAGGCAGTCCTAATGACATCACTGTCAGGTTCAGACAGAGCATTCATAATTTACTGTGTGTGTGTGTGTGTGTGTGTGTGTGTGTGTGTGTGTGTGTGTGTGTGTGTGTGTGTGATGATACAGGAAGTGTATTCTATGAAAATGAAGAAAGAAAAGCTGTTTGAATAGTTCAGATTTTACCACAGAATAGCCGTGATTACGGTTTAGCTCCACATTAAAGAGCTACAGAAACAGCTGAGCTCTGGTTGGACTGTACAGGTCAGCGTGGTCAAATTAAGTATAGAACAGTAAAGCATAGAAGAGAATAATGGAGGATAAGATTTCATGAGACTGTAGAGAAGAAAGTCACAATATTTGTAAAAAGACATGAAACTGAATTTATGAAAACCTTAAAGTAATGTACAGGTGATAACTTTTGCTTTTAGAGCACAAGATACTTATTTAGTGGTCTGGAGTCGAGTTAAGGCCGAGTCACCAGAGAGGTATTCAAGTCCAGTCTAAGTCGAGTCCTCATTATCTGAGTCTGAGTCCGAGGTGAGTCCCTGAATCTGGACCGGATGTGTGAACCCGTAGGACCTTGGCTTTAACAACACTGACAGTTAGTCCTGCAGCTCTAATATCAACATTAACAGGTATAATAATCTTAAGAGTAATAATGAACCAACATCAGGAGGCTAGTTCAGGCAAGCAACTCTAGCTGCAGTATTTTCACGTTTGCTGTGACAGGTGATTTGTCATCAGGTCTATTTATGGTGCAGTCTCTCTCTGCCTCTGCTTTGACGCTGCTGCTGCTGCTGCTGCCCTGCTGAGGAGCTGCAGTCAAACTTTCAGCCCCACCACCTCTCCAGCATCTCCAGCATCCACAGCATCCACCTGCAGGTTCAGACTGGAGGGGGGTGGAGATGTTATGTCATTGTCACTCAATGGGGTGATGAGAATTTGGCGCCCAGCAGTTATGAACAGGATTTTTTTGCACTTGTGTGACATAGGAGTAATAACATGTAAAGTGCAGTGGGAATATTTCACTTAGTAATAAAGATACTAAAGAGTACTGCAAATAGAGAGTAAACCAAGTGCCTCACAACCCATTCCCCATACATGAGCTCCTCCTAAGGACTGCAGATAAAGAGATTGTTAACCAAGATGTTAACACAGACCTCCTAAAGTTTATTCTATTAATTAATAACATCCTAATTATGTGTTACAGGTAATACTTCCTCTGCTTTGGTGCAAGTTTATAGAGCAGCGAGGATGATGTTCTGATCAATGAATCAGTTTAGCAAATGGTGTTAGGATCTCCTCTCAGCCTGTCAGGATTCTAAATAGATGTGTACTATAGTATAGTTAGTATAGTATAGTATAGTATAGTATAGTATAGTATAGTATAGTAAAGTATGATATAGTATAGTATTGTGTTGTATAGTATAGTAAAGTATAGTATATTATTGTATTGTACTGTATAGTATAGTATGGTATAGTATTGTATTGTATTGTATTTAGTATAGTTGCTATGGTATCCTATATTTTTGTAAAGTAAAGGCTAGTATGGTGTAGTATTTGGTACCCCCCCACCCCCACCCCCACCCCCCATCTCTCTCTCTCTCTCTCTCTCTCTCTCTCTCTTCAACCCCCCCATGACTTCATCTCTACCTCTGTTCTGTCCCTCTCTCTCTCACTCTCTCTCAAGCTCCCCAGTCTGTCTCGGTGTCTCTCTCTCTGTCCATCTGTCTCCCCCTCTCTCTTTCTCTCTCTCTCTCTCCAGTCCCCCCTTCTTTCTGTCTCTCTCTCTCCCTCTCTCTCTGTCCCTCTCCCCTGTTTCTTTCTTTCTCTCTCTCTTTTTCTCTTTCTCCAGCTCTCCCTCTCTGTCCCTGTCTCTCCCTCTCTCCCTGCCCCATCACTCTCTCTTGCTATTTCTCTCTCTCCCTATCTCTCCAGTGCTCTCTCTCTCTCTCTTTCCCTGTCTCCCCCTCTCTCCCTCCCTCTGTCCCTCTCTCTCTAGCGTTCTCTTGATCTCTCTCTCTATCTGATTCTCTCTCTCCAGTCCCCGCTTCTCTCTGTCTCTCTCCCCTGTCTCTTTCTTTCTCTCACTCTCTTTTTCTCTTTCTCCAGCTCTCCCTCTCTGTCCCTGTCTCTCTCTCTCTCCCTCTCTCCAGCTCTCTCTCTCTTCTCTGTCCCTGTCTCTACCTCTCTCCCTGCCCCCATCTCTCTCTCTCTCTCTCTCTTCCTCCCTCGCTCCTACCCCCCTCTCCCTCTCTCTCTTACTCTCTCCACAGCTCTCTTTCTCTCTGTCTCTCCCTCACCCCCCCTCCCTGTCTCTCTCTCTCTATCCAGCCCCCCTTTCTCTCTCCCTCTCTCTCTTCTCTCTCTCTTTCTCTCCCTCTCCCTCTGTCCCCCTCTCTCTCCCTCTCTCTCTTTCCTCTCTCTCTCTTTCTCTCCCTCTCTGTCCATCTCTCTCTGTCCCTCACTCTGTCCTTCTCTCTCTCTCTCTCTCTCTCTCCCTCTCTCTCTCTCTCTTTATTTTGGGGGGGTTGAATTCTCTCTCTCTCTCTCTCCCTCTCTCTCTCTTTTCTCTGTCTCTCTCTCGCGCTCTTTTATTTTGGGGGGGTTGGGTTCTCTCTCTCTCTCTCTTTTCTCTGTCTCTCTCTCGCTCTCTTTTATTTTGGGGGGGTTGGGTTCTCTCTCTTTTTCTCTCTGTCCCTCTCCCTCTCTCTCTCTCTCTCTCTCTCTCTCTCTTTTATTTTGGGGGGGTTGGGTTGTCTCTCTCTCTCTCTCTCTCTCTCTCTCTCTCTCTCTCCCTCTCTCTCTCTCTTTCTCTCCTGACCGAGTCTGCCTGCTGAATCTGAGGCCCTGTTTCGTGGAACAGTCATCCAGAGGATCTGAGGAAAGTGGAAAATTTCTGCTCTGAGTTTGAACCTTTTCTGCTTTATCTTCACACTGGGTTATTTCTATCCTAATGTTAGGGAGCGGTGTACTGATCTATTACATTCACATCTATATTATGGCTCTATGTTTAGGTGCACATAAACTATAGTATTACATTAAAGTCACTTCCATAGGTGGACTCTCTGCTGCTTTATTTATTTCCTACTTTAGAGCTTTACCTGTCCAAACCATGTTTAAAGTCTAGGTCAGTTCAATACACAGTTTGTTGTGTTATCTTTTTGCCAGTTCTACTCTAGTCTAAGTGATTCCATTCTATTCTATTGTTAAAATCTGTTTTGTCAAATTCTATTCTATTCTATTCTTTTCTTTTCAGCTTTGTCCGATTCTATTCAATTCTGTTCTATCACTCATTTCTATTCTATTCTATTCCATTCTACTGTGTTATGGTTTGCTAGTTCTACTCTAGTCTAAGTGACTCCATTCTATTCTATTGTAAAAATCAGTTTAATCAAATTCTATTCTAATCTATTCTATTCTATTCTGTGTCTCATAATTTCATACACTTTCTCTTTCAGTTCCTAAAGTTCTCTTCTACTTTATCCTGTTTTTCCAACTTTTATTGAATAAATTATTATACTTTTACTTCTAATTCAATTCAAGTTTTCATACTTTACCAGTACTTTTAGGTTTTGATGAATGAAATCACTTTTTCTATTCTATTCTATTCTATTCTATTCTAATGTGTTATCTTTTTGCCTGTCTGATTCTAGTCTAAGTGAGACCATTCTATTATATTCTATTCTAAAATCTGTTTTATCAAATTATATTCTATTCTATTCTACTTTACTTTATTTCATTCCATTCCATTCTATTCTATTCTATTGTGTTATGGTTTGCAAGTTATATTCTAGTCTTAGTGATTCAATTCTATTCTACTGTTAAAATCTATTGTATCAAATTCTATTCTATTCCATTTTATTCTATTCTGTCTCACCCGCTTTCTCTCTCAGTTCCTAAACTTCTCTTCTACTTTATCCTGTTTTTCAACTTTTATTGAACAGCTTTTTAAACCTTCACTTTTAATTCAAGTTTTCATAATATACCATTACTTCTAAGTTTTGATGTATGAAATCACTCTGTATTCTATTCTATTCTGTTCTATTCTATTCCTGTTCTCTCAGTCATGTTCAGTTCCTCTCTATTCTCTCTTTTTTCCCACTTTAGGACATGTAATTCTCTTCCCTTCTCTCTTCCTTTCCTCTACTTCTCATTCTAGTCCACTCCTTCCCTTCTATTCTGATCTATTTTACTTTTCTACACGGACAGTAATTTGGATTTTTTTTTCCGCACTGAGGTTTAAAAAGCTCAGAACACATTTAGTGAAATGCAGCATGCCAGCTCCTACGTGCATTCTGAATGAGGCTTGTAGTGATATTTGCGTATAACAGAAGCACCGCCTCCCTCCCATTGGACAATGTGTACGTGAGGGCGTGGCAAGGAAAGATGAGAGTTGCAAATCCATGCCCTTACTGGGAAGACATGGAGCGCTATGGACACAGTCTACACGAATGAAGTAGGATTCTCACCAAGAGACTTCAATATTTCTCCCGTGAGTGAAACAAACGTTTTGAGAGGCTGAGAGCAAAGAAAGGGTGGCCCGGGTGAGGATGGAGTGTGCATTTGACGCACAGAATCTGATCTCCATTTCTTTGAGGAAAATCCAAAGCTCCAGGACGCAGAGAGGAGGCATCAAGCTCCACAAGAACTTACTGGTAACGTACGTACTGAGAAACGCCAGGCAGTTTTACATGAGCAAGAACTTATCGCAAACGCAGAGGACGCATCACTATGAGGACGTAGTTGCGGTCCGTGAACGGCACGAATACCTCGAATTGACAGGGAGCTTAACGGAGTTGGCTGATGACTTCTACTGCAACTTTACTGGGGTTGAGTCGGACACTTGGCACTGCGGAGCGCACCAGCCCATCGGCCAGCCTGCAGAGGTGGCGCACCAAGACGCATCCGCCTGCGCAATGGTTCCACCAAGTGACTCTGAACTGATGGTTTCGGAAGCCTGTTGGAGTTGTGCGGACAAATCCTCGTGGGATTTACCTGTCCTAAACGCACAAGCCAACCAAAAGACAGTCCTGGACCTGGACACGCATGTGGTGACTACTGTCACCAATGGATACTTCCACTCAGACTGTTGCGCGCAGTCAAAACAGCCGCAGGGCGCGCACTGCTACAGCAAAAAGCGAAAGATGGACACAACTTATCACATTGTTGATCCAGAGTTTTACTTGCCGGACTTTGGGCTGGTTCCGTGTAAAAGGATGAGGACTGATGATGATTCACACTCAGACTCGGAGCAGTTGGACAGCACGAACATCTCCAACCTGATCTCAGTGCTGGGCTCAGGTGGACTATCTGAGTTTGTGAGTTGGCAGCAGACGGACCTTGAGCAAATATTCTCAGCTCAGACTATTTGTTTAAAACACACACTGTTAACAGGCAGCGGCTGGACCAGAGCAATCGAAGCATTCTGATTGAAAGTGATTGTTTTTCTTTGTACCCTTTTATTTTATTGCCTTCAAATAAAACCTGACACGACTGCAATCCACTCTCTACTGTGTTATTGAACAACATGCTCTTTACATGTGAATTATACAGAAATCACTGCTATTCTGGGTCACTTTTGCACATTATCGTACTAGTGCCAAACTTACACATTGTCCTCACACAGGACTTGTTAATTGGACCTTTATTTAAAGCTTGTTTTCTAGAGATTTCGTTTTGGGGTGCTGCTGGAGTCTGTCTTTGGTTTGTGTTTCCTGAAGAAATGACTTACCCCTGCTTCTCTGGAAAGATGTTGGAAGAGCTCCACCATGTGGCGCATGAAGATCTGTGCAGCCTCCTGAATCAGATCGACGCATAAACTCACCCTGGAAAAATGTATTATTTATATGAGGGCCTGCTCAGATAAATCAATAAAACTCACATCATTTCTAAACTAATGCACTGGCTTCACGTTGCATTTCAGATCCTAATGAGTGATATCACTTTATGCACTTTTTATGTAAGCACAGGAGGGTGCATATTATGGGGACTTTGTATTTTCTCTTATTTCATCAGGATTATGATGCACACAAATAACATTTTACCTTCTGTTATTTTGTTATCTTTAATGGATTAAAACAGGACAGGTTATGTGTCTATGTGAGGTCTGTGTGTCTCTTGTTTTGAAAGGGGAGGTACTCCTGCACCAAACCCCATGTAGAAAAGTATGAATTTAAGAGCGGTGTACTCACTTGTGTTTCCTCGGTGGTCCGAGGGGGGCGGATAGAGGCTGAGAATAGACAGTATGCTTGTCCTTGAGACATGACTGCCCGAGGGTTTCCCATCTATATTACCGGGACAGTCCAAGACTTTAGCGCGTCTGTAGGACAAGATGTTTGCTGTTTTTGTCAGGGCCGCGGTGAGTCTGTGTTTTTTTTCACTCTGCATGTATTTTAGATGTGAAATAACCACCGCGGAACGTGATGTTCGGTTATCCCACAGCTGACTGGGAGCAGGAGGGGCTGAAATACAGGAGAGCAACAATGTCAACAACTCAATGGTTAAAATGTGACATGTGTTTTACTATCTTACACAAGCTGACGAAGTGTTTTGGCGCCATTTGAAGCGGTTTTTGTTGTTTTTCGTGCTGCGTTTTTGCAGCTTCCTCCCGTGACATTTAAAAAACATTAGCCTAGCCTAGCATAGCTGTTAGCATACCGTTAGCTGCATGCGCATGCTTCAATAAAAGCCATCGTAATGAAGTCACGCAGATGTTTCTAATTGTTCCTCTGTTGTATTTATCACATTTTAACCGTTGCTGTAACGTGTTTAACCAAACATTAGAAGGAGAACGGTGAGGCAAACAGCGGAGGTAATATTGTTTTATTTTGAAAAACGCTAACCGGAAGTCACCCACAACCCCGTAAACTGGACACATGAAGGTTAAAGTTGTAAATAATATTTACGATTTTATTAATTCTATTTATTTATTTAACCCTAGAACACTATTGATTAAATTCGTAATAATAATAATAATAATAATAATAATAATAATAATAACTTCGTATAGCACTTTTAAAAACAGAAGTTTACAAAGTGCTTTGACATATAGTCATAGAGCTCATGGGAAAAAAAAGTGGAAACCCAAGAAAAAATTCATGACAAATTAAAGTATTATTTGCAAAAAAATAACTGAAATTAGGCATTAATGAACAAAAAATTCCTCATGTAGAAACTGGATAGTTAGTTTCTTTTCCCCCCATTCCTGGGGCATGTGAGTCTGCCCTGGTGGTGGAGCTGTTATGGTCCTTGGCACAATAAAAGCTGCAGGAGAGAGAACCAAAATATGGCAGATTTGGAGTAAAAATGACCAGCTGACTCAAATATTTCTTATCATGAATTCTCTTGAAAATCACAACTAGCACGCAAACTCCAGGATCACTCTTAGTGACCTTATTCCCTACATGCAGCTGTCAAATCCACCCTAACCTACTTTACCCTCTATCACTAAAGTCACCCTGTGAAAACGTGCCTGTAGGAAAAAGCAGGTTTTGGATCAGGGAAACAAATGTGCCTTCAAAGATGTCAAAGGAAATGCTGAAGCTATCCAGGGACCCATGATGTTCAGACAAACCAAACATCATGAAAATCACCTAAACATGTTTGGTCGGGTGTAAATCACCCGGCGATAGTGTTCAAGGGTTAATTTACTGAATCTCAGTGTTGCTTTATTTTAAACTATCCACCTTGAATATTGTGGGATTTTCTTTTCTTCACATCTTTTTATTTCAGAGTCTTGTTTCTGATTTGTCGACGGTGTTAGGTGCACGAAGGCTCTTAATTTTACTGCTTTTACTTGCTTGTTTGTTTTGGGTACCATTTCAAAGGTACGGCTGTGTCACCCGTCTATTTATAAGCAGGCAGAGCCATCAACACTGCCTGCAAACATACAGTATGAGGGCCGTGTTCTGTTGTTTTGGTGTCCTATTTCACAGTCAACAAGTCACTTTACAGGAAAGTGTGTCACTGTAAAAAACTGCTTCATGTTATTCTTACTGAAACCCACTTACCCTGAGGAGCTTTGTAAGGATTTAGATGAATAAAAACGACAATTAGGAACTTTAGAAACCTGGATCTGAGAGGTGGCTTGTGTCAGATCCTAAATAAAGTAATCTGAATAAACTGAGATTATGTGTTAGAATTAAATATTACACATGCATATAAAAGAGTAAGCCTACAGTTCTCTATTCTGACTCAGACTGTCTCTTTCAGCTGCGGCCTGGCATGGTGCGGCCTTGTCGCCTGGTGAGACCAGTGACCCAGATCCAAGAGAGGTCTCTGGTGCACCAGGAAGGTTTGCCGAAGCTGCCCGTGCCGCCCCTGAAGCAGACCTGTGAGCGCTACCTGGCCCTGCTGGAGCCCATTGTCAGCGAGGAGGAGCTGGAGCACACCAGGCAGCTGGTGGGGGAGTTCCTGAAGGGCGGAGTAGGGGAGAGGCTGCAGAAAGGCTTGGAGCGACGGGCGCGCAAAACAGACAACTGGGTAGATACCCGCATACTTTAGCGTGGTAGTCATTGGAGGAGATAAAAATCAGCTTCCAACACTGTAATCACAGCAGTAATGGAGGAATAAACAAAAGCGCTTTATAGTCTCCTGTCTGACTGCTGCTTTGTTTATGTAGCTGTCAGAATGGTGGATGCAGTCGGCATATCTGGACTGCCGGATGCCAGTGGCGGTCTACACCAGTCCCGGGGTTGTCCTGCCTCGCATGCACTTCCATGATAGACAAGGACAGATGAGGTGAGGAACCAGGATCTGCTGCAAAACCTGTCTGTATGTAAAAAAAATCTGTTTATATTAAAAAAGAAAAGAAAGAAAGAAAGAACCGATTCTGCTGGAAATACTGTCAAAAACTACATTTGTGAACAACTTCAGAGGAAGTCAAATGGCAGTCTTCCAGAAAGGAGTAAAAAGCCTTTAACTGAATCGACTATTTCATCATAGAAGGACTGAAATCATACACACAAAAGCAGGGAAACAACCCGACAGAAGTCAGTCATGATCACCTGAGGAAGAAGTAATGGGGCAAACCCAAAGAAAGAAAGCCACAAAAACATGAATGCAATGAAGAAACGTCAAACTGTAAGATGATAATTAAAAGAAATAATAAAAATGAAAGGAAAATAAAACCACAAAAGAACCAAAAAGCTCCAGAAACAGACAGTTTAATCCTGACGTGTTTCTACTTTCTGGAAGAGTGACTTGTTTGTTTTTTTCACCTTCTTTGCACCACTGTGAAACTTCAGCGCTCTGGTTTTCCTCTTTTTCTATTTCATGATTTACACTATGTTGACTCGCAGTATAAACTCTGAAGCCGACCTTTGTGCAGGCTTCTCCTCAGTGCCGGCTATTTTAAGGTCTACGGCTGCTCACAGCATTGCTCAGCTGTTTTGGGGCTACTATGACCCATGGGACATGCAGTGAAAACAGTGACACAGTTAAAGTAGTATGAGGGGCAGTAAGCTAATAACCCCTCGGCTGAGTTGGACTTAATTTTACACAAAAACCAAAGTAACTCTCAACTTTGATTGTCTTTGTTGCAGGTTTGCTGCCAAACTGATCGCAGGAGTTTTAGATTTTAAAAGAATGATCGATACGTAAGTTTCCCCTCAATAAGCACACACGTGTAGAGCTCATATCCTCATGATGAAAATGTCTAAAAGTGGATAACTGGAGCTGTCCTGTTGCAGTGAGACTTTACCAGTGGAGTACCTGAGTGGAAAGCCGCTGTGTATGGACCAGTATTATCAGATCCTGTCCTCCTGTCGTATCCCTGGTCCAAAGAGAGACACCGTCATCAATCACACCATCGGGAAAACCGCTCCCACTCATATCACTGTGGTCCACAACTTCCAGGTAGTCTTCATCACACAGCTGAGCCTTCTTCCTCATATTTCACCCAGACTTTTATAACTGAATAATCATCTACAGCTGCATAAACCTCATCTGGTTTCCTCTCCAGTTCTTCGTCTTGGATGTTTACAACAGCGACGGCACCCCGCTGACAGTCGACCAGCTGTACATGCAGTTAGAGAAGATCTGGAACTCCTCTCTGCAGACTAACAAGGAGCCTGTTGGCATCCTCACATCTCAGCATCGCAACACCTGGGGAAAGGCTTACAACAACCTGATCAAGGGTGAGCAGAGACGAGTCGAAAGCTGGGGATGATCAGTATCTTCTCAATTATTCAGAGAAACGTAGGAGGTAACTTTAGAGAGACTAAGTTCAGGAGAAGTTTGATTTTTCCTCCTTAGATAAAACCAATAAGGAGTCGGTCCGTGCCATCCAGAAGAGCATCTTCACCGTGTGTCTCGACGCCCCCATGCCTCGGGTGTCAGATGAGCTGTATCAGAGCCGTGTGGCGGCTCAGATGCTGCACGGAGGAGGAGCTCGCTGGAACAGCGGCAACCGCTGGTTCGACAAGACGTTACAGGTCAGTCTTCAGAGAAGTGACTCTGCATGATCAGATGTATGATGGCTCAGGTTTGACTGTGTTTCTAAACTCTCCTCAGTTCATCGTCGGTGAAGACGGCACATGTGGGCTGGTGTACGAGCACGCGCCCGCCGAGGGACCACCCATCGTGTTTCTTATTGATTATGTGGTTAATTACATGTAAGTGTTTTCCACTTAAACTTTAACATTATCAGATTTTCACACGAGTTTAACCTGACTGAAGTGCGTTTTCCAAACAGGCGTAAAACAGAAATGGTCCGCTCTCCCATGGTTCCCTTGGCGATGCCTCTGAAACTACGCTTCAACATCACACCTGAAATTAAAAGGGACATTGATAAGGCCAAGCAGAACATGAACATGTACGAACTCTGCACGTCTGATCATTATCACGTTATCGTTCCCTTTGACACCATGTTTGACTCGCTCTTCCTCCTCCTCTCTGCAGAATGGTGCATGACTTAGACGTGAAGGTGTTGATGTTTTCTCATTTTGGGAAAAATGTGCCAAAGCAACATAAGCTGAGTCCGGACGCCTTCGTGCAGATGGCTTTTCAACTCGCCTACTTCAGGTAGTCAAAGCCTCTTCCTCTGATTGGTCATGTTGATCGCAGAGTTTTGCTCATGCAGTGACTCTTGTTTGGTGTTTTAGGATGTATAATATTTGCTGCTCTACGTATGAGAGTGCATCGTTACGAATGTTCAAATACGGCCGAACAGATGTAATCCGCGCGACGACTATAGAGTCTCTGAGATTTGTCGAGGCGATGCAAGACCCCGCTAAACAGGTACTGTAAAACTTTAGACTTTCACTACAAATGTGCAGTTTATGTCCTTTTAAAGAGTCTGACTGAGCTGATAACGCTGTCAACAGAACACGGAGAGGGTGGAGCTGCTGCGCCGAGCTGCTGAGACACACAAGAAGAACACGTCGAATGTAAGAAGTGGAAATTCACAGCGCTTGTTTGAGTTTATGTGGTTTATCTAAACAGGTTTGTTGTTTTTTAGGCGATTCACGGACAGGCTATAGACAGACACCTCCTGGGTTTGAAGATGTTGAGTATTGAGGACCTGACCTCCATGCCTGAGATATTTATGGACACCTCTTTCGCGGTGGCTCAGCATTTCAATCTCCTGACCAGTCAGGTAGCTTTAAATCGCAGAAAACCGGCAGCCTGTTGTCTCTAAGCACGTGATTATGCGTCTTAATGTTCGTCTGTGTTTGCCCCCGTCTCCGCCTACAGGTTGGCTCCAAGACAGACTGCGTTATGTGCTTTGGCCCGATGGTGCCAGATGGCTACGGAGTGTGTTACAATCCCATGAACGAGCACATCAACATCGCCATCACAGCCTTCAACAGCTGCGAGGAGACGCACGCTGCCAAGTTCGCCCAGGCTGTGGAGGACGCTCTGCTGGACATGAAGGCGCTGCTCGAAGACACAGCTACAGCCGAGCAGTGATCTCCCGCTGGAGAGCGGCGCGGCGGTTGTGTCCTGCCAGACTTGAACCAGCGACGGGCTGAACGCCACGCTGACGTTCACACATGGTACACTGAGCTGGCTGGAGCGGATAGGAAACGGGTCATATAAAGGTTTTGGGAAGTACAATATTTGACTGTCAGTGCACTGCCTTTGTAAGGAAAAGCTATTCTCTGTGAGGGAAACTATATTTTAACACATTGTATTATATATATATATAAACTTGAAAGGAACTTTGCTGATTGTAATGGTAATGATATTTATTTCTTTGTTCATACAGTGCCATTTCCTTGTCCTGTCCTCTGTCCTCTTTGAGTTAAAGATTTTGAGTGTTTTGGTTTGTTGCTGATTCATTTCAGGTTAAAATTATTCGCACGCTGAAACAAAAACAGGCTGTGGCTGACGTCAAACCTCCTAAAAACAGTTCACATCGAGTATCAAAGACGCACAAAGGAGTATTCAGCTCTGAAGCTCCCTTGTGAATGCAGGTAGTCTCCATGAAATTCAATCTCAGCCATGTTTCCAGACGACTGCCACTGAAACAGCTGTTGGCCTTTAAACACATATGTCTTCACCTTGTCCATGTCCCGGATCTGAGCAGAAGACAAAATAGAGCACAAGTTATTACACTCGTTCTTTATCCTGCGATCTGCAGCACAAAAGAAAAAAACAACTGCACATGAGAAAGCTCGTCCGCACCATTATAAACGTAGACTGGGAGTTGGTGGAGTTGAATACTAATCCTATGTGCAGCGCCTGGATTCTGATCTTCACTGCTGGAGGGGCGTTGATGAGGACCCGACAGGTGTGGTTGGTGCTGGAGGTTGTGGGGTTCTCAAAGACGCCGCTCGAGGAAAACAGCTGAATGTCACAATCTGTGCAGCAGAGAAAGACTGAGTTAAAAATGTTGGGAATAACCCTTTAATCAGATCTAATTTAATCTACTGCAATAATTTAAAACAGTATTTAAACAAAGATATTTTTAGACCATAAAGATGTGAATTTAATTATAGCAGCGTAACAAAGAAGGTGACAGAAGTACAAAAGAGGATTAGAGCCAAATGAAGAGAAAAAAAATAATTACAGGAAGGAGATTAAAAATTAATGTCTAAGTTTTGAGATTTAAAAAATCAAAAACATGTCAAAGTCAGGATTTTAAGATTAAAAAATTGAAATTTCAAGTTTAAAGTCAAAATTTCAAGATTACAAAATGTCAAAATGTTGTAAATAATGCCAACATTTTGAGATAAAAAAAAATTAAGTTTGAAACTAAAGTTTCAAAGTTTTGACTTTATTCACTTAGTTTTGATTTTTTTAAATCTTAAAATTTCAATTTATTTAAGTTAAAGTTAAGTTATTTAATTTAATTTAAAAAATCTCCCTCCTGTAATATTTTTTTCCCTTCTTGTGGCCCTGATTCTCTTTTATATAGAAGACTCTGTGAGAGACTGCGTGAGCTAATAAAGTCATTTTAGTGTGAAAGTGCAGAGATTTAGCAGATTTCATCACCTACAGGACAGAACTTCATTAAGAGGTTCAGGAAAATCTGAAAAATTATGTTTGCAAAAGGGCCAAGGAGTAAAACAAAGCAGCACTATGTTAGAATAGACATGACTCTGTAGTGGAAGTTACCGCATAAGCTAAAAATCACTTTCAGAAATGATTGTCTGTGAACACAATTTGTCACTACATCCACAAATGAACCACTATTTATAAACAAGATCCTTTTATATTATATTTATACGGGGAAAACTGGAAATCATGGATCCAGCATCAACTGCTTTAAAGAGAAGAGAAACCACCAGGACACAAGAACTGCACTTTAAAGGGGGCACATCTGATGGTATACGGTGATGCATAATCACTCGTACATGTTTATGACAGACATTTATACACACAATGACTTTTTTAGGGAAGGCCTTTCATAATACAACAAGAGTATGACTCTGTAGTAGAAGAGTCCTGCTGCTAAACCGGCCTCCCTGGAGTCCTGAACCATCAACTATTGTGAACATTTGACAGAGGAGATCCTGAACTGTTCAGCAGCTGGAATAAGTGAGAATGAAACCTTAAAAATGAGGGTCATCGTTGTCGCCGCTCTGTCAGCCTTACAAAAATGATTCTCCCAGCGTTCCTGCTTTAATTGCAGGGCTCTTGTATCTGATTGCATTAGACTCTGCAAGTGTTGTTAGCATCATTGCACACATCTCTCTGGATTCAGTCGGAGCTTTTATGTTGCAATCCGCTCAGACGATGAGCTCACCTCACGTAAACGACTCCAGAAAGAAAGAGCTGCCTCTTACCCTGATAGTGGTTCTTCTTCGTGTTTTTCTGAGACCTGTACGTGAACACGATCCCGCTCCCAGGGGCGAGCAAACTCTGACGCACCAGCAGGACGTTTGTTCTTGTGATCAGCTCGCTGCCTGCTACCTGCTCGCACTTCTTCACCAAAACCAGGCGGTCAAAAAAGGCGACACTCTCCTCTGCAGAAACACAGTATTAGTTATGTAACATAAACAGTCATGAAACTATAATTATGTATACATTTATTAAAACCTACTTCTTCTGCAGTTTAAGGAGCCAGACTCCACTTTCAGATGAATCACCTCATCCAGGGGTCGACCGATGGACACGGTGCAGCGCCTGCTTACGTTTCTCAAGTCCACCGTTCCTGACTCTTCCAGGAGCAGCTGTCCACATGCACCTGGGATAAAAAACAAACACCACCTTTAGTCTTCAACTCTTTCTCAGAACATGTGAGCAACTGAGGCTCATGGGAACTTACTTCCTCCAGGAGTAGGGGGCGCTGTGGTCTGCAGGACGGTGATGATCTCTGTAGGGTTTGGGGGAAGCTGCTCCTCTGGGATGCTGGCCTTCGCTTCAGTCTGGTCTGCAGTGGTAACATCTGAGGTGGTCGGCACATCGGCGCAGCTGTCGTTAAAGCAGCCCTGGATGGTGATTGGCTTAGGCATGTGCAAGCAGAACAGAGGGCTGATGGGCTCAGGGTTGGAGGGGCCCATGCAGGACACGGCTCTGGACTGGATCCCATAACCACAGGGTACCGAACACTGGGGAGCAGAGATACGCTAACTAGCTGCGTTTACATGAGCACAAATAATCGGAATAAAGGCCCGATCGGAATAAAAATGCGATCGAGAGGGGCGGTTTATGCCGATCGTTATTGCGAAACTCTTCCATGCAAACACTTATTCCGATCGTGACTCTCTTACCTGACTCGGTCTTCACTCTTTCGTCTTTGGTTTATTTGTTGAGGTTTCATTATTAACACTCTGGTATAAAACACAACCGCATGTCTGCTCTTCCGGTAACATAACAAGGCGTACATGCAGCGTGATGATGTCACATCTGCACGCACAGTGCAACCTTTGACAGAACAGTAAAATAAGTAGGCGAGGGTGCCATCTAGTGACAACATCTAAAGGGGAAAACTCTTGAATCAGATGGAGTGAGCCACTAACGTGTTTGTTGGTTTGGTCCAAATTCTTCTAATCTGAATAAAGCTTAGTGCATGTATACGCACGTCATGATCGGATCATTTGATTTTGCACCGATATAAACAGTAGATTCAGATTATCAGATCGCTCACATTTTTAATCGGATCAAGAAATTTTGCACATGTAAACATGGCTCCTGCTTAATCAGCTGATTAATGGTGTTTTGACACAGTGGCATCACATCCCGCACCCTCACCTCCTTTTCATGAACCACCAGTCCAGAACCAGGTATTAAAAGTTTATAGTGACACACCATCATAGATAAAAACCTTATAGATGTAGATGGTTTACCTTTCATCTTGGGAAATTAGTGATAGATATTCATTAATATTTGGTCATTAGGATTAACGAGCTCTCCTTTAATGGGCATCCTGAATCTAATCTAATCTGAACGTTCGGGTTCATTTGTCTTCAGTTTCATGTACCTGACTCCACGGCTTCACCTCCCACCTGAAGGTGCAGACCTGCAGCAGGCAGGGCACTGTGGTGGCTGGTTTGACAGCCGTGTGGCAGTTCTCCTCGGGGACGACGCTCTCTTTACCGTGGAGGAACTGGACACACGACACAGTCCTCTGAGCTACACCCAGATCACAGGAGACCGAGCAGGGTGAAGTCCTGAATACCTTCCACCTGCACCAGCGACAGACGGATTCAGACCATTCTGTCTTCTGCAAAAATAGATTTCACACTTGCAGAATGTGTGTGTGTGTGAGTGTGTGTTTGTGTGTGTTTTACCTTGCTGGGCAGCTGTGTGTGTTACATGAAACCACTGCTGCAGGTTTTGGAAAGTCTGTGCACCCTGAATCCTCCACCACCTCCTCCTCCTCCTCTCCCTCTGTCACCACAGCACAGTACAGCACCCTGGTGGCCACCCCTCCTCCACACGTAACACTGCAGACTCCTTGCTTAGAGCGCCACCTGGTTGTCACAGAAGATATGAGACTAACTGCATTACAGAACAGATGATAACTGTATTTTTGTGCGTTTGAGGCGTGCTGTCTCACACAGGGGGGCAGGGGGACGGGTTGCACGCCTCGGACTGGGGAGGAGGTTTGGAGGATGAATCACAGTTGAAGTCAGGGACCCCCAGCCGGGTCTGGTGATCCACACAGGAGAACCACACCTGCAGGGTCCCTACATAAGCATCAGGCTTTTGTTGACATCATCTGCAGAGGAGATGTTGTTTCTTGGAGCAGATGGGTTTGTATTTTTTACGTACCGTTCCCACAGGTTTTGGAGCACTGACTGATCACAGGACTCCACACGTACACAGGAGTCTGTCTGGAACGTGGCGACAAACCAGACTTGAGCGCGGGCTGATCCTGATTAAAGAGGCGTTTGTTTAGACCAGATCCACTGTTTGAAATGAGAGTAAGAGATTATGTATTTCCTGCTCTACCTCTTTTTTAGATTCCCACCCGATCGGGCAAACGTCCACCACACAGGGCACCGACTCAGAGGGTCTGATCTCTTTCGAACAGAAGCTCTGATCCACTTCAACGTCCTGCCCGTCTTCTGGACGCACACAGGACACTTGGCGTTTAGCTTCACCTGGCCCGCACACCGCTGAGCATTCACCTGGCTCTGACACGAGCCATCTGTGAACACACATGAGGGCAGCTGATAGAGGACGCAGGAAGACTTCTCAAAGACCTCCTTCAGCCACAGATTAGGACGTGACTCATGCACCTTCTGAGTTTAGTAATCAAACATTCAACCTTTATTCAGAAATGACATCTACTGTACATCTAAACTGACATAAGACAACTTCAGTCATACTTCGTTTGTTAAATATGAGATTTAATTGAAACAGTGCAGATAATTGATCTAATGCTGAAACTAAAGACTTCCATAGTTTAATTAATGATATCTATATCTATCTTTATCTAAAATATCATATTTATATCTAGATATGATATTATGATGCCGGTGTCACAGACCTGAAGACCAGGTTCTGGAGTCTAAAAGTCATGGATATAGGTCCTGTTTTAGGTGTCAAGATGCTCCAAATGTTTTTAACAGGGTACAAGTCGGGACTGCATCAGTTTAGTGTCTCAGCAGGACCCTTCTACTACAGAGCCATTAGGGCTGGACGATAAACCCAAAATTTACAACAATAACCGACATCATTTTGTCCATATCAGTATATTCAGTGTCAAAAAAGTAAATAAATCAAAGTTGGTTTTGGATGTGTGTAGGTAGGCTGTGGTCTCATGTCTCTTTAAGACGCTGTCCTACGTCAGAGACATGACTCCACCCCATCCAGTCTGTAACAAAGAGGGAAAGACAGGTGAGGAGATGGAGGACGGAGAGAAAGTTGGAGCGGCTGAAGTAGACGAAGTTACTGTGGGAGGGGGTGAGCAGCTTGTGGAGTAGTTATCGTCCATTTATCGTTATTGAGGTGAACTGATCAATATATGTGATATTGATTTGAGGGCATATCGCCCGGCTCTAAGAGCCATGCTGTTGTAATGAGTTTTCCATCATCATCATCGCTGGATTCGGGTCCAGAGAAGTTGCTGAAACATGTTTGTTTGTGGTTTCTTCTTTGCATGGTTTAGTTCAAACTGTGTTAGCAGAAAGGTTCTGCTCCATGCAAAGATTTCCACCACTGAGTCCTATTCTTTTTTTAATGCAGTGCTGCCAGAGTGCAGAGTTTGATAAGTTGAATCTAGTGGTTCGAGATTTAAAACCAGGTCTAGAAGATAACCGCGTGTAGATCAGGGACTTCCTACCTGGCAGGACAGTGTTGCAGGTTACACTTCTCTGCAGCATCTGGAGCGTCATCACTCGAGCATTCAGAGTCAGGAACATTCACCACGTCAGCTCCAAGTTTCTGAACACATCTCACAGGACGCACTCGCTCCCCTCCACCACAGGAGGCGCTGCAGGGCCCAAACATCCCCGCCTCCCACCTGTAAGGTAATGAATCATTCATGTGTTCCCGTTTGAGGTCCGTCCACTGGGAGAGAACAGAGAGAAGCAGCTCACCTGGGGGGACAGGGTGGGAGCTGACAGGTCGTGTGAGGAGGTGTGGGAGGAGCCGGGGTCGGACAGTTGTGCTCCTCCAAAGGGTTGTTAGTGTCTTCAGCCACACAGACGTGAAAATATCTCTGCACACCTTTAAAACAGTAAATATGGATGTAAAAATACCGCCTCCTGGATGCTCTTTCAGGATATTTCATAAACGTCCCTTCTCTGTTTCCATTTGTTCACCAAATTGGGATTCAGCGAGTTATTCTGTAGCTGAGAAACACGTACCTAATCCACAGGAGGCTGAGCAGGGCGTCGTGAACACAGCCCATTTGCCTTTAACTTCTTTCACGTCACTATTTCTCCTCGGTGTGTAAAACTGATAGTTGATGCTCGGGTTTGTCCTCTTGCCGTATTCTTTGCCGTACTTTCGATAAACCTGCGAATAAACGAGTTTCACTTTATTCACCTCTTCATTCAGACATTAGACCGTTCTTCAGATCTGTCCTCTGCCTGACCTGGATGTTTATCTCCTCCTGCAGCGGCCCGAGCAGATGCAGCTCCTCCATCTCGGGTAAAAGGTCAGGGGTCAGGTAGAGGCGGTACTGCAGGTGGTTGTCATCCAGCGGGGAGGGGTGGGTCATATTCAGCGCCATGCTGCCCATCCCAGACACGACGTACTCGTCATCCCCGACTTTCACGGCTGCGGATCCAAATTTCAAAGACAAGATCGAGTTTTAAAGCCGCTTATCCGACTTTTAGGAGGAGGATTCAGGTGATGTCACTCACCCATGTGTGTGAAGAGTGGCGCCGTGTTGAAGATATAGACCTGTGTGGCGTTCACTGGCAGAGTGAGGAAGGTGGTGTACTCTGAAACAAAGAACGACCTCAGTACAGAGACAGAGCTCAGATCAGGTCATAATGAGGCCTTCTTATTGGTTACCTCTGGCCTGACCACCGCTGTAGGAACCAGAGGTCATAGTGCAGGATGACCCCTGTCCACCGCACACGCCACACACATCCCTCACTTTCCCAGAGTGCATCACACCGTCACAGCCGAACAGCTGATCAGACACAAACAACACATCAGAAAAGTATTCCACTGGATTTAAAGCGTGAAGGGAGACCCCGCCTCTGTCGTCTCTACCTGACATTTCCCTTTCAGACAAGCCGCCGTGGAGCCGAATGGAGGCGGGCCGTCGGGTTCACAGCGAGTCCCGTCCACAAACTGAGACCCCCGCATCACGATGAAGTTTTCCCCCTGGGACTGGCACGTGTATCTGCACTGTTCATCCCCTGTTAGTGATCAGGAGAGGTCACACCGCTTAAAGGGATAGTTTGTAGTTTTTAAAGCGAGGTTGAGTGAGAGCATTTCTAAACACAGAGAGGTCAACCAAGGAAACTGGACAGCAGTCAGAACAGACCCGCTTCAAACTTCTCTAGACTCATTCTCCACCTGGTTTCTCGATCACCTCAGACAACCTCACTTCAAAAACCTGTCCCTTTTACCAAGTGGACAAGAAAAGGTTTTCTCCACGCTCACCTTTTGCGAAGCCCACAGCAGGGATCCAGGTGTAGAAGGAGGCGATGTGAGGTTGCAGGTAGAGAGGGTGGGAGTCTGTTTGAGAGCACTGCTCCGCCATGAAATCCAGCTGGGTGCGCTCACACGGCTGCAAAAACAGTTTCCTTTTTACTTTCCCAGATGGCATCTGAATCCATCAGAGTCAGACCTGAACCCACTTCCCCCCAAATCCCCCATAAAGCAGTCTGGGCAGGACGTTTTCTTTTATCTCAAATTGATTTTCAGAATAGTTCACTTTGCCCCGAGCTCATGGTCGAACTTTAAAATGACTTCTGTGCCTCGGAGTCTCTGGGTCGTCCCATCAATCCTCCTCATTCTCTGAGCTCAGGCTGCTCATTCCTCACAGAAGAAGATCATGTCAAAGCGGTGGCACAGTTCCAGGTACAATGATCACCTGGACACACAGTACTGACTGACTGAGCTTACCTGCTGGTGACAGAGTCCGGCTTGGATATCCGGCCCCTCGCAGTCGGCCCCTCCAAAAGCAGGTCTGTCATATTTCAGAGGAAATCTTTTAGCCACACTTTAATCAGGTCGTCTACAGGCTGTGCACGTTGCTTCATCATATAAACTATAATTAAAACCTTGGGTTATTGCACTTCCGTGTACGATGAGTGACTCCCCCACCACATGTCCGTGAGCAGGGGGTGAACTCTGACCAGCTGGACCAGGAGCCGTGCACCACCACAGAGGAGCTCAGCTCATCCAAGGACACACAACGCCCCCTCAGACACCACTGCAAGCACATCATTTCAAATATGCACGGTCATCTGTGGAGGAATGATTGCAGCAAAACGACTCACTGATCAGGGGGGGCTGTGGGTACCTGATTGGGCGCACACTCGGTCCCGTCCAGCAGCGGGACCAGGAGGCGTTTGCAGGAGCTGTTATCGTCGGGGTTTATGTGACAGGACAGGGCACGGCAAGCCGGCTGATGGAAAAGGAGACTCATTCTGTCAACAGGACTTGAAATGTGGGCATGCTGCTTTTTTTTTTGGAGGTGTTGCACCACCTGGTGGACACAGGCTGCTATTACAGGTGACTCACCAGGTCTGGGTTGGTGAAAGAGCAGGCTCTGGCTGAGTTTCCAAAAGCGATGCGACACTGATCATCCACGCCGTAATAAAGTCCAGGTTTCCAGTCCTGCAGAGAGCCTCCCAGAGCGGGCAGGTCCTTAACGCACTCTGCTTTACCTTTCCTGGAAACACAAACACAATCAAAACACATTCAACTTTGACCTCTGCAGGCAAACGTCTCACACTGAGGATGTCAGAAAAGCTGACCAATGTAAAATAATGAGAAGCTCTGTCAGCAGAGCCCGGCCTGCAGGATGAATGAGAGGCTTTGTCATGCACAGGTGAGCCCACCTGAAGAATGTGAACAGCTGCTGTCTGCTGCAGGGCGACCAGGTCAGATCCACGCTGTTGTAGCCTCCGTCAGACGCCATCATAAAGCCGCTCCTGCTGCAGGTGTTTCCCACGCCGTCGTGGTTGATCCCAAAGCTGAATGAATGGAAAATGAAATGTGTAGTCATTAATCCGACAATCAAGTTTGAAAAGTGGATTATTTGGAGTTGTGGTCGTTAAACTTCATCATCTCATTGTGCAGTAGATACCCTCGCTGCAATTAAACTGAAAAATCTCTCCTCTCAGGATTTGCTTCATTAAATGATCTGTTATTGCTGCTCTCAGTTCTCAGTGTGATTCACTTTATTCGATTATCCCTACTGCTCAAACGGCAGCAAATGAATATCTTTTATGGCTCTCGGATTTTTTCAGTCTTTATAAAAGCTCCCCAGAAGAAAGGGCCGTTAGTTTGAGTACTTCAAAAGACAAATAGGAAATGCTCAAAGTAGTGAAAAGGAGGACTAAAGCTACCCGACAGTTCATCAGAATAAATTAAATGCTTGTACTGATGCTTTTTTATACCGGATCGACTCCTCTTGTTGGTTTTTCAGCTGCAGAATTAACTGGCAGAGATTTTTGATTTGTTACAGGACAGAAATCTGTTGAATTAACCTGGTTAAAAGATCAACTTTTGCTCTTTTCCTTTTATTGTGTGATATATACTAACAGACATTAAAAACAGAGCAGTGATATTTAAAGTTTGATGTTCACCGTGCAGCAGATTCACTCGCAGCATGTTAATTTGAGAATCTTTCCTCTGAGGGTTCGCTTCATTAAAACTGTCTGTTCTTACTGCTCTCTATCTACAGAGTGATTTACTCTTTACTCTTCATATATTACACTTCTTCATCATTTTTTGGGGTCTGTAATTTCCTGATAAAATATCAGAGGTTTTATGAAAGTAGCTTTATATTCTGTACCTATTTGAGGGGAAATGTTATGGATCCTTTAGGGAAGCGCTCTGTGCATCATTTCACCGGCTGCTTTATTCTTCATCTATCTTATTACCTGCTCCGTGTTAACCTGACTTGAACCGACTAAAACAGCAGCTACCTGGTTATATGTTGAACTTTGTTTCACCTGTGTCCGATTTCATGAGTGATAGTGATCCCCAGGTCGAAGCCCGTGTCCTCCGTGATCACGCAGCTCCAGTCACTGGAACAAGCCCCGCCCAGCTGAGCCACACCCCTGACCTGCTTATTCCCATCAGGCAGCACCAGGTCGTACCTGCGTGTGATGTGAAAGGTGACCAACGAAAATCACAGAGAGAGGAGAGACAAACAAGAGGTGTCTGCCTCCAGCACTACTTTAAGGGACTTCAGGTAGAACAAAGAGACCCAGTCCTGTCTCAGTCTGATCCTATCCTAACTGACTGGTTTCTCTACAGACCTTGTAATGTACAAGAGGAGATCAGCGTGAAGAGGGTCTGTATCGTTCGAGGGGTTTATCCTTCTGCCCCAGTCACACACACTCCTGAGCGACGAGGTGATGTTGGTGGACATCTGGATCTCCGGCTGGAAGAGGAACCGCAGGAGTAAAAGTAAAATAAAGAGATTTCAGCTCAAAAACTGCTCCTTCAATCATGACTCCCCCTCGTAAACTCGATCCTCTTACCTCTGGTTCTGTTAGGATGATCATACGGACCAGGTGCACTCTCATGTTGGCACCCAGGGTCATGTCTCTCAGCAGCTCTGAGGCCTGGATGGCAATTAGACTTGGAGTCAGGCTAATCCATATTCCAGAGTGAGCGGGGTGTAAGAGGACTATAATGTTTCTGCTTCTATATCTGGCTTTGTAAACACTTCAACATATAACATCTCATCTCATTTTCTCTCCAGCTCGTTCTGCTTTTTCCTTTCCTGTGCTGTGAGTTCACTTTTTAACCCTTCAAGAGCTGGAAACTGTGTTTTTGTTTGTACATTTGGTTTCAAACTGCTCAGAAAACCCTCGTTTCAGAGTTTGTTTGTGCTCATACTCACGATGTTAAGGTTAGTGAGGATGTATCGCTCCGTGTCTTGCTTGTGGACCTCCTGGACGTCGGGTCCGACCACCACCAGCAGCTCCAGATGTGTGATATCAGGGATCGAAGCTGATCGACGCAAACGTGTAATCTCTGAAGAAGAAAAGTAGAAACAATAAACAGAGGCAAGATTTTAGATAAAGTGTCTGTTTTTGAAGTTACATGAGATATATGATACTGACATGAGTTATAGGTTTGTTCTTTTGATTTTTCATTTGATCTTATTTTTATCTTATTTATGTATTCATTTATTTTTACTTTTTTATCTTCCTTTTTTTAATTTTATTTTTTTTATTTTTAATTTAATTCAATTTTTATCTCATTTATTTCTTTATTTTATTTTTTTAAATCTTTTTTTTTAAATTTTATTTCTTTATTTTTTCTTTTAATTTCTTTTTTTATTGTATTTATTTTTTATTTTTTTGTTTTTATTTTTCATATTTAAAAAAATGTTTAAGGTGCGAGGCAAAATATAAATTCAACAACTTAACTTTATTAATATTTTCACCTTTTATAGCTGCTCCCTGTTCTTTATGTTACTATGCACAACTATGTTGTATTTATTCTGTTTATTCAGTCAACCATTTATTTGTCAGGGATGTTATATGTATGCACTATTACATCTAATTAAGAGTAACTGATGCAAACCCGTTTACACACTTAAAAACAAGATTTATAAATAAAAAATAACATTAAAATGTCAGAGCCCAATACAGACCTTCATAAAGGTGCCATCAGTGACTTTTGACCCGGTGATTTAAGGTTTCTCTGTTTGTATAATGACAACATAGTCCTTATTACTGTTAGGCTAACCCGGCCCTCAGACAGTTGGACAATAGAAGTCTAATAAATTCACAGACTGTATGTGTAAATAGTTAGCCAGAAGGGGTAAACAAGATCTTATAAGTCAAAAGAAACTCAGATTAGTCTTGATGGTTTTAATATTCATCTGATACGTGCTTCAAATCTTAACTGAGAACCTGAGACAACGCTTAGATGTTAAACTTATTTACTTTATGGATCGCCCTCTGATTAGCAGTTATCTCACAATCATACGGTTTTAGAGACTCTGCAGCCATCAGTGGAGCGTTTGTCTAAATATAAATAACTTCATCATCAGCAAACACAGTTGTTGGGGAGGTCATTAGAGAAAACAGCAGCGACCCCAGAATGGAGCCTTGTGGTACACCCAGAACACAAGACTCCAGAAGTGATTAAAACCAACAGAGAGTTAGTTTGGAAAAGATTTTAGAGTTTTTATCATTTATCTAAAGTAAGTCATAGCTGATAGTACCAAAGGCCTTTTACGAGTCCAAAAATACTGTTCCTATAGTTTACTGTCATACTGTAAATGTTATGAAGCCATTTCTGTCAAAAACTCTGTCGTTTTATTTATGATTCCTTCACCAATTATTGCTGATCTATCACCTTTTTGTATGTTTGTGTCTGTTTGCCCTGTAAACCAGAGTCACAGGCCCTCTATGTGCTGATTCAACAAAGCTGATTCTGATTCTTTCCCCGTGTTCAGAGACGTACCTGAGGCATCAGGAGAGGAAACTATGTCCCTTGTACTGGAGGAGTGATGAAAATGCTTTAAGAGGAGACAAACAAAAACACAGTTTTTAGCTCTTTAGGAAACAGCAGCTTTAAAAGTTGTGTTGCTAAACTTAGATCTGTGGCCTGAACACTGGATGACAATATAAAGTGTTTTAGAGGTTAGTTTTTAACTCCAGTCCGGCACAGTTGTGACTCTCTACAGGTTGTGGTTTTTCTAACAGGATGATAAGCAGTTTAAAGTTGAAGGGTTCAATGGACTTTGCAGAAGCAGTGGAATCACTAACCGCAGCGCTCCTGCTCCTGCTCGCCCCGCAGCTTTTCCACCTACCTCGTCCAATGGAGAAGTCATTAGAGCGGCAGATCCAGGCCACAGTAGGAGCAGACAGAGCAGAGTCATAAAAACCATGTTTCCCCTCGTCTCTTCCTGTGTGTGAGTGAGAGTGTGTGTGTCTACCTGCTCTGCTTTAACACCACTCTAATATGTCAGCCTCCTGTTCTGTAGCAGAGAGTAGGAGTAATGTGTGTTTGTGTAAACAGGAGGGTAAAGTTGGCGAAGGACACGCGTCATCCGCTGTTTTTTTACCCCAAACTCAGGGACCAGAAGGACAGCTCTGATTGGTTGTTTTTCTTTTGTTGTACTATGACTAATTCCTGTACTTTCTACCTCTATCACTGAGCAAAACTATCACAACAACCCATCCAGACTTTTGTACTCAAACATTTTGATAATGGGATTGAATTAAAGATACCAGCTGCATGCTAAATTTAGAAACAAACACCCACATGTGATGGCACTCTTATTTAAATTTAGACCCTCACAGCTGCAGTGAATTCTGAATGAATCCTGTTTAACATAAAAAAAAACAAATGTGTGTTATTACTCGGTAGAGCCATGAGAGGGCAGACGTGATCCTGTGCAAATGCACCAAAGAGAGTGGAAGGGGAAAGAAGCGCTCACACAGGAGAGTAACAAAATACCATCTTCCTCCAAAAGAGCCATAAAATCATATTAAATGCTAAATTGCCTCATTCAGAAGTTTCACAGCAGAAACGATAAAAGGAAACATTAAAGCTGTAATTGACAGGTTTGATCCTCCGGGTCATGGCTCTTATTATGTTCATTTACTACTTCAGATGCTTGATATTCAAAATATTTAATTATTTGTACATCATTAAAGTAGAACCAGGCTCCTCTGATTGTGCTCTCCCTCTCATGTAACACCGTCTGACTCTGTTGATATGTTTTCATTTTCCTCCTGCCACATAAACAAACACAGACTCTAATCCACCTTTCAGACCAACTCTGAAGAGTTGTTTTTCCTGCAGAAAGAGTTTGACCGCCCCCGTTCTGCTCTTTAACCTCCTCTCCATCCTCTTCCCTCCTGAGAGGCTACAGTTTATCTCCATAAAACCAGAACTCGAGCCCCGTCTCCCATTAGCCTGACAGATATCTGCCTTTTTCCAGTCTGAATTAACAGCTGGGTGTTACAGGCATTACACCAGCAACACCGCTCCTCTAAAACCTCAACGCCCTGCTGGATTTAACGAGCACAACAGACTGTGATAAGTGTTGCTGGATCCTCGTGTCTGGTCCGAGCAGGGGAGGAATTGTATATTTATGATGTCTTAAATTATAAATCAAGACATATGGGACGCTCAAGTGGGCACAACAGATGATGCCTCAGGAAAACGCTGTTTGGATGCAGTTACTGAAGGAGGAGGAGGAGGAGGAAGAGGAGGAGGAGGAGGTTTTTTATGGAGAAACAATGATTGCTATTCCTCTGATCTGCTCTCCTTCCCTCGCTAAACTTTGATGCATTAAAAACGTCCCTGCATATGTGGCGTATTAGTTGCACTGACCCTTTAAAGTGACATTTGGTGAACCAGGTTTTGTTTTGTGAAGCCCAATCTCTTGTTGCTTCATTTGTGAGAGGCAGTTATGCAAAGTGGCTCTGCTTTGTGCATAAAAGGATTCCCGTTCATCTGCTGCTCTGTCTGAGTCTCTCCGTCTGTCACCCTGTAGTAAAAGATTCATGGGTGCAAAATCTGTAAACACTGACCTTCCTCTTCAGTTTAGCACCACCACCTAAACTCTAGTGCAGGCTCCACTTCACTGATGGGTATCCACTGTGGCTGTGAATAGAAAGTAATTAGAGGTTAATCTCAGTAGCTGGTGTGAAAATCTTGCTTCCTAAGCACAAAGTGATGTAATGAGCGCTGAAATAGTCCATCCTCCAGCTTTGAACGGCTTTTTTTTTTTAAATCTTTCATATTATCAATTGTTACTGCAACCTGAAGGCTATGGTTATATCGAGCCCATCTTTCATCTCTGACTCACTGAAGCTGTTTTCTATTAGCGAAGTTTCTATTTATAAAACTGCCAAAGTGATGAATCAGATGTTCGATCAAAGTTACAGCCTTACATAAAAATATCACCACCAAATGGCCTCATAATGTCCGCTCTGCAAGTATACGGATGTTTCCTTCAGCTGCTATGTGCGTTGTTTATGTGTGCATGTTTCTGTCTTCATGCTGTGTTATAAGGAAATCTGTCAGCGGTAGATTGTTTCCTCGCTGATGGATTATTTTTTACAACTTTCCAGTGTTTTTGCTGCTAATTGAGACAAATCTGCTGTTGATGGGACACTCTCAGCTCTGACATGATGTCTTTCAAAGCTTATATCCCCATACTGAGGGAGCTTTAACTCTCAAAATATACAGATATTTTCTAAACCATGATTTCCTTCCAGCCGCCTAAGCATATGTCAGTATATCATTGGGATGCAAAGACCCTGCAGGGGTGTTTAATGATGCCTCTGTGCTGCTGCTGCTGCTGCTGCTGAAGATGATGATTTAATGATGATGGTGTGAAGTTTCTGATAAATACACATGATAGTGTCAGTGTTTGATGCTCTGCACTGGAAACTCAAGACTTTTAAATGAGTATATTTGACAGATTGAGAAAAACAGAATGGGAATTAGTGGAAATTTAAGATTTAATTTGGGTGTTTAGGTCTGTGGAAGCACTTTAAGCAAACTTAACTATTGGTATTTCCTTACAGACACCCTCTTTGTTCACATGCAGATGTACTAATGTAAAAGTGATGTGATTTTAGCTCATTTTACCCTGTGTCCTGAACTCATATAGCTGGAATTAAAGCTACTTTAACTGCAAAAAACAGAACCTTGTCTTCTCTTCAAAGATTAGAAATCTTCTGTTAATTCACCCTCCATACTGCCATGGCCTCTTTTTTTTTCCTGTGCACAGCCTTGTTCCCTCTATTCCTCTGAGACAACTGTAACTGCAGTTGACTGCAATAAGGGACTGCAGGGAAGGGCACAGAATACTAAGATGGCCAAGCTCCACAGCCAGCCTACATTTAGATCCAGTCCTCCCATGAATGGGCAGAAAGCTCCTATTGGGCTGCTGAATGATAGTGTAGCAGTAGTTAGCGGATAAATGCTGTAATTAAACATCTGTCTGCATGTGGCTGACGAGACTTGAATGCTAATAAGCTGCACAGAAAAAGGTTTCACTGTAAAGTTTTGACTCAACAAGAATACCAGTAACAAACACAAGCAACAGTCCTAATAAATTGAGACCCGGGGGAGAAAATTACTCGTCCTCGCACATCGATGTAGTCTAATGAGCGATCAATATGTGAATACTGCAGAACATAAATCTTTGCTGTCAAACCGGTCAGATTTTTCTCTCTCTGCTTGAGCAAATTAGATATCTGAAATCATTTGTCCCCATCCCCGTGTTTCATGGTTCCTCTAGCTGGTCTCCAAGTCTGTAATTACAGTGGGCTATGTTTGGATAAACTGAACCTGAAGTTTCCTGGTATTCGACCTCACAGTCTCATGTTATTTTTCAATCATAATCCTACAAGATGACTGACGTCTTTCTTACATATGACCATAATATTCAGAGCAAATGTCAGACATAACTTAAAGCACCTAAAACTGTCAGATTATACTTTCTGTGGAGTTTATCTCAGACTGCAGTGACAGTTTTATGATGGATTTTATAATAATAAGGTCTGTTTTATGCAGAAAGTGTAAAGACCATGTGGGTGGAGCTAGAAATCTAGGAAAGGGGTGTAAAAAGAGCATTATGGGAATTGTAGTGTTTTAAGATCCAAAGCCCTGAATCCATTGAGACTATTTTTATCTATCACATCTTGTGAGATCCGACAATGTAAAATTATCCCTACAAAGGATACTTCTACGCTCTAATAACATACAGTTTATCTGGTATAATTTCAATTAAACAAAAGCAAATAAAGTTAATGGGCAAACGGAGACGCAGTAAAAAAAACAGATTATGAGCCTGAGGATTAACACTGGGTCATTAATTAATAGTATGTCAAACGAGACTATAAACGATAAATTGAAGAACTGCTGCAGTGATAAACTTATAAAATAAAAAGCTTAAAGTCATAATGACATAATTTGTGAGCTTATCTGCATATATTTCAGGATGTTGTTCATCCCTGCAAACCAACAGAATGAGTGTAAACAGAACTGTCTCGATAAGATAGCATGACAAAAAAAAAAAGGTCTCCAACAATCTGAACACAAACTCTGATCCTCTCATCAGACTCCTTTACTTTCTCAGTTACCCCAGAACTACTATTTTGACTTTATTAGTCGCCAATTAGTAGCCATTAGAATGGACACCATCTGCCTCCTCGCTGGGTGAAACCACTCCGAGAACAGCACCCTCTGGTGACGGGCTGCAGTATAGGTCATAAATCCCGCCTCAGCCAGCAAAGTTTATGGAGCTGTGGACAAACTTAATTACACAGAACATAATTTTTTTCCCCTCTGCTTGAGATGTTGACATGTAGTTCCCCAAAGAACTGTTTTTAAGAGTTCTTAGGGGGTTCATGTTTTCTATGATTGACAACTGATACAGTCTATGGGCATACAAGGATTTCGTAGCTCACCCGGGGAATACGCTGTTTGAGCCGAGCGTCATCACAGCGACTCTCCCGCCGAATGCGCACAACGCTAATGTGCAATGTTGGTTTCAGGAAATGAAGAAAAATCGTGGAAATACTGAGCGCTTTTTCGCTTCAAATCCGTATAATGGCAGGAGGCGGAACCAAGTTGTCCATATGCAGTCTATGATTGATGCCCATCTTCTAAATATTTAGTCACATGATCAAAGTCTTTTACCATTTCAAAGAAACAGGGGGTGGCTCAACCTACCCCAGTCTCCCCTATTGTAAAGCTAGACTATAAACGAAAAGTTGAAAAACTGCTACAGTGATAAACTTATAATGAAAACTTACAGTCATAATAACATAATTTGTGAGTTTGTTTGACCTCTATAGAAAGACTACTCAGGACGTTTGCTAGCACACATCGGTGCCAAGGAAAACTGGCACACAAGTTTGCCAAAACTGCCATCTCCGCCTTCCAACGGTTCACTGAAATGAAAATATGAGTGTAAAGTGACTTTGAGAGGACTACAACTTCACAGCTTACGGGATGGTACGTGTGGATCCTCTTAACTCACACAAAGAGCCAGTGTTTAAGCGGCGGCGGTACCGCGACGTCAGTGTCTCCGGCACCGAGGCCAACGGCGGCAGCAGCAGCAGCAGCAACGTCACTGCCTGACGGCGGCATCAGAGCAGCACGAGCGGCCATCCGCGCGCAGCAGCGAGTCGGTCTGTCTCCGGAACTCGGCGGAGGAACACGACGTTAGTCGGTCAGCGGTGTGAGGCTCTCCCCTCCTCTCTCTCTATCCGCTTTTGGACTGTCTGGACGGCGACTTCCCGCCTCCGTGGCTCAGGTAAACCCCGGAGACGTTTTAAACAGAGAAGCTTTCATTCATTTCGAGGTGAGTTTTCCGGTTTCTTTTCCGTTAACTCGCCTCAAGTACAACGTGGGTACCGACCGTTGAGAGTACAATGACTAGCGAGCTTCCCGCACTGTAGCCGTTGTTTCTCTGTAGTCATAAACTGTGTGTTGCTATGGTACTGCCAGGCAACATCCCACCTGCTGCTGCCGCCACTGTCAGCTTTTTCAGTCTTTTTTATAACAAATACGTGAAAACAAAGTGCTCTTTTGTGTGTTTTACTCAACCCAGTCATTTAGTATGAATTTTAGAGTGCGTGTGAGTCTGTTTTGTTCTGCTGTTTTCACCTACTCACCTGTTTCTCCAGCTCATGACTTAAAGCAGGTAGATATTTATGACTTGAATGCTACTTAATTAGCTTTTTACTGCTAGCTGTTTACTTTGACATGCTCTCTATGCTGCCTTTGGGCTATTTTCACCAACACAAAGGTCATTCTGAGGGCTTTTACAGTCTATTGCTCTCATCATGTCTGTGGCTCTAGGTGACAAAACAGTGCAAATGATGCCTTCCTTTTTCTAACTGATGTCTGTCTCTTTTCATTCTGCAGTAAAAAACCCCAGGAACACAGACGGAAAACAACACAAGATGGTGATTACCGGTGCGGCATCCTTCAGAAGGACACCACTGGCCAGTGAGACGGGGAACAGATGTTTGCAGTGAAGGTGCATACTGTATTTTCTTATTTTGTGGCTCACACAGCAGCTGCTGCGGTTAGGCATCAGTGCCGACGCCAGGCCCCGGTACAAAGAAATTCCATTATCCCTCATCTCCTGTCTGCTGTGACAGAGATGAGGAAATCACCATACCATGCTGTCGTGAGGCCAGGAAGGAGGGGGAATTATGAGTCAGAATGGAGAAGAAAAGAAAACTGTCACTTTCCAAAATCCGCCTGTATGCCTGGTAGGCAGCTCATACACTAATTTTAAGAACGGCATCAATGAAAAGACCTTTTTCTGCCTTAAATGAATACTCAGACCTGCATGTACAGATTCAAGGGATTAGAGTTAATGCTGTGAGTGAGAGCAAAGTGCAGCAGGGTGCATCCAAGGCGAGCTCTGTTCATTGTGTTTTAGTTTACACACCTCCTTATCTTAGCTGTCAGGAGGGAGGATTCTTTTCTACAGTAACTTACCCAGAGCAATAGAGATAGTGGTGGGAAAGGAGGGGTGGGAGGAGTGAGAACAGAGAATGACTGTGAGGGAGTGAGCGTGCTCAACCCAGCCTCTGAGTGACTCTTGTATCCAAGGACGAAGGTAGCAACGCATCCAAACGCCACTCTTCGCCCACGGACTGCTGTGAAGAAACGAGGCGGTCACATAGGCACTCAGCGGCGCTTGTGTAGACTGAACAACCTGCCGACCCTTCTTCACAGGGCCCCTGGGGTTTGAATAGCCTGTCTGAAGTGCCAGGGCTGATGACTGAGCAGAGCATGGCAGTAGCTGGGGTGAACTACACACATCCATAGACTTCTCTCGAGCTTCTTGAATGGAAGTTTCTTTTTTCCGTCCAGACCAAAACAAAAGCGTTCCTCTCCTCTGTCAGCGGTGTCATTGCACCTAAACTGGCCCACGTTTGTGTGTGTTTTTGGCAGAGGAGCAGGCTGGAGAGGAGGTAGTAACAGGTGCTGCGTGCCAAGGTGGATTTGGAGGTGTGGAGGAGAGCTGAAGATCATGGGTAAATCAAACAGCAAGCTCAAGCCAGAGGTGGTGGAGGAGTTAACGAGGAAAACTTACTGTAAGTACCTCCGCTTGTTTTTACAATCACAAAGTCTTTCCTAAAGGCCAAACGTATCAGCGCAGTCTCTTATAGGAGTACCTCTGTTTTAATTTACTGCTGCAATTTTCAGATCGTTTTTTCTTTTTTGCCCTCTGTGCTCTAATATGTTAAGATTTCACACCAGTTTCTTGGAGCTACATCTAAACGCCAGCTGAGAATAAGCCCCCAGCCCGATTTTAATTTACATATAAATATTGTGGAGCAAATTGGGATCAGTTAAGGTCTGGCAGAAGTTGTAATCAGCATCTTCAAATCACGCTGAAGGGATTAATGAATATGGAGAGGCTGAGTTTCTATCAGCTATCAAGCTGGGGGTTTAAAGATGAGGGTGAGGTTTTACATGCAGATCATGGACCCTCTGTGTAGTTTAAAATGCATATAGAGACACAGGGAGATAAACAGAGTATAGACTGAGAATATATTAAAGGAGACGTTTAGAAATAGTGAAACTTTGATCTTATTTCAAGTGAAAAGCTTTACTGGTCATCTCTTTATCATGAAAAATATCAGAGATGATCCTCCCCTCAGGTCGCCAATCAATTTTGAGCAGAAATTACATGAATAATTACAGCAACAAAATCTGCTGGGGAGACACTATATTAATCATTTGTGTGCTATTTGTGGAGTGAGCGTTATTATTTTGATTTGTGCAGCTCAGTCTGCAGGTGTGGGTGGGAGTTGACATCTATTGCCTGCTTAATGACAGTGTTATTTGTGTGGTGGGTCTCTCCACAGCAGAGCCAAGGAGGCTGTTGTGGCAGGAAATTGCTGTGGAGGAAGATTGGGCTCCGTGCTGGGCTGGGCTGCTTGCTGCTGTCCTTTGCTCTCTCTCTCTCTTCTCTCTCTCTTCCTCCCTCTCTCTCTTCCTCTCTTACCCTTTCGGCCTGTCTCTCCCACTTTATCCCCTAATTGCCCTCTTTGAGCAGGGAATGGAATAGTGTAATTAGGATCTTATCTGGTTAGCATCGCTGAGAGGGGCACCGAGCTTTCTGTGTGATCATTCTCTCTTGGTCTGTTGTTGTCGTCTTGCTGAGACTCCGTCATTTCTTCTCTCCTTTATCCCGTTGCCTCTCTCTCTCTCTCTCTCTCTCTCTCTCTTGCTCCCCATGAGATGCTTTGTCAACCATTTTAGTAAATGCTGTCCTTTGGTTCCTGACAGATTTGGGACTACATTTCTCTGTGCTTATCTGTCTCTTTGTTTCAGCGGTAGTTGAGGAAGGCTGCTTTTATGGCCAGCAAATTATGCCGTCAGTCTAGATGGGCAACAGAGCGACCTGAAATATGTTCAGTCGAGTTGAAAAGAATATCTGCTGTGTTGGAAAAGCAGACATCTTCATCCAAAAAGCCATTATGACTTTGAATAAAACCCTTTCTTACCAGAGATAACATTAAGCTCCGCAAGGACTCGGGGTCGCCGGTGTTTTTCCTTTTTCAGTGAAAACTGTTCATGATGGTCGAAGCCTCACCTGTGCTGATTCAAACACAGAAATGCTTTTCTCTGGCCTCACATGGACACACTAACAGCCCTGTGAGGATGTCTGCAGGATGCAGGCCCGGCCCGGGTAACAACATGATGATTTTGTAAGTTGTCAAAGCCATGAAGAGGCTCACAGTGACACAGCTCAAGCTGGATGTGTTCTCGCAGACCCTGCAGGGTCCAGCAGCTGAGTTTAGCTCTGCACTCTCCTGCAGTGGGATCGTTTCATGATTACCCACCGCCTCTGACTGAGTTATGTAATACTTTTCTTTCTTCTTTTTTTATTAACTCATAGCTTTTGTAAATTGCCTCACTTTCGGACTCCTTTGACTTTTCAGGTCAATTTAATGGCAGCTTTGCATGGCTGACAGTCGTGAGATTGACCCTGACATTTATCACCCAGGCCTGATGGGTTTCTCAGTGAAATGCTGAGCAGAACAAATGGAGGTGAAGATATATGCAGGCCAAGTCAACCTGACCTGGACTTCTTATTGATAACCTCAGTGGGGTTCTGATCCAGCACTGCAGCGGGCCCATTATGGCTCAGAAGTGAGAGTTTTATGCTAAAGTGTCCGCACTAATCATGAATATATTTTTATTACCTGACCGGTCTCTGGCATTGTGAGGGTGCCAGACATGATAATGGTTTCATTCGATCTGAACATCCATTTTCTCTACTGCTTATCCCGTTAAGTGTTGCCGGGAGACTGGAGCAGACCCAGCTGTCACCGGGTGAGCGGCGATGTACGCCCTGAACTTGTAACAAACTCAAAGAATGCCAGAAAGAATAAAACTAAGTTCTAAACTGCAAGTAAAATGTTTCTTAAACACAGTCAAACAAATTCACATCCAAATAAAAAAACTTCCCTTTCCTTAGTTTCAATAGAAAACTAAAATCTGAAATAACTATTTATTTTTCAATGTGAATGAAATTAAAGGGTCATCATGTCCAACCAAAGGTAAAGGCTGAGGTTTGGCCTACCACTTACCAGAGAAGGGGGCCTCAGGTATCAGGCATGAGGTCTAGGGTGAGAGGGGAAGCCTTTGGAAGTCCTCCTGGGTCGCTCGCCATCCATTGTCTGACCTGTTTGAAGATACAGGTGATCAGTGCATAGAACAGTCCAGTCAGTAAATAGTATTATTTCTACAGTAGGTGTTTGTTGGTGCTCACTGTTCTCCAGCAGGTTCTCTCTCAGTGTAGCTGCATTAGCTCATCTGTGGTAATCTACGTGTCCTAAAGGGTACTGAATGAGGTTTGAGGTTGAGGTTTTTGTATTGACACAATTGGTTGAATTATTCTGGTGTTTGTTTCTTACCAGGTCCAAGGGTGAGTAATGAGTTCTCATGATCCAGATTCCAGTTTCTTCTTTGTTCACTTTTTGTTGAGGAGGGCTTAGTGAGATCTTTCTGCTCCTGCTGCTCAGTGGGTGTGCGTGTTTGAGATCAGTGAGGTGATTTAGGACAGGTGAGCTGCCCAGAGGGGAGGGGAAGGGGTCAACTGTGGAGAGGTTGGTTGTGATTTGTGCTCTGGGGTTTTGACTGACAGGTAGGGTATCCGATCGTTGTGGAGAGGTGGACAAAAGAAATTCTTGGTCGACTAAAACCCTGAAATTTTCAACCAAAAGTCGACCAATGGGGGGGTCAAACTCTGACGGCAAACCTGACGCAGCTCGGCGGGGTGAAAATATACTGATGTCAGCACAAGACGGCAATGAAACACGATGAAAGTTGAAACGTTCAAAATAAAAATAAATATTCAGCAAACCACTGGACGTTAACTAACGTGGACGCTCTTCAATCTTCCTGTCTCCAGCTGGTGTCCCTGAATCCAAAATGGAGAAAACAAAGGGGGGTGTTCTGAGACAGGCTGTTAGCTGTGGGGTGCTCTGAAAACACCCCCATAGAACTTGGTTCATTCCTCCTGATGAAATTAACCATAGACTGTAAATTGACACTAAAAAAATAGAGTCGACCAATCAGAGTTTTGGTCGACTCAGCATGTTTCGATCAGTAAGTCGACCAGTCCACTAAGACTTCACAGCCTTAGTGGACTGGTCACCAGTCAATCACAGAGTTGACAACCATTCATCCTCATGTTCAGACTTTCTCGTGCAAACGGCACAAAAGCAGGAAACCCCCTTACGGGTTTCAGACCAGGAACCAGTCTGCTGTGAGGCAGTAGAGCGAACTCAGACATCTGCAACCTGGCATGAAACTTTTACCCCCCGTGGTTGTGCAGTTACACAGAAACACCAACATTAAGGGTTAAACATTAAAGTGGACATCATTGATTCACTAAGCGGCTCTCTGTTGTGTTTCTAAAGCTCTTCCTTTGCTCCAGGCTCAGCAGACATGTGGTACAGTAGTCGCCTCACAGTGACATGAATTCAGCCCGCCTGTCCCCAGATAACCTGTGTTATAACTAATGTCATTGATTTCTTGTTTTCATTAGTCACCTTTGGGGCCAAGCAGTCAAGACCTGCTTTGGTAAAGAGGCGAGGAAAGCCAAGGGGGACTGTTTGATTAGATACTGGCAGATAACGCTGTTAGTGCCGGCATGAATTCACAATATCCTCTTTTCTAAACTCTCCTCTTTCTTAAATCTATGGCTGACCTCCAATCCGCCAGCTTTGTTTGTCTTTTTGCTGCTCCCGAGGGTTTACTCCCACCACTCCTCTAGTATACTGCCCAGGAGAAATTATTATTCATGGCCTCAGATAGTTGTCTAGAATAATTGATTTCTGCGCTCACAGCCGGGGTATAACTTCAGTCCTGCGAGGGTTGACATGCCCGCTCACTCAGTTGTTCAATATCAGCGATGAAATGTTGAATTCTCGATTTAATCCATCCTCTGTTCCTGTCTCTGTTTCCACCCAAGCACCTGGTAGATCACATCAGATCAGTCAATCCATACTCTCAAAAGAATGATCCAAATCAGACTCCAATCAAAGTTTATGATGAAACTTAAAGTATGAAAGGATCAGGCCAGGATGAGTAACGATGCTCTTCATTCTTCGTTTCTAACAGCATGTTCCTTCTTTTCTAGGGCAGCGTTAGTTTTCCTCTGAGCTCATGTCATTCTCTATTTCTCTTACAGTTACAGAGAAAGAAGTGCAGCAATGGTAAGTTTCTACATCTATATTTAATAACCATGTTTGCCTCCCATATGTTCGACAGTTATGTATCAGCCATTGTGCTGTAGCTCACAGGAACCGTGGAGTTTCACCTCCTCTTCTTAGTCCACTTTTACATGTTTTCGGTTTCTTCTCGTATCCATGAACGGAGAATTAAGAATTTAAACGATCGCTGATTTGAAGCCATCTCCTTCACACTGCCCTGAAGACAGACAAGCTCTGCAAATAGAAAGACTTTGAAGCCTCACTGAGAGACTGACTGACTTTGAAGGCTGATAACACTGATACAGACGTTTCCATGATGCATTCCTCGACAACCTTTTTGCTCCGTTTGCAGGAGGGATGTCTGATAAGAGAAGAACGCCCTGAGCTTAAAGGTTGTTTCACTTTGAGACGCTTAATGACTACACGGCCACAGAGCCTCCAGATTAGTTAGAGTTAGAGTCTGCAGGAGCATCATCCTGTAGTTGAAGTGCTCTGATATATGTGCTTATACATGCAAACACAGGGGTAAGACAGAGAGCTGAGGTGTGAGCCGTCATCACAGTGAAGGTGAACCACACTTTGATAGCTGCTGGTCATGGATAAGAGACGATGCGCTGTTTTTTTTTACAGCGCTGATTCAAGCTCGAGTGCAGTCATCGCTTTTGTTTCCCGCACGCCGCTTCTGGGCTATTGTCTCTTTGCAAATGAAAAACAAAGACGAGTGTGTATCAGAGGAGGGAGCTCTGTAATAAAGTGATCACTCCTCCATGTTCACACTTCACTTATCCTGCTTTGGTTTTGCATTTCACGACCTAATTCTGCGTGCATGGAAGGAGCTCGTCTCTGTTCCTGCGCCCCCGTTAAAGGGGTTGATAAGGGGAGGAAGGAGGCAGCGGCGGAGAACGCTGAGATAGCCGGGCGCTGGCAGGTCCGGAGCCTCGTCTCCAGCCTGTCTCTGGGGCTGCCTGGGTGCACTGAGGTGGAATACCCCCTCCTTAAACCCCCACTGCCCCCGGCTAGTTCATCATCACTCCCACTGTCTTTCACAGAAAAGTTCGCATGAGTCCTCACTTGAAGATCAGCAGCAATCAACACGAGTGAGTGTGAGGGATGAGAGGGAATTTTACCAGGGGAAATGCCAGATGGCGTGTAATTAGAGCACAGGCAGAGACACACAAGAATTAGCAGGGTTAGATAAATGCCTGTGTTGTGCATCAAATTCGTTCCCCTTTCTAATTCTCCTCCCAGGGAACGTCATTAGTATGCTCCAGGCTCACCTGGAATCAATAACCTAATGCTATAGTGCAGGATTGTTGCTGCCAGCGAGGAAGGAACAAGGGAAACGTCCCGCACAGCTCTTTAGCAAACCACCGAGGTTGATGCCAGGGGAGAAGGAGTCGGTGATAAATACTTTATCTTCATGCTGTCCCTCAGTGTGGTCCGATGCACAACGTCACGTCTGCTTTGTCCCTGCAAATACAAAGCATGGTGGCCTTTTTACACGACCCCATGTTCGTTCTGACTGTGTGTGTCTTAGCACCAGAGTCACAGAGTCAGATTTCCTCTTCATGTTCTTGGCAGATGAAGGTGATTCTGATTATCACTCGGATGTCTCTGACACCTAGAAGACGTGTGTACACAGCTACTGTGTCTTGATTTGTGGCTAAAGCTTCTGCAACTCGACTGGAAGTATGTTAAATGTCGAATTGTGCGAATAGACAAGACTATCGACATACTGGAAAGGGTAAACGGCACTGTCTGACGAATGAAAACTCCAAATGTGTGCACGAATTTGTCAGACGCCACAACATAACGGATGTACTTTAAACTAGTCCATTTAAGTCCAGTATGATTCCTGCAAGACTCGATCCTTTTTGTCCATCTGTCCTACGAAAAAGTTTACCAAAGTAATTTACAATTTAATCGATAATGATGTGCTTCCTTTAAAAAGTGAGAATCCTCTGAATCTACATCAATGTTACATCCGTTTTTCTCATCACAGTTAGTTTCCAGGTCTCGTGGAGAGACACAGTATGTGTGGAGGAAAGTTGCACAAAGCCTTCTGTGGCATCGAGAGGGAGCTGTGTGAAATCTGATTAAGTGATTTCACTCGAGTCAGTGTGAGTTGGACCTGAAGACAACATGTTTGGCAAGAAACAAAATCTTAGAAAGAAGCGAGTTCGCCAAAGCTCGGCAGTGCAGCTTTTAAATTTTAACCACATAAGCTGAGACGAACGATTTCCAAACCGAAGATGAAAAAAGATGACGTGTTATCAGCTTCACCAAAGATCCCAAATGGTATACGTGTTTTCTCTCTCCGTCTGTCTAGTCTAGTTTGGAGGAGACATCTGCAGCGCTCAGAGTCCCGTCAGACGGAGGAGATACTCGTTCTTTCAAACACGCTCGGCTGAGGCAGAGATCAGGATCACACCAAGTTACTTTGTCCGCCTGAAAAGGTCAGCTCAGGGTCAGAGTGGTTTTAAGGACACGTGGCTCGTGAAGAATGGGTCCAATATTTCCTGTCGTAACCTGTGCTCGTGTTTTCTTTTCCTATTTGAGTAAAAAACTCCAGACCGTTCTCTAATCTCTAAAGGGATGAAGTCGACGCCAAACTTTCAGGAAACGACTGTCAGTGCCCTCTCTCTCTCTCTCCGTGCAAATCTCAGACCAGACGGTGAAACAGGGTCAGGTTTTAGAAAAGAAAGAAGAATAAAATAGAAAAATGTGTCGACTACTTTCAAACTTTGATGCAGTTTTTCATCCACTCAGACTGTAGAAAACCATTTATGTAAGTTCAGAGCTGAAACGGCGGAGTGCTCGTTAAATTCGCCGCTCTGTCATTTTCATAAGCAACAGTTTTAGAAAAGGAACCTGCCCTCTCTCTCTCTCTCTCTCTCTCTCTCTCTCTCTCTCTAAGGCATGGGAAAAGGTTTATTAAAGGGATACTCCGGAGATTTGGTCCTTACTTACATAACTTTGAGTGACTCATAAGAAACAAGCCGGGCTTTTATCCTTTTAGCCTCTGCATTAGTTATAAGAGGACCTTTAATTAGACTCCAACTGCCTCCCAAAGACCCCGAACCTGCTCTCTGAAACTTTTTAGACTTTCTGCTGAAATTTGGATAAAAAAAACGCAACCCGGACCATGTCAACATCCTGATTAGAGAGCTTAGGTTTAGAAAATCAAGCTTTTTCCAGACTTTGTGGGGTCTGAATGAGGGATCTTCCTCAAGTCCAAAACTGTCAGATTATTTGACCTTGTAGTAGGGCTGGGCGATAAACCGAAAATTTACCTAAATAGAAATTTATGACAATAACCAATGTCATTTTGCTCATATCGGTATATTCAGTGTTAGGAAAATAAATCAAAGTTGTTTTTGGATGTGTGTAGGTAGGCTATGGTCTCATGTCCCTTTAAGACGCTGTCCTACGTCAGAGACGTGACTCCGCCCCATCCAGTCTGTAACAAAGAGGTAAAGACAGGTGAGGAGATGGAGGACGGTTCAAAAGTTGGAGCGGCTGAAGTAGACGAAGTTAATGTGGGAGGGGGTGAGCAGCTTGTGGAGTAGTTATCGTCTATTTATCGAGGTGAACTGATCAATATATCATGATATTGATTTGAGGCCATATCGCCCAGCCCTACCTTGTGGATTTCAAAACTGCACAAACAATGTGTAAAGACGGGAACAGTTCAGAGGATGTTCTTCTAAAGAGAGGTGGTTATAAGTTAAATTTAAAGACCCCACTTCATACATTTATAATAAGTTATGGATTAATCTACCCGTTAATTTGTCTGTAATTTAAGAAACATTAGTTTGCAGTTACTGGTCTCTGATGTTGATGCAGGGATCCCCCCATTGGAGGGCAGCAGCTCTTCACTTTGGTTTGACCTGTGCCTCACATGTACACAGACTTGGACACAGTATGACAGATTATTGTTCTGCTGCCTGCTGTGATTCTCAATCGTCTCACATCTAAAATGACAGATTTCAGGTGAACGGGGTCGGCTCTGGATTATGATGTTCATTGTGCGTTCTGCACTTTGAATACCAATTAGGTTGTATTCTGCTTTAGAGCCCGGCTTTCATTTTTCACGCGTATCTCCAGATAACTCAGATGTGAGAATTACATGCTTCTGCTCGCCACTCGCTTCCCTTCACGCCCAAGTTTCTCCCCGCCGCTCCTCAAAGCGTCTCTCCATCTCTCTGACTGTATGGAGCCGCCGTCATTATCTCTGAGGCAGATTAAAAGTAAAGAGTTTAAGAGGAGTGGAAAAGGATGTGTCCTGGCCTTCATTCTTCATCAACACACACGCACACACACACACACACACACACACACTCTCCTCTCTCTGCCATTCCCTGACCATAATTACAGCCCAACCTTGTTTTGAACAGTCTTAACTGAATCAGAGTCGAACACGCGGCGCTCCCTCGTGCAAACTTGCGTCAGAAGTTATCAAGAGCGAAGGGTTTTTTTCTACGCCTTTCATAAGCGGAGAGTATTATTATTATTTCCATTCTATTTCCGCCGACTCCCACTTTACATCTAAGGTTTATTTTTGTCAAGGCCGCCGCTCTCTTCTCAAGCGCTGACCTGTTACCACGCAGTCAGACTCTGAGGCTGCTGTGTGCTCCTTTGTGAAACCGCCTACCTTTGAGTGACTGCCCTTGAAATTGCTCATGAGACGCTGCTATATTTAGACTAATAGAGATATTAAGGCGCTCTCCAGATATGTCATTTCCAGTGGCGAGAGGAAGCGCTCAGACTTATCTATCAGGCACGCATATTATCAAAAGAGGACTAGAGAGTAATTTGATTAGAGCTAACCACTCTGGGCTCGCTATTGGATTAGGCTGATCGTCTTATCTGTGAATGAGACAAATGGCTTTGCACTTTAGCTTTTTGATCCAACACTATCTCTTAAACGGCTGCAGAAGTGAGGAGGTGGCTTCAGCATCCTGTCCTGGTGATGCATCCTTCTCGGTGCATTATTATAAACGATATCTTTGAATAATCTCCATCTTTGTTTTCGCAGGTACAAAGGCTTCATTAAAGACTGTCCCAGCGGGCAGCTGGACGCCGTGGGCTTTCAGAAGATCTACAAGCAGTTCTTTCCTTTTGGAGATCCCACAAAGTTCGCCTCTTTTGTCTTCAACGTGTTCGACGAAAATAAGGTTGGTGATAAAAAGACGTAAACTCTGAAATGTTAAACAGAGCCTGTTCACCCAGGAGAGATAAGCAGGGAGGTGTTAAAGGCGACAGTGTCCGAGGACAGAGCCTATCTGCACTCAGCCAGGGGTGGAACAGAGTAAAAGGGCAACGTCGTATATTAATCACCTCCATTTTGTACTTGGTCGTGTTCCAGTTTTGGTCCAAGTTTGTGTCAAGAAAAGGTCATTCACGGACCCCGTTCAGAAACTGTGCTGAGAATTGATGTTGGTGAAAGGCGTAAAATAAATTTAGGGTCAAACACACCGTAACACCGAGTTAGACCCCCCCTCCAGAGATGAATGTTGCCGACCGCTTGCTTCTCTAGTTATACCAACTTTAGTAACGACCGCAGGATAGTAATACACAGCGGTCTGAGGAGCCATAAACAAACCTCAACCAAAACACCACTCTATAGCCACAAATAATGCTCAGAACAGCACCTAACTTCATCAACAGGACATATAGGGTCCTAGCGTTAGCAAAGACACTAAACACAACTCACCCACTCTCCTCCAGCAGCCGCTTGTTTGTAGGGGAGCCCTGACAAGTCGATCACAGAGATCAACGGAGTTTCGCAGCTCAAGGAAAAACATTTATGTTCATTAATTCATGGAAATGCAGTCAGAGTTCTTGTGTATCTTGTATGTGATCTGCAGACGTGGTAGTTCTTCTACCTTAGCGTTTCCGACTGATTGCATTTCCATGAAGTAATAATCATAAATTTTCCGCTGCACTCGGTAATCGACTTGTCAGGTCTCCTCCACAAACAAGCGGCTGCTGGAGGAGAGTGGGTGAGTTGTGTTTAGTCTCTTTGCTAAAGAAATGAGTCAAAGTTAAAAAGATGTTTGGTGTCTAGTACTATGGCTGTGACCCTATATGTCCTGTTGATGAAGTTAGGTGCTGTTCTGAGCATTATTTGTGGCTATAGAGTGGCGTTTTGGTTGAGGGCGTGTCTCTCTGTATTGCTATCCTGCAGTCGTTACTAAAGTTGGTATAACTAGAGAAGCAAGCGGTCGTCAACATTCATCTCTGGAGGGGGGGTCTAACTCGGTGTTACATGTGTTTGACCATGACTTTAATTTACGCCGGAATATCCCTTTAAAACTCTTTCAACAAATACTCATGACTGTCCTGTTTCTGCTCTGAATACTAATGAGAGAATCCTGACATATTTTACAGTCTGGCTGAAACAAACCCCCACATCTCTGAATGAACATTATAATTCAGTGTTTAAATCGCACAGATGATTCTCGGCTTAAACAGAAAACTGGAGATGATTCACCGACGCAGTAGTAACACTCAGGTTTGTGCCAAAAATCCATTTCTAGGAGCCGGAGACGGTTTTTCAGAGGTGTGTGTGTTTTTTTTTTTTAAAGGATGAGAGGATATGATGCGAAAGCAAGATTTAACAAGGCCAAATTTTTTATAAGCCACGTTTGTCTGAAGTAATCCGCCTCTTTGCAGTTGTGCAGGATTATTCAAATAGTGTTTAGGAAGACGAGCTGCAGAGGAGCCGCTCCCGGGTTGTTGGCGAGCCCCTGGAGGTTTATTGACTCCGGTTAAGAGGCTTTGTGTCAGGAAGATCAGACAGCCCCTCCGTCTGATGTTTATCTGTGACCTTCATTAGCGTCGGGCACCCCATAGTTCGAGAATGCATTGATCTTAACAGTTTTTATGACTTATGTAATCAGCAATGCATGACTTCAGCATTGTCTGGCCGGTCAGATGTCTGCTGGTGATAAAGTGCGCTGACCTCGGGGCCATGACGAGCACTTGTCTCGTTTTCTGCAGCTGGGGCTGAACTCACAGCGGTCACAGGTAAGCAGATGTTCCAGCAGGATGTTGGAGAACTGGAGCGATGACACACAGTCCTCAGGTATTTGGTGAGGCGATGTGTTGACCAAATCGTCTCCCTGAAAGTCCGTTTAGATGCATCTCCTGTTGTTCGTCTGAATCGACAACATTGAAGGTTTGTTATCCATGTGAACAGGCGGTTCTCTCGCTGCATGATAAACACGGATGGCGACAGTAATTTATCAGAGTTGATGGAAGTTTCGAGCCTCCTTTGGAAAGATTGAACGCCGGTTGGCTGGGACAGAAGTATCAGAGTGAAATATCTCCTGCTCCCTCGGAAACAATCGTATGCCATCCCCGTTCTGAGCGCAGAGCCACCAGAGAAATATTAAACACCTCCGTCCTAAATCCAGAGCGGTTTTTTGGTGGTTGTAACTTTTAGACTGTGAGCCACCGGCATCCGTCATACTAATGACCAGAGGTGACATGTTCCCGCCTCAGGAGAGAGCCAGGTGCAGGGCAAAAATAGCAGATGACTTGAAGCGAACGTCTGGCCCCGTTTTGAGCAGAATACAACGAGGACATCACGAGGAAACGGCGCCGAGCTTTTCAAAGCAGAGCAATAATCAGAGTGACGTCAGACGCTCACCTCCTCACTGGGCCATTTCCTCTCTCAAAGTCTCTCTTCCTCTCTTTTGTCGCTCTGCAGGACGGACGCATCGAGTTCTCCGAGTTCATCCAGGCCCTCTCCGTGACCTCCCGGGGGACTCTGGATGAGAAGCTGAGATGTAAGCACCATCCTCCTCCTCCTTCTCCACCTCTTTTCTTTTTGACATTTAAATGACAGGATCGAGGATTGTCTGCCATGCCTGCATATGAAAGAGGACAGGCCGGTTCCTAGAGAGCAGCAGATAGAAGGTTATTAGCAAGATGCAGCCCGCCTCTGCAACCTGGGGGTCACAGCCGAATACATCTGTGACCTTTTTCTGATAGAACATCCCAGAATAACAAAGTGTGAGGAGGTTTTATCGCAGGAATTTGAGGAGGAACCTTTGTGCGAGGTTGTGTTCAATATTTTTAAGTCTCAATCCTCGGCTCTGCTTTTGTATATGATAAAAAGGCGTCAGTATGAACGTCAGCCTGTCTCCTAAATGTTCATAAACTCCTCTCTCTCTCTCTCGTTCCTCAGGGGCGTTCAAACTCTACGACCTTGATAATGACGGCTACATCACCCGAGATGAGATGCTGAACATCGTCGATGCTATATATCAGATGGTGGTAAGTTACATCAAACGACAGACCTATTAATCTAAATTATTGGAGTCGATCAGGACGTAACGGTTTATTATCTCAGGGGAACACTGTGGAGCTGCCAGAGGAGGAAAACACGCCAGAAAAACGAGTGGACCGTATTTTTGCGATGATGGACAAGGTGAGTAGTTAAACTCTGAAGTGACGGCGCTCTCCTCTGCTCGTTCTTCCCTCCACTTGAACCCCAGAGCTGTCCTCTCACCCGATACAAGCGCACTCGTCTCGATTATTCGCCGTTAAGAGGTCTGTAATATCTGCCGCTGTTGCCACCCGCAGGGCTTTGACGTAGACGCTGTTAAGTTTAGAGCTGTTATCTGCAGCCATCGCAGCGTCACTAACACCGACCGCAGTCTATAAACATCATATATAGCCCCCTCCACCGCTCTCAGCCCCAAGAATCTCCTCAGCTTTGGTGAAAGATGAGACGCGGGTGTGTTTGTCGGCCCACTCCTGCCAAGATCAGCCCTTTGGACCGGCTCTGCAGCACAGCAGCTCTTGATTTGTATTGGCAGAGAGTGGCTATCATCCAAGCGCACTGAAGCGAAGACCTCTCCAGCAGCATTAAAACAGGGGGTATCATGATGGCGCTGGAGAGGCTCTTTTGCCCCCTGCTGGTTGCTCTGTGTTAAAGCACTGCAGGGTTTGGGTTTCACTCACGAGTCTCATGTTCTCCTTCCAGAACGCAGACGGGAAACTGACGCTGCAGGAGTTTCAGGAGGGCTCGAAGGCAGACCCCTCTATTGTTCAGGCTTTATCGCTGTATGATGGACTCGTGTAGGAACGCAAGGTGAGTGGGGTATTAATGAGCGAGCACCTGCATACTTCTCCGCTCGAGTGAATTTCAATCCCAGGTCACGCCTCAGCTGCCAGATAAAACGGTGTAATTCCCATTTTCATGAAAGCGCAGAATAAAAGCGAGGAGCTCAGAGTCTGTGCGCTGGAACCTGAAGTGAAGAAGAAGCCACTTCTCTGCTCGCAGTTTGTTCCCATGAATTATTCAGGAGGCCCACTTGTTTGCTGGCAATCACATAGTCTTGCAGCGCTGAGTGAGGAGTGAGACGGCCCTCTACTCTCGCTGCCTAATGCAAAGTGCTCGCCGCCGCCGCTGCCGCCAATTGTTGCCAACATCCTGCTCAGCGTTTTGTCAACTGTGAAGCCAGCATGTGCAAATTCAGTAGTTACAGTTTATAGATCGTTCTGCATGCTCTGAACACACCCGCCTCTCTTTGCAACCCCTCAGATGGACCCAACTCAGCATCCTGCAGCGCCTTTTACAGTAATCCAGCACCATCACACCTGTACGGGGAGAATCCACCTTCAACTCCTCCTGCAGGAGCAGACTGCAAACTTCTGTCGCACGATCCTGCAGCATCTGTGTCAAGTAGCTGTTCGTCCACATTTCCTGTAAGGATTGTAAACAAATATATCCTCTGATGTGAGCGGAGAAATCAAACATGTCAGCGAAAACCCCCCTAAGCCATTTATCCGTGCTTCTACAGCTCTGTGGCACCACGTACAGATTTCAGTATTGTGGACTGTGTACGAACTTTTCTGCCAGTGCGGTGTTGTGATTCCCCCCCGAAACCCCCCTGAGATGTTAGGGATGTTCACACTGTAAACCTGAGGAGCTGCTGCTGCTTCTTAGAGAGACTCTGAAGGTGAACATGAACTTAGAGTCACACGGCAGTATCCTGTACATAATGAAATGTAAATAGTGGTAATTTATTTTCTGCTTTGCTGCGTTTCTGGGAGATGTTCCCGTACGTCTGGGATGAAGTTTTATTTTTTATCAAAGGTGTTGAATTGTATTGCACTGTTTTTATTTCTCATGATCATTTTGTGGGATTGTTTTTTTTTTTTGTTTTTTTCTCACTTTCTGAGGTTTGAAGAGTGTTAAAGGAGCTGGGTGATTTTACTCTGTTTGCATCCTACTGTGTTTTCACCTCCCTGTTAGCACGAGGACGGCGCCGTCTGCAGACTGAACGACACGACCGAGCAGCACGGCGCCGAGAGACCCGGTCACAAACTGACAACAAGTCTGGATGTAAAGCTTTGCGAGCTCCACTTTGTGTTTTTCCTTTTTTTTTTGTCTGTGAGACCAGAGCATGTGAAGATGATGATGATGATGATGATGCCTTTCTTCATTCCTGGAATATTTTACTTACAGCATTAAGATGTTTTATCAGCTTCACTGATTTTATGCCTTATGCAAATGATAATTGACTAAATGATAAATGTCATTTACCTGTTAATCAAGAGCACAGAATAAAACGCATTTAAGTGGCCGAGTCTCCATCACTGAGAGTTTTTGATGTTCTTAGACGATGCATGTGTGATGATGATGTGTGTGATATTTCCACAAACTCAAGTCTGGGAGTGTTCCTCACGTGTCATCCTTGGAAACATTCATACAAACTCTCTGTGGATTTAGTCGCTGCTCTGGTGAATGAAGCTCACTAAACGGTGCAGTCATGTTGGCATTGATAGGCGGGTTAATGAGGCTCAGTGTCTTTTGTTGGAGAAGCTGCTGAGTCTGTCTGCTGTCTGCCGGGCCTGCTCAAACCTGCTCTCTGTTTTCTTCTCATCAAGGGTAGATTCAAGTGATATCAAGAGGGGGTCAGGAGGGAGCAGACTTCTGACTTCTGACTGTTCATCATCATTTATTCACTTCTTTTGTTTCAGACAGAATGAGGTGGATTCAGAGCATCAGAGCTGGTTTTTGAAATTGGTCTGATTTCATTTAACAGATATAAAGTGCTTAATTAATAATCAATGAGATACTCCTGTCCAGATCGACCACAAAGTAAATAGGGACTGACATTTCCTCGTGGCTCGTCACGCTCTTCCGCCCATTCATATGCCACAGGGATATTTCTCAGGGTGTGTTATGGACAGAATTAGATTGGTGTCAGCTGAATATAAACCAGGGCTATTTATAAAAACTAGGCTGTTACTGAGACAATGTTCTCCACATGACCAAAATACAGTCTGCAGACTCGGTCGGAAGTGTGCGTAAAGCTGCAGAAAAGCGGGTCACCTGGGGGCCCACCTCGCTTACTGAGAAAATCGAATTGAAGGGGGGGCGGGGGTGTTGGAGAGGGTTAAAGCCTGGAAGTCAGAGTGGGGTCGAGGTACACAAAGTCTCTCTCTCACACACACAAATCAGGTCGAGTCTCGGGAACCTTTTAATACCCATCTCCGCCCCCGTTTGAAGCGTCAGAGCACCAGCTCTCAAGGGGGCTCTCCAACACTGAGCCAGTCCGCACGCTCCTCCAAACTTTACGCACGGATGTCCTCCTGTGGAAGCGTTTGACTCTGGATTTTCATTTGTTTCAGCTGAGCCGTATTGTTCCAAACAACTTCTCTACCGATTGGAAACGGTCCCAGACTCCTGACTGCTGTTAAAGTTGGACTTTTCAGAACTTTTCTCTCTTCTGTTTTTATTTGATTCGCCTCATTCCAGCAGACAGATGCAGTAAATCTAGAAAAAAATGACCGCTTTCTTATTAAAGTGCCTGGTCTTGGCGCTGTGCATCAGTGCGCACAGGCTCTTGGCAGACCCCCGGGCTGAGGAGGATGATGGATCCGGTGACAGCGCCTCGACCCTGGCCTTTGTGTTCGATGTTACCGGCTCCATGTACGACGATCTGAAACAGGTGATAGAGGGCGCCTCACGGATCCTGGAAAAGACCCTCAGCCGGATTACAAGACCCATCAAAAACTTTGTCCTGGTCCCCTTCCACGACCCAGGTACTTTTTCACTTTACAAACTTTGCTCTTCTTTACAGTCAGGCTAAAATTTGCAACTTTTATTATTTTACAAGTTTGTGAATTAATGCATACAAACGAAATTTATGTCAGAATCAGTCAAAATGTCAGATTATTTCATCAGGTAGTTTGTTGCACATATAAGACGTTTCAAACTTTTGTTATTATGAGTTAAAACTGACTTGAAAATCTCTAAAAACTCAGAGTTTCTGTCAGCTCGTAGCCCACAGGTGTTTTAGTAGAAATCCAAGAATCTGGTGCATCATGTTCAACCCAAACCGATGTAGGTCATTGAGCATTTAAGCTTTTAGAGTGGGGGTCTCTGAGGGACAGGTAAGGCTCCTCACCCCCTGAATCTGCCCTCCTATATGGGAAAGCTGCAGCTTGAAAATAAGAGTGCTTTAATGGGGGAGGGTGTTCGAGCACTGATGAGAAGCATATGCTGTCTGCTTGTGTGTAATTACCCCAATCACCCCCCTATCCCCGACTCACCCCACCCTCCCCTCCATCCAAGCCTCCGGAAAAACCCTCATAGCCCCTGGTTTAGCCAGCCAGGGGGGGGTGGGCTGCACTAACACCACACATTTTGTCTTGTGTTTAATGTGCCCTGCCCTTTGGGACCTTGTAAACTTCCAGGATTGTAGAGAAGCCGCGTCGACTGACAAAGAGGCGTGACAGTGCTGTCAGTGTTTTACAGTCACTCATGAGGGGGAGACGAGGACTTGAAAGCCTCGAAAGCTGGAAAAAAAAGAGAGGGATGACGGGTGAAAAATGTCATCAGTCGACACATGTCTGCGAGTGATTCTTCAGAACCACAACAAGCACAGACACAGATCATGAGGCTCCACCCCGGCTGATAAAAGTCTGCTCTGTAATAACTATAATGATGAGAGGCTGGTGTTTATGGACAGCACTGTTCCATAGTCAAACAATGCATTCCCTGTGTATTGGTTAATGTTTACTGTTTGGTAGACTGGCCCCTGAAGGCGTCCAAGTAAGTGTCAGGCCCTGACAGGCTCCTATCCATCATACGGGCTCCGCTGCTGCTCGGGACCCGAGGACGTCGCCCAACAGAAAAATGCTGAATCCAGCTGCAGAAAATAACGACTCAGTCATCAGTAAACTTTTAAAGGAAGTTTTTAGAGATTTGAGAGAAACTAAATCCTGTAAAACACTAAAATCTTGTTGCTCTTCTGTGGCGTGTTTATGTGCGTGTGATTGTTTTTCATGTAAGCTGCAGGGCATCAATCTGGTCCTGATGAATGAGGATGTGGCTGAGGAGTGTTTGATGCTGTCTGTGCGTCTCCTTTACCTTCAAAGCAGAAGGCCTGAACTCAATCCTCTGCTCCAGATGCGTTTGGAAAGACAAAGACCTTAAAGCTCCTTTTGTCAGGAAATGTTTTTGTTGTATGTCAACATCACCGTCTCCTATGCAGCCGACTTGATCTGATTTACTCAGAGCTTTAGGATCTTTAATGGTTTATGTTTAAATCCTGCAGATATCGGCCCCGTGTCTATCACCACCGACCCAAAGAAGTTCCAGCAGGATCTTCAGGAACTGTTTGTCCAGGTAGGAACCCGAACAAATGAACAGCTACAGCTGTGTGGAGCCTTATGAAACAATGGCACGAATACAGAAATGTGGGATATAAATTGGTTGTCTGTGATCGATGGTTGTGGTGAAAGTAAAGCCAAAAATGCTCCATTGAAAGTTGATTTATTGAAGAAGTTTTTGATCACTGATGTTTTCGTCTTCCAGGGTGGAGGTGACTGCCCTGAGATGAGTATCGGAGCCATAAAGAAAGCCTTGGAGGTTTCTCTTCCCGGATCTTTCATCTACGTCTTCACCGATGCCCGAGCAAAAGACTTTCGCCTGAAGAGAGATGTTCTGCAGCTGGTGCAGCTCCGACAATCACAGGTACACTTCAAGAAACTTTGTTTATGCACATGTAGAAACCTTAACACCATCAGTCTGATGTTGGAAGTCAAATGAAGTTATCATAGATGATGCACACAGGATTAAAGCTCCTGTAGGTTCTTTTTTAACCTCAGATTTGGTCTTAAAAAAGCAGAACAAAACACTCGTTTGTTTGCAGCTTTTTGCTCTGCAGCGTTTGGAGTATCTCTGCGTTTGTAACAAAAGACTAACAGTGGCGTGCTGCGAAAGATCTACATTCCTATAAACTTCCCCGATGCTCAGCTGAGCGAGGAAAACTCTCTTCAAAGTAACACACTTTCAGTCCCTACGTGAAACACGACAATGAGCATTAGCGTCACTCCGCAGCCAACTGGAGTGGAGTCTGTGGAAAGCAAACACTGAACAGCGGTAATCCTCTTAACTCTCCCTCGTTCTCAGGTTGTGTTTGTGTTGACCGGAGACTGTGGGGACCGCTCTCAGCCCGGCTACAGGGCCTACGAAGAGATCGCCGCCACTTCTTCAGGACAGATCTTTCACCTGGACAAACAGCAGGTCAACGAGGTGAGAGCACGACAGAAAACACGCCGCTGCGATGACTCCACATCCTCATAAAGACACATGAAACCTGAATTGAAAAAGTCATTTGTGTGTATTTTTGTGAGAAGGGTTACATCACCCAAGATCAGCGAACAGCAGAGAAACAAAATGTGACCCCCTGGTGCAATAAAAGTGGTTCATTCAGAGTCATCAAAGCTGAGATTAAACTTCCTGGTCACCCGATAGGGCCGAGCGACTCTTTTATATCGGAAGCAGCGTGTAACAGAAGCTGTGTTTGAGAGGCCAAAGACAGCAGGACTCACTTCCCAGGCAGACGTAAAAGAAGCCAGAGTTTCCTCTGGAGGAGACACTGGTATCCTGCATGTCAGCACAGGAGATGGCCGGGCAGCGCTGAGCTCGCGCCAACAGCTCTGCACACCGGCGGCCCACTGAACCCCTGAACTTTAACGTGTTTGTGTGCGTGTGCGGGTCTGTTTTCTCTCAACTCCTGCTCGCATGCATGCGGCTAAACATGCAATGCCTGTGTGTGTGTGGCTGCAGGGTTCATTATCACTCCATAACGCTGCCGGCTGTTTGAATGTCATTTTTGTGTTGCAGCAGAATAAGAGAGTGAAATGATTCCAGCCCCCACACCTCCACCCTGGATGGCCTCAGGAATTCTGACATGTTCCCAGTGTGCTGTTACACACAAACACGTACATAATGAAGATATTTCTCTTGGATCCACTCTGAATTACTGTACGCCGCTCGTTTTCAGACCTGTGCGATTATAGCTTCTGGGTGGCATGCTTTCACTAAATTAATGCAAATCCTTTAATCCTTAAAAACCTCCAAAGTGCCACAAATCGAAGCAAAATATTCCCTCTTAATAGCAGTTTAATAATGTGCGGGTGAATCAAATATACAAACTGGTGTTGTATTGTGGTCTCTAAGGGCCGAGCAGAGTGAAAACAGACTGCTTATTTTACTCTCTAATCCCAGGATATGATCTGTCATGGCTTCTCTGCTTCCAACACAGCTGCCCAGTGGAGCCGGCTCCAAGCTCTCACACAACAGCTCATTGTCAACTCGGCATATTGCACTCTTTACACTCTGCTTACAATCAACAGGAGAATCTGCTAACAAGAGCATGAACAGCTAATGTGCCGTCAAACTTGGACCATGCTCTGTGCTCTTCGTGGTTTTTTTCTATGCCACCCTTTGTCACTCGCAGCCTGAAGCATCCGTCGAAAACGAGGGCCGTGATGATGTGTTTGCATCCACATAAAGCCCGCCGTGGTGTACGCTTTTAGACAGTAACGGCGTTTTAAAGCAGCATATCATGAAGAGGCGGTTTTGCAGTTGTTATGCGAGTCTTGTTTTTTTCTGCACATACAGTAGGCTGAATTCAAGCGCCTTGAAGAGTCATTTGGAGCGTGGCCCCTCTGGTTTTCTCATTACCCGGATGCAGTAGTAAGTCAAGGGTATTGTAATGTTATTCAGACATGAAATGACAACCAGGTAACATTTATCTTTGAGGGTTTGTTTCTACTCCAAACATGATTTTACCGTCTGTTTCAAAAATAGGCCACCTGTGACAAGGCGAAGCCTGAACAGGTGTGTCGAAACTCCAACCGGGAAGGAGCAGGGAGTCCATCTGGGACTGATTTGCTCCAACAACCTTGATTTGTAGCGGGACATCTTCTTTCAAACATTACCAGTTGTGTTGTTTAAACCTGGTTAAGGACTGAGCTGACCCCTGCCCACCGGGAGGTCTGGACTCAAGCTGTTGTTCTTAACCGAAGCTCGGCCACATGTTTCAGTCGCAGGTAATGTACCTGGATGAGAAAATGGGATACGGCATCCTCCCCGCCCGAGCTAGCCCTTCTTCTTTGGCTCATCTGTCATGCTTCCATGAATAGCAGAGGGGGGTCCTTCCTGTAACGGCCCTTTAAGCTCGCTCATCTGAGACACGCAGGATGAGGTTTCACAGGACTTAACATCCTCTACATTCCCAGTGGTTGAGACAGGGAGTGGCTGCAGGGCTCAGCACGCTCCTCCAGACCCTGGACAGCAAGAAGTCCCATCTTCCTTTTATCTGGGGTCTCAGGGCCGAATCGTGCCCACTCCTTTCTGCTTTCTTGCATAAGAAAAAGACACTATCCTGGGGCAGATGTAGGTCACCTCTTAGCAGTTTCCTGCCCTGCTGGTGATGGCTGCACATGTGGCAGACATTACAGCTGTTTCCAGTTGTAAAACGGCAAGAGAAACCAGCTGCTGTCAGCACCCAGCGGACCTGATAGACAAAAAAAGCAGAGGCCTGATAATTAAATTATCAAAGGTTCTTCTTGTTTTCAGTCCATACTCGTTTTCTTTAATGTTTTAAAAATGTTGCCGTTGGCTTCGGCTCCAAAAACCCACAAAAAAAAACGACTGCAGTTTGTTCCATTGCAGGCGCAGATCGGCTTTAATGCCTCTCCGTATGAGGTCAAAACAAATACTAGACAGCAGTTGCTTGTTAAGATTTTGGAAGACAGAAGAAGTTCGGTCTTCTGTGGCCACTGAAATAAGAGTGCAGAAAAATCAAAGTGCTCTTCTGCTTCTGTTTTCATTTAGGGAAACAAAAGAGAAACTGTCTTTTCCTTCAGTGCCCTGATAATGATTATATCGAGGAGGTCAAACACCTGTCAAAACAGAAACCTTACACGGCCTGATATGTCTGCAGAAAGTAACATGGGACATTACAGGCTAAGTTGTGATTGTCTTTGCCATTAAATATAATCATACTGTCGAGCATTATGTCAGACTTTGGATAATCTTTACTCAGAGAGCTGAAGTGACTCATTTAAGAAGTAAGCCGCCTGCAATCCCAGTGTCTCACTGTCTGACCTCATCTGGCTCCTTAATTGTTACCTATTCACCAGAAAAGTGTCTGACAGACTTTTCAGCGAATTAGTCGAGCTGATTTGGGTGAAAATATGGTTTAAGTATTATTTTATAACAAAAGCTTCACTGCTTTCCCTTCAGAGGAACAAGCCGTATGATTCAGAGGAGCTGTGCTGCAGGGGGACTTCTGCCTGAGTGAGACACTCCCCTGAGACTACATGCTTGAAAGTGCGGAAAACTGTATGTTATCAGTTTGACAGTCCGGCTGTTTCACTTTCCTTTTGTTTAGGCAAAATCCCTCCAAGGAATACTTTAGTGGTGAAAGAACAGTCTGCAGACAAAAATGAAGAGCCGGCTCCTGGGGACTGGAGGGAGCTGGTGGGGTGTGCAGTAAAAAGCCTCCCTGTCCTCATCCTGTCTTCCTTAAAGTCAAAAACGTCCTCCTGACCGCTTTTGTTTGATAGATCCCAGCCTCAGTTGTAGATGACTGTGTCTCCTCAGGATGTCACCCTGTAGCAGCTCTGTGATTGCGTTTTTCATCCCCCTGCCAGGTTCTAAAGTGGGTAGAAGAGACAGTCCAGGCCATGAAGGTTCACCTGCTCTCCTCCAACCATGACAGCGCCCAGGAACACAAGTGGGAAGTGCCCTTTGACCCCAGCCTTCGTGAGGTTACTGTGTCACTAAGTGGACCGGCACCACAAATCGAGCTCAGCGATCCCTTCGGTACGTATCAGTTTGTCATTGTAAAACTGCAGATTAATCCACTCAGAAGGAGGACCCTGATTGTTGAAATTACAAACCCACAGAAGAAAAGGTGGTTTAGCTCCGCTGGGGGAGCACATGGCTTATTTCTTATTCTCCAGGAGACCCATTTAGGCGGGGACGCTGCCTACTTTGGCCAATCTAGTCCACTGATTCCCCCGATTCCCCTTACTCAGTCTCTTGGTCATTAAACGTAAAAAGTTTGTCTTTTCTTCTCCAAAGGTCGTGTTGTTAGTGAAGATCAGGGCCTTCAGGAGCTCTTGAACATCCCCAACTCGGCTCGAGTTGTCAACCTGAAGTTTCCCAGACCCGGTGCTTGGAAACTGAAGGTACTTGTTTAATGAAAAATGCCTTACTATATTCCTGTGACTGCTTAAAGGCATGTGGCCGACTGAATACTGCTGCTTTCTCTCTAAAGGTGGGCTGCAGCGGGCGCCATACCCTGAGGGTCACTGGAGTCAGCAATCTGGACTTCCGGGCAGGCTTTTCCAGTGTACCTGTCACTGAGTTCAACCACACCAGAGAGCGGCCAATAAAAGGTGCCAGACATGTTCCTGTTAGCTACTTAAGTCTTTTATGATGGAGAACACATGCAGAAGATGACCTCATGTGATCCTCTTTGTCTCTCAGGACTTCCAACTCACGTTCTGCTGAAATGTACAAACCTTAAACCCCCGGGTCAGCTGAGCCATGTGGAGCTCATATCGGGCTCGGGACGCCCCTTACGCACCATCCCCGTGCCTCTGCCCTCTGACCTCGGCCAGCAAGGCCTGTGGAGAGTCCCGGAGTTCCGCGCACCCTCCCAGAGCTTTTTCATCAAGGTGACGGGAAAAGACGAAGAGGGCTACCGCTTCCAGAGGCTGTCCAGTGTCTCTTACACCAACATCGTTCCAGGCAAGACAACCCCCTCCCAGCAATCCCCTCTGCAGTGTCTCTCACACCTCATCAATCTCTTTGGTGGCCTTTAACCTTTGTTTCCTCCCATGTGTAGATCCCCCAGTTGTAAGTACGCCTGATGTGGTGAAGGGCTACTACATGCAGCCTGCTGTGATTGGCTGCTCGGTGGAGAGTGACATTCCCTACAGGCTTAGATTCACCAGAAGTGGGATTATGCTGGGAGAGGAGAAGTTCTTTCAGTAAGTCTCCCCTCTATTTGTTCAGCACTCTGTAACGTTTGGCTCGCCTTCCTTCAGATGCTGCAGCTTCCTAACCCTATTACCTGCTGAAAAAAACACTAATTAGGTCACTCAGTACTCCGAAGCACGTCTGTGAAGCATTAGCACTGCTTTACTTTTGGCTTTCATTGCCTCATCTTTCAGGAAACCAACATACACAGTCCGTGTTGTGAGCGTTACATATTTGATTGTGTCAATATGAGAGATTAACAAAGCGCCCATTCTTTCATGACGCTCTGCTTTGAGTTACATTCACGAGGTGAAGCTAAGTCGTAGTGAAAACTTCTCCACGTGTGTGGCGGAGATGCTAAATGAATGTGACGTCTTAAAGGATCTTGTTGTTGTCACACACAAGCCAACAAACCAAGCGTGTCTTTGCTTCAGGAACTCTGCCATAGCATCATGGGAGATTTCTCATGTGTCAGCTGAGGATGAAGGCCTGTACGAGTGTATAGCCCAGAGCACCGCCGGACAGGGACGTGCCATAACCCAGCTGACCGTTAGAGGTATGATCGGACCTTTAAATTTTCGTCTGTTTTATCAGACCAAGACTCATTGTTTCGTGGATAATCTTTGAAACAGTACTAAGTCATTCACTGGGTCTTAAATGTTTCCTCTAAAACAGAGCCGCCTCCCGTCCTGAAGCCAGCGGTGAATGTGACTTCCACCATTGGAGGCGTGGCCGTGCTCTCCTGCCAAGTGGAAGGCTCCATGCGCCACAACCTTACCTGGTACCGAGCAGGTCGTATCATCCGGGCCAGGGCGGGGAGAGTGAAGCTGCTTGCCGACTCGTCCCTGCAGATCAGCCCGGTGAGGACTCAGGATGCCGGGGAGTACCGCTGTGTGGCCACCAACGCCCACGGAGACAGCAAGATCGCCGTGTGGCTTCTAGTCCCAGGTACAGCAGGACGGTAGTCTGCAGGTCATCTGCTCAAACACTTAACACACCCGGGCCTCATAGCTGCTCTTAGCCCCCCATCATCTGTTTTCCATTATTGGCTTAGTTCCCTCGCAGTCAGATTGAGCCACTTTCAGTCAGAAAACGTTTCTCATCAGCGAGAGTTGATTCATGTTGAAAAACCTGGTTTCTATTACGAGAATTCGCTCAGATGTTTGTAATGAATTTCCAAACAGTCAATAAATATAAATCTTTTCATCAGTGTGAATCCTCAGTCATGATGTCAGACGAGCAGCGCTGGGTAATAAATTGTTTATTGTTGTATAACCAGTGGTAAGGTAGCTTATAAATGACTTCATGCAGTGATGACAAAGCCCTGAGTCATCCCTGACTTTCTGCCTCTGTTTGACTCCAATCCCAGAGGCTCCTTCTGTGGAAGTTCACCCCCAGAGTCGGGCTTTCTCCCGAGGGGACGAGATCCGCCTCGTCTGCTCGGCGTCCGGCTCCCCCCCTCCCCAGCTCTTCTGGAGCCATGGAAACATGTTCCTCACTAATCGGCCGAGGTAAGGGAGCCCTCAGCCCACTCAACACCTCTGGCACAGTGGACTCAGAGCGTCATTACAAACCACTTTAACTACGCTTGCCTTTGCCAAAACTTGTTTGCACCGTAGATTTACATGTAATGATATAAAAACTTTCCGAACCACAAATTCTTTGTAAGTCTGTGTTAAACAGATATTCGAAGAAAAATGTCGTACTGTACCCAAGAATAGCAGACCTTCCGCAGAAGAATTTCCGCTCTACATCTGCGTTCATCATTTTACATCTGTGCATGCCATCAGGAGAAGTTAACAAACATGTTTTCGGTTGATTACACGATACAGGTTCAGACTGAGCCAGAATGGGGTTCTGACTATCAAAGGGGCCCTCCCAGAGGATGCTGGGAACTACACGTGTTTAGCAACCAATGAGGCCGGGACTGACTCGAAGTCTGTGTCACTTACCTTTGCAGGTGAGTTGAAATCTTGTTTTAGTTATACATTTAAGGACAGTAGACTGAATAGATCATTTTGCTGGGATAATCCTGTTAAACTCAAAGGCATAAATCACTGCCTTGGCGGCCATCTTATTGTGACGTCACGCTGAGGCGGGAGACTTACCTTAGGTGGTCCAGATCGTAACTTACAGAAACCTCAAGATGTTATCTTTCTGTGGTCATTTTTAGAGCTCCCTGAGTAATAAGCAATTATACAGACAACAGACAAAGGTAATCAGTGCGATCGGGTTATATTTTAGGCTTTAAAAAAACGCATCTGACAGCCTCTTAGCTAACATCAGAACACAGCTTCGGTTAGCATTCAGCCACTTTCTATTCAACGTTAATGTTCTAAAACGACAAAAATAACACTCTCTAAACAATCATATTATAGAGGGCTCCTTTTTAAAGTGTTGATTATTAAGCTGGTCTCTATTTTTACATCATGTTTGCCGTTTGCGAGCCAAAAACACATGTTAAGAGGTACGAGCGGACATTGATGTTACGATCGATTATGTTACCTTGTAAACCGGGGATTTTCACTCTGTTACTATGACAACCAGGTAATCATTCAGCTGAAAGTCGCTAGAGTAAAGGGTCACTGTTTAAATTATAACACCGGTGGCCTCACCCTTGTCTTTACAAGCCTCGATCCTGAGAAATCTGACCCGTGTACCAGGAATTTCCTTAAAATTAATCAACTAAAGATAAATTATGTTGAAAACAATCAGATATAAGAATTAATTAGACTTTGGCTGGTAACCCCCATGTTGCCGAGGTTATCTATTAATAGATATCAACATTAAGATTAATACTTTAAAAATATATTCATGAACAAAAAAAAATATTTTGTCTCTCCTCCTGATGTTGAAGTGATTTTTGCTGAAATGGAGGTGTCAAAATGCTAATGTGAACTGTGCACAATGTTAGCTAATGGCTGTTGTGTGTGATTTTTAATTTAAATATCTCTCTGTGATTATTCATGGAGATGTGAAATGTCCCCAGTTGGTCTTTATATTTAGGTTTATTTGACTTACCACCTGGAATCACAATGTATTGTAATGAAACATGATAACAGTATACCTGTTTCCCTCCCTGAGCGAGGTGTTATGATCTATTAGCACTAACTTCAAACCCCAGGATCACAGATCATAGTTTCTGTTTGTGTTGAGGTCTTTTCTCAGAGGTGTTGGGTTGTAAAACTGTCTGTGGGTGTATCTCATGTGAGTTTTGCTGCAGCTCTCGGTACAGCGGGGACCCGTGTTGTTGCATGTTGTCTGTCTCTCTCAATCGGATATCTTTCTCTTTGTTTTGTGAGTGCTGACAGTTTTAGAGATGAAATTTCAGTCAAAGCTTGTCGGGTAGTGGTTGATAGAAACCTCAACATTGATGAGCTGTGGCAGCCTTTTCCTGGGGCGTGCTGCTATAAAACTCTCTCTTTTTTTTCTATGGCTGTCATTTTTAACAACATTGATCTGTCAAGGCAGCATGAACACTGTAAGGTAGAACATGTCGGCTTCTCAGCTCTGCTTTCAGTCTGTTCTGTTCCTGAAGCGTCTATGCTCCACTGCCAGCACTGACTGTGTGTCTAAAAAGTGAGCTTTTATATGTACCCCAGGTCTTTTCTGCAGACTGTACTGGCTTGATTTTACACCGCTTTACTTTGAAAACTCAGTAATGGTCCATAAAGTACAAATTCACCGCTGTCCTACCTCTTGAGATTTCGTTTCTTCCCTCCAGAGGTGCCGAGAATCACTGTGGAAAAGCAGGCCGTACTGGTATCTGTTGGTGGTGATGCCACTCTGGAGTGTAAGGCCACTGGTGTTCCCCCTCCTCTCGTTCACTGGTTCAAAGGTACCTTAAGGGCAATAACAGAGTAAACATTAGACTGTGCAAATAGAAAAATACCAAGTTTAAGACCAATAAGTTTGTTTGATATGTTTCCAGGTGAGCTGGAGGTAGGCTCCGCTCCTTTCGTTGAGCAGGATGTAAACAGAGGCACCCTGCGCATCAGGGGGGTGCAGGAGGTCGACGCTGGTCAGTACAGCTGTGTGGCCAGCAGCCCTGCTGGAACCTCAGCTGGCACTGTTAGTCTGGAGGTTGGAGGTGAGTCTACGGTCTATCATCCACAGAAAGTTTATTTTTCTCTCAAACTTTCTCTCAAAGGAAAATCCTCTTTTCCCTCCACAGCGGGACCATTGTTCTCTGAGGCACCGGTTGACGCCATGGCTAGTGTAGGGGAGAATATCACCCTCCCCTGCACGGCCCGAGGTGTCCCGCCGCCAACAGTAACCTGGCGCAGACAAGATGGCAAACAGATTCTTGGAAAGACTGGCAGCCACAGTAGGACAACGCAGCTGGAGGACGGACATCTTCTGATCCAGAGTGAGTCATGAAGAAAAAAACAACTCTCTGATCTGCAGTGTGGACTCGAACAGATTGATACCCAAATAGAGGCTTAAAACCCTTTAAAAAGTCCTTAAAATTAAATAAATGAATGTATTTCCATATTATTCAAACAATTACTTTATAATATTTCTATTTCCTGGCTTCAAAGACATATTTATCAAACCACAAGTTAATCCAAAATGAGCTCTTACAACAGAAACACTTTGAAAAACAGGATTAGGAACCAAGTTAGTCACTCCATCTGTGAACAAACATCCTGACTTTCCAAAAAATTAAAACATTTAAAAGCTTAATCAAACGAAAAAGCACAAACCATCGACAATGTGCCAACTCTGTCTGCTTCAGTCTTATTTGATAAACAAATGCATTTTATCCCATATCTTATTTTAATCCCTTAATATTCCTTTTTTAGCGACTTGATCGCACTTCAAGAGGACCTGATTGTTGTCTCACTCTGAATGGCATGGCTTATTATATAGATGCAGCTTCTCATACTCAATAAAGCAGTCATTCAAAGATATATACAAAAATTACGCAATCGTATACGGATGTTGGGACATGAAACTTGTACCTTAAAAGTCAGAAATGGCCTCCAGGTTTCTGTCATCTGTGGTGGACACCATACCTGAAAGGGTTAAAGGTGAACAGGTGTCTTAGTTGAAGCTTAAAAGCTTATTTTCAACTGTACGACTGTAAATAAAGACAAACTTACTGCTCCACATAAAATCACAGATGGACCTTTAAATATGAAGTATTTCAGGCCCAGAGAAAAGAAGCTGCTCCTATATTTACTCTCCCGTCACTCTGAGGTTTTATCCTAATTGGCCAAAAGGGAATTTACATATTGAACTAATAAGGCATGTCTGCTGGGTTCTGACTAATCCTGGCCACTGAGGGGGATCCTCGGTGTTCCTCTGGGAGTCTAAATGTTTATAGTGTTTGTACTATTATGATGAAGAGGAACGGACATATCTGCATCGGCTGCTCCTCTCACTGTTTCCATTTGTGGCTGCAGTAATGAGCTCAGTATAAAGCAGATGGCTTCACTTTCTACCTGCCATTGTTTTAAATAATGTCTTCATCTATACTGTGTTAGGTAATGACTGCTCCTGATTTTATTCTACTGTTTAACGAGTTATCATCACATATTTAAAAACATGAGCTTTACTATCACATGTGGATCTCCAGAGAGTGTAAATGAGCGGGGCAGGAGTTTTCAGGGGCTGGCAGCTGAGCATAACCCATTAATCCCATTATTTCTATTTTTAACTCTCAATTACAGCTCGGTTAAACCAGTAACAACACTTGTTTTGTGTAGAGAACTTAACTGTGATTAGGACAGGCTCTTCTCTGGATGAATAGTTTTCTCTGCAGTTGTAGATCTGCTCTTTGTTTAGATATGTAGTACATCATGTGCTCTGTAATGACCTCTTTTACCGTGTGTTTGGCTGCAGGTGTTTGGCTGGACGATGAGGGGCTTTACATCTGCGAGGCCCACAATCAGTTTGGAACCATCAAGACTGAAGCCAGAGTTAGTGTCACTGGACTGGGTAGGATTTATGGACCTCTTTTATCCCTCCATTCATTGTAAAGACAAAAGCTCAAACTGCAGAGCTGAGGGGGGCATTGAAGCACTTCAGTTTGTCCTTCTGGTTTTATTGTCCTGCAGCGTTTTGCTGTTTTATCTCAACACTCTCGTTCTCTCAGAACCTCCCCTCTTGGCACACGGGGCCCCAATCATCACCACTGGTATCGGCCAGTCCCTGAGTATCCCTTGCATGCTGCTGGAAGGAATCCCTCTCCCTGAGAGACACTGGTCCCATAATGGAAAACCCGTAAGACTGACAGGTCATGTAATTTGAGGATCGTGTAAATTCAAATTGCTTAACCTGCTTTGACAGCAAACGTTTCTTTTCCGCTCAGGTCCAGTTGAATAGGAGGATGTTCATGAGGAGTGATGGTAGTTTATACATTGAGAAAGCCAGCCCAGAGGACGCTGGTGCATATGTCTGCACTGCTATGAATGTAGCAGGCACCATGAACATCACAGTCAGCCTGGAGGTCCAAGGTAAGAGCGCAAAGTCAGATTGAGAGAGATATGAGAGACACAATCTCAAGTCCGCAGAGGGTCGGGTAAACAAAACAAACAGCTTTTCAGCCTGAACTCACCAATAGTTCCTCACCCCCCCATGACACCTCAAGTCTTAGGCTTTACATTCAAAGTCAGCTTGTGGAGGATTTTGCTGATGCCTAATAGATGTCAGTGAGGTGAGACAGGTTGGCAGGTGAGTTGGCAGAGAGGGGGCAAGATCGTTGAAAGATGGAAGTCAAGAATTTATAGATGTACTTCTTCACTCTGACACAGGATTGTTTTTCAAAACTTGCTGCCAGAGCTGTCATGAAATAAGATCACAGGAAGAGGATATCAAAATAATGACATTTTAAACAGCCAATAAAATGATTTTTTTTATTGCAATTAAGGAAAATGAAATGTAGGATCGAAATAAGTGGATTTAAAACACAGTGAACAAGCCTAATGAGTGGAAATAAACCTTTTTAATATTATAAACAAATATATTAAATCCAACAAAACAAATCCGCCAAAGTGGGAGTAACACTTTCATCCCTCTGTTCGGTTTCCCACTCTCAGTTTTGGGCGGTCAGGTCACTAATTTGCTGACTCAGCTTGGAAAAGAACAATCCGTCAATGAGCTGACCACCTGCTGTCATCGTAGTGAGAGGGTCCATTTACCGCCGTCTCAGATGAAAGGGCGGTTTTGTTCATAGGCGTGTAATGACAGACGGGACAGATTAGGGCTCATCATCGGTTAGTAATGAAGAAATGCCTCCAGCGCTGATACCGCCGCCTGACTTAGTCCTGTGATAATACTGCCTCTTCACGGTCAGTCAGACAGCTGTGTTTTGTGACCTACTTCTTCTTCTTCTTCCACAGTGCCCCCTGAGATCATCGCCGGCCCGTACCACTACATAGCCAACGAAGGTGTGGCCGTCACGCTGTCATGCGAGGCCAGCGGCGTTCCCAAGCCAAAAGTAGTCTGGTCCAAGGTAGGAAGTCACACTCCGTCAAAAGCTACTTTTCTTAATGAATCCTTTGGCCACGTCCCATACAGTGATGCATGACGAGTTGGCAGGCTCTTACTCCCATGACATTAGGGAGAGAGGATCACACTTGGCCTTCAGTCGTCTGGGAACTAATCATCATTAAGAGTTTGTAAATAATAGCCTGACTGAGCGGAGAAGATCCATGTCCGTCCTGTTCTGGAGGAGCGAGTGGATTTTTGGGTTAAAAACGGCGTTTTTAGCGGGCCAAAATATGATCGAATTTTGTGCAAAATCAACTAATTGTTCATTTATTTATCCATTTTGGCTCATGATGAGGTTTTCGTTTATTTTTTAACGGTTATTATTTGTGCAGAAACCTAACCAACACTTAACCTCGACCCCGAGTTTTTCCCTTTTAGAAGAATTAATTGTTTTCATAATTTTTTTTCCACTGCCGCTGTAGAGCAACAATAGCCGCCGCCCTCCTCCTCCTCCTGCTATTTTTATGGTCTGCGTTCTTCGCCTTGAAAAAGAGCCACGACAACAGTGACAGTTAGCGCTGCAATCATATTTGATTAACCCGGTGAGGAGGGATGTTACCATGGCAACCCACAATAGCTCCACTCGTTGATGATGAATTACTCAGGAGTTTGTTCTTCATAGGAATCAATTTAAAAGGCTTTCTTGCAGCACAGAGAGCGGATGAAGAAGACAGAGTCCGATCAAACCGGAGAAGTGCAAAAAAGAACAAATAAAGATGTTCGTATATTATAGCAAATATACAAATTTATAAGTCAATTAGTAATCAGCTGTATCCAGTATACTGTATAGATTTCCTTATTGGAAATGTCTAAGTTAAAATAATGTTAAATTATGAGATAAAGTTCTTAAATGGTTCTTAAAATGAGCAAAAACTGATGAAACTCAGAAATTAGAGCGATATATTGGATAAGTTTATGCAACTCTAAGAAGCTTTATAATTAAATAAAATTGTGGTAGTTACAATTTATAATGAAACCCAGAATTTCAAACACACTGTTATAAATCTTGAGCAGCGAGTTCATGTGAAGTGTCGCCCTCATTTCTGTGATAAAATCAGATTAACAGTGATCGACTTTTCCAAGAACAGAGAAGATGAAAACGATGAGAGTAAACGCCAACATCATTACACCATTATACAATCAGCGCGGTGAACCTACTGTCACTTTTCTCACAGACGGATTTTTCCTACTAAAAAAGTGCTCTGGAGTTTAATACATTTATTTTCTAGTCAGATAAAAGTGATTCTGTAAAAAGAGTTTTTTATATTTAAAGCTGCTGCATTCTTCTGAGTGTGAGTGTCTGTAGTTTCTCTGCGGGTCATAAACTTTAAACTAAACTGAGTGTCTCTGCTCCTCCGTTACGAAGACAGCTCACATTAACTCCATATTCTCTTTGGTCTTCTGCCTGCAGGGGAGGCAGCCTCTGCCCAGAGACCGCTCCTCTCTGCAGTCTGACTCAGACGGATACCTCCACATCCCCCACCCCACCACTGAGGATGCAGGGATCTACATCTGCACAGCAACCAGTCCTGTGGGCTACGCCAGCCGAGAGATCCAGCTCAGTGTCAACAGTAAGGAAGCAGACCGCAGTCACATAAACATGGAGGTGTTTGATTTTACCGAGCCTAACCTGTCTGCGTCCTACAAGACGGTTTGACGGAGTACGGGCGCCGTTCAGGAAATCAGAATGCGCCAGAAAAGTTCATTTTTAGTTTTCATGAAAATCACCTGCAGAGTCTGCATGTTGTTCTTCTCTCTCTCCCGTCTCCTCCAGCCATGCCAAAGATAGTGGGAGTGAGCGGCCACGACAACACGGTGAAGATGGCTGCAGAGGTGGGCACAGAGGTCGTTCTCCCGTGTGACGCCCAGGGAAGTCCTTCTCCACTTGTTACGTGGAGCCGGAACGGGCACCCCATCCCCCCTGTCACAGCTGGGTAAGCGGAAGAATGACCTCACCCCCGACAATGAACGAAGCCGTAAAAATAAGTGAAACAATACGCCACAAAACTTTAACACCATACCTCACCTCCACCTCAACATCTGACTCAGCTTTTACAAGGAACTGAAGCTGGCTGCCATTCAAAGCTGCTGCAGTGACGCCGTTTGAAGGGCGGTTAGGCAAAGATGGCAACAGGCTGCCAGAGAGCGGTGTGGGGGCTTCACTTGACTGGCTGAACTGAAGAAGAACATCTGGTCCTGAATGGTTGGCTGATCCCTGACTCTCATGTGTGGTCACTCTGGGTGCAGACAGGACACAGACTGGTTATACGACCGACAGCCTGAATGGTTCCGGGTAGATAGAAGAATGACGGAGTGGGTTGAAAGCTGCGGTGACTCAGATATAGCATGACTTGTGTGGGGCCAGGAAGAAGGAAGAGACGGGGGTGGAGTGGGGGGTGCCAGGAAGAGGGGAGGAAAACGAACTGACAGAGGAAGAGATACAAGCGCCGTCTGCCTGATGTCGGGATTCCCCGGGGAGCTTTCGCAGTAAAACAACATGCTGACTCTTTACTAGTCCTGTCTGATGAGAATAACACATCTCTGCGAGCAGCCCCCACACCCCGACCCCTGCTTTGCATATTCAGGACGGTCAGAGAAAGAGGGAGAGCTCCACTCTGTGGGTCAGAGGAAATGACAAGGGGCCGCTGCTGAAGGTTGAAATAACTGAAATCAGTGAGCGGTAAAAGGGTAGAGGGATGGAGAGCTGCTGAGGACTGAGTCAGGGGTTCACTCTAGACTTAATCCTGACGAGGTCAATCCGTCCTGGTTGGTCTTCACGTCAGGCTGTATGCACAGATGATGGGATGGAGGTGCTTCCTCTCCTCTTCGTCTTGCGTCCTGCAGCTCGTGTCAGTCTTTCTCGTGGCGTCGCCGCAGTCCTCTGCAGAGGCAGCGGTTCGGTTCCATCGGGAGACGCTGCTCCTCCTGCTGCCTCTCCTCAGGCTGTTCGAGGAGGTGGGGGAGCCACATTACACCACATGTGCAGCTGAAATAAAGAGCTCTTTGTGCGCCCAGCTTTCATGAACGTGTTATTGTTATATTTCAGTTGCTTAGCAGACGCACTTATCTAAGATAAATCAAAGAGGTATGTTTACATTCCCTCATATTATGCATTTATACAGCTGGGTAGCTTCTGCTGCGTTACAGGGTGCCATACACCCTTGAAGCTGATGGCCGACATTAAAGTGTATGTAATTTACATTTAAGTGTGGCGTTTATGACAGAGTATGTTTTGGGAGCGGCGGGTTAGTGTAAGTGACGGCCAACATCTGCCTGAGAACGAACGACTGAAATAAATCCTCAAACCTTTGCGAGCTTCCATCCAACCCAACTTCTGCCGCTGATAAATGCTTAATTGTTTTTCCCTGAACCAATAAGAAGAAAATGTGTAATTATTCGAGCCGACGACCTTTAGCGCGGTTACATCATCGGGTCAAACTCTGGCTAACCTTTCGCTCTGTAAATATCCCGCACAATGGTTATTGTGAGCGTAACTTCTCTCTCTGGGGGGATGACTAAGCCCTGGCTCAGGTCCAGACTCCACTTAGTGCTTTCTCGCTCATAATTTTCATCCCCAGCACCGCAGATCCATTTTTCTTGATTGCAGCCAAACAACACAACTGCAGAGAAGCCATCAGCAGCAGCGTCGTGATTTATCCCGGCTCTGTAGAACCGTCACCGCGCTCACGCTTTGTTTCGTGCGCCGAGCTCTTAAAACGGAGAAACTACAGCACAATAGGGCGATATAGCAGCATGTTCCATTTTTCCACTAATTGCTCCAATTGTCCGTATTATCTAATTATTTTGCTCTCTAATGAAGCACTTCATCAGAAGGCCTTGGGCAGGAGCCGTTCTGGGAATTCTCTGAATCTGTTTACAGGAACCGTTTCCATCATCGACTAAAAATAGAAACAGGGGAAAAACGACATCTTCAATTTAAATCCGATATCAGCATTTCAAGAGACATCAAATCTGTCAAACTATGTCTAAACAGGAACACCTCATTTCAATCTGCATTAACCTCAAACATGTTGTTTTCTCTGTCTCTCTACCCTTGACCTCTAACCACTCCCCAGGTTCACGGTTCTGCCCTCAGGCTCTCTGAGGATCACTGATGTGCGCCTGATTGATAGTAAACTGTACACCTGTACCGCCGAGAACCCAGCAGGCAACGTGTCCCTAAGCTACAATTTACACATTCAAGGTAACTCCGCAGGGTCTCATTAGGAAGCTGAACTCCCGAAAACCCTAAAAATGGCATTTCCAGAATGTTGTGAGGTTGATTGATCCCATCTGAATACATCAGCGCTGAAGTATGTCAGACATGTCGAGGATGTAAATAAACGTGGGTGATAAAGGTCGGTAATCTCTTTGTTTCCGTCCTCAGCCAAACCCAGGATTCAGCCCGCACCGCCCCTCCTCAAAGCTCTGATCGGACAAACTGTGACTCTGCCGTGTGTGGTCCAGGGAGAGCCGAGTCCCGAGATCAGCTGGTTCCACGATGGACTTCCTGTCGGGGTCAAAAATACTACACCCCTCAGGATCCAGAAGGTCAGCCTCGCCAACCAGGGTGTTTACCGCTGTGTGGCCGAGAACAACGCTGGGGAGGAGACCCAGGAGATCAAGCTGGAGATCCTCGGTGAATACCTTCATATGTTATTAAACAGAAACAAACAGGATGATTTATGAGTGTATGTTAAAAATCTGGTCTGCATTGATCTAAATAACAGTTTCAAAGCACCCGGGACACCCAAGCTGACGGTGTCCCAGTTTTAGGTCCTTCCAGGTTTTAAAGCGCTTTCTCTGGAGGTACAGTAAGAGTGAAAACGGCCTCATCTGCTCGGTTTAGTACTTTACCTGATGCAGACATGATATTATTCTGAGCATGAATGAAGGCTGCAAGAACGTGAAAAACTCAAAACACAAAATCAGTCAAAGAGGATCGTAAGGAAGAAATAAAAATATGAAGAAATAAAGAAAATAAGAGGTTAAAAAAAGAGTTTTAGTGTTTAGATCTAAATGAGCTTTAAAAGGGATCGGCAGAATCTGAAACTGTTAGAAAGCCGGAGATGGGGGGGTCAAAACTGTCAGAGGTGTGGGAGTGTGAGAGCAGAGATTTAGCCTTGAGAGGAATGACTGCTTTAACATCTGATTGGCTATAAACTGGTTTTGTCTGAACGGTAGTGAACTTCGTGTTTGTACCATCTTAGTGTAACTGGACTGGTTGTTTTTCATCCTCTTTATTATCAAGATTTTTAAGAGTATCTTTGAGGTGATTGCTGGTTATTTCGAAGTGTTTCTTCCTCAGCAATCGCACAAAAAGTCCTCTTAGTTTCATAAAGAAATCCTGGTCTTACTGAAACCACCTGGTCAATCTTCTTGGTGATAAGAGGAGATCATACTCTCAGATCAGTTACCTGCAAAACCTCACTTCAAATCTTACACCTACAGCAGTCGATCTCTCGTCTCACTGACTCTCTTCTACCTGAGCTGAGACGTCTATAATTAACTCTGATCACACTCTGAATTTAATGTTCTCTGTATCAGCGTACTCGCACAGACAGAACCTGACATGTTTTCCTTTCGTCACAGAGGCCCCATCCTTCGCAGAACCCGGAGACGCGATCATGGAAAAAGTATCGAACAGCAAGGTCATCATCCCCTGCCCCGCCGAAGGTACGAAATGATTCACAGACGAGTCAGTCTGGAAGGAAAAATGCAATCAAAGTCCTGGTATTTATAAAAGAAACAATTTACAAGGTGTGACTCAAGCTGTTAGAGCTTAAAATGGATGTTTATTTTTATGGAAAATCTGTCTTTAAATGTAGGACAGGTATGTATCAAAGGACTTTCTCTTATTTCTCAGATACGAAGCTCGCTGCTCTCTCTGTAGTTTAATGTCACTGTGAGCACGGTGGCATCGTGGATGGATGTGGAGAGCCTGCGATTATTACCAAAACACTGAGAGTGTCTGTTTATATCCAGCCGATTCACAGATAGACACCCCTGACAGGACGTGCAAACAGGTATTGTTTGTATCTTGTGTGCCATGGTAACCAGCTCCGACTGAGGGAAGGTGAGGACTGTGTCCTATCTATGTAGAGCAACAGCTGGAACATCAGTCCGCCTGCTGCCTCCGTGAGCCACATCTGCTTTCCTCTGCGTCCGGGCCTGCTGGGAGAGGAATCCTAATTACAGGCTGCTGCTGGCAGACGAAGGACCGAGATGTCTGAGGTGCTCTGAAAAGTACAGGAAGAGGAAGATAAAGCCAAAGTAGCCCTCTTTCCATCCATGTCGTACCAGCGGGCAGAAGTACAGGCGGATCCAGGCCTCAGAGGGTGAACACAGACATGCTTGATGCTCTTGACACCCAAGAGAGGCAGCCGGCGGCGAAAAAGGAAGGATCTTGTCATTGCGCTCTTGAGATTTGTCTGTATTAGGAGGATAAAGTGGAGTGTCTGCCAGAAGGAGACCATTAATTCACCAACAAACACACATTTGATCAGGGTAATTATTGGAGAAACACATGGAAGAGATAATCCCCGACTTCATCACCCCGCTAATACATCCAAAGTCTGCTAATGAGATCTGTAACATCTAAAAAAAGGACATCTGTATGTGTTTCCCCCCCAGCAAAGAGATGATGAATTCTGCTTTGAGCTCCCTAAATGTAAACACATGTACAGAGGAAAGAAGATAACATCACCTTAGTTTGAGCTGCGTCTCATGTGGTCGGGACTTTTCTGATCTGTGAAGGAGCTGTGTTTGATTTCCCCTCTCCTCGTCTGAGGTGTTTGTATATGTAACACCTCTGTAAATAGACAGAGCTGTGCCGCTTGGATTGCTCCACTGCTCTGCTTCTTTCATTGCTTCACTCAGGCTCTTCCTCTTCCTGGGAGTCTGTTATCTTTTATACTAAATCCTCCACCTTTACCCTCCATTCCTCCTTCCTCCTCTTGACCGTTTCCAGCTCCTCTGAGGACATCTGTTTTGGGCTCCCCAGTGAACACACCAGAGTCTTTGAACTGCTTGTTCAACCACTCCTAGTCTTACTGCGTTTGGTAATAAATCTTGATCGTATATCTCGCATCTCTCCAGAATTCCGTGTCTTACTTTTTATGTGACTCTGACCTTGAAATCTTGAAGCTCGCCGGCTACAAGGACTCGAACCATTTTGGCATCGGCTTCCCCCGCTGTCCGACAGATAAATGTAGAGCCTGCTTTTTCTCGTCTGGGCCGGGTGCCCGTTAGGTTCTCCCGTTGAGAGGCAGAAATATGGAAGTAACTTTTCTTTTTTGTCAGACGTGATCAATAAATCTCACTTTTTACTTCTTTTCTTCGCTGTGCACCTGCAGGGTCACCTCCTCCTAAGATACGCTGGTTTAAGAACGGCCTGGAGATAGACCCTCTACAATCAGGGTTCTCTGTGGCGAGGGATGGCGCGCTCGTAATTAGCACAGCATCTGCCAGCCACAGCGGGGACTTCAAGTGCGTCGCCACCAATCATGCAGGCTCTGTGGAGAGAAAGACGAGGCTCAAAGTTAACGGTGAAAAATCAGTCCTACCTTACAAATGTAAGCTTATATATAACAGTCATTCTGTATATGAATTCCCTTTATTCTGCTTTTCTTCAGTCCCCCCTGAGATCCAGGATGACGGCCAGCCCCTAAACCTCACTGTCACCTTGAAGCAGCCTCTTACTCTGGGCTGCGATGCCTTTGGGATCCCCTCTCCAACAATAACTTGGACTAAAGACGATCGCCCTGTGAGTTTTTTACCTTCACAGTAAATGTAAACCTTGTCAGTACACAGCAGCTATTTGATACCTAGATGTGCAATGCCACCATGTGGCCGTTCCTCTCATTACAATAACACCTTGAGGATGCGCTCAACTTTCATCTGTGTGTTCAGGTGGACAGTCCAGGGGTCTACCTGCAGAACGGGAACAGGATGCTGAGAATATACCGAGTTCAGCCGGAGCATGCAGGAAGGTTTGTCTGCACCGCTCACAACTCAGCTGGAGAGGCTCGGAGGAAATACGACATCGTGGTTCAAGGTGAGCTGTTGTCAGATTTCAAAGTATGAAAATATACAGAATAAAGGACTGATTCTTTTTCCAACATCTGACTTTAAATTTTGGTCACACTTTAAATAAATTCACCTCTTAGAAAGCATCATTTATAAATCCTGACAAATGCATCTACAAAGTTTCATAACAATTCTTTTAAGGGTTGTTATGAAGCCTCATAGGTGCCTTTTAGGAGGAGAGTTAGTATAAATTCACCAAAAACTCAATCTAAGAACTGTAGCTGATCAATTAAATCTCAACTCTCCATATTTTAGCTGATCCCAAAAGTTTAAATTTTATATTAAATTCCTCACTAATTACTCAAACAAGTTAAAATGTGATCAGTTTGTATTTCCTCATCACAGGGACTTTTAAATCTCCCTAAATTCATGCATCTGGTGTTTGTGTTCACTGTTTCAGCTCCACCGGTGATCTCAGGAACGTCCCGTCTGCAGGACATGAATGTGATTCTGGGCCAGGAGGTGGAGTTTCAGTGCAGGGTGAGCGGACGACCAGCACCCAAAGTGGAGTGGAGCCGGGATGGAGAGTATGTATCTTTAACTGAGGTGATGTTTAGCAGGATGAAGCCCCCGCTGTAATGATCTGTTGTTTCTTCTCGTCAGGGTTCTGTCCCCTAATGGAGACCCTCATGTGGAGTTTCTGGAGGACGGTCAGGTGCTGAAGGTGAAGTCTGTGAGACTGAGGGACCAGGGGCTGTACCAGTGTTTGGCCAGTAACAACGCAGGGACTCAGATGCGCCAGTTCAGACTCACAGTGCAAGGTCCTTACTTTATAAATAACAGAGAAATGTAAAATTAAACAGGTCGGTTCATAAAACGAACACAAGGGTGTAATCTGTGTCTCTGCAGCGCCCCCCGTCATTAAGGGCCCCAGTGAGACCTCAGAGGTGTCCGTGGTTCTGGGCTTCCCTACAGTCCTCCCCTGCGATGTTGAGGGCTCTCCCACACCGAGCATCACCTGGTTGAAGGACAACCAGCCCATTGTGTCCAGTCCCCAGCTCACGTACACCCGGGGCGGACAGGCACTGAGACTGGGCTCAGCACAGGGGGACAGCACAGGCCTCTACACCTGCAGGGCCACCAATCCTGCCGGCACGGCGATCAAACAGTATTCTCTGAGTGTTTTAGGTAAGTCCTCCATATCACTGACTGATCTACGTCGCTTAGATAGAACTTTTGGTGACGGTGTCCTGTCCCATCAGTCCCCCCACAGATAGAGGGAGAGTCCTCGACGTTTGGTGGTCATGAGAGGAAAGTGCGGATCAACGGGAGTCTGACTCTCTCCTGCCTGACCAAAGGTTTCCCTGAGCCCAAAGTTCAGTGGTTCAAAGATGGACAGGTTGGTGTGTCATCCAATCAAACTCTGCTTTTTAAAGATAAAACAGACTAAACAGGTTATTTTTGTTACAGAACGAGGCCTCAAATAAAAGAGTAAAAACACTGACTGAAATCCAAACTAAATAGACGAGTTTCACATCAGGGCTGTTCCTAAAGTTTATCCCTTTCACAGACAGTTCAGCTTTTTATTTAGTACTTGTTTCTCCTAATTTTGTTATATGATTATTTTCTGGGTCTTATACATCTCTTCCATATCTGACAAATAGGAAATGAATTAGTTGTCATTCCTTCACTCGCAGCCTCATACATAGTTTTATCTGATGAGTTTTCCTTGTCTTCAGCTGCTCAGTGGAAACATTCATGCCGGCCTTCGGGAGAGCGGCCAACTCCTCGAGATCGAGGGCGCCATGATGTCTCATGAAGGACAGTACACCTGCGTGGTCACCAACTCTGCAGGAGAGGACAAGAGAGACTTTCAGGTCACCATCCAGGGTGTGTTTCAGGAATCATAGAAATAGAAAACTAGTTTCTTCTTCAGCTGATAAAAAGTGAGTCCTGCTGACCCAAATGTGTTCTGGTCTCGGTAGTTCCCCCCGTATTCCACCGGGTGACTAACAGAGAAGCAGCCTGGGGGCTCGGACATGAGGATGATGAAAAAGAGGACATGGTGAACAAGCGGGAGGTGGTCCTGGGCCATCCAATCAGCCTGTCATGTGAGAGTAATGCAATCCCACCACCCAAGCTCAGCTGGTACAAGGACGGACGAAAACTCACCTCTGCTGATGGAGTGGTGCTACATCCAGGTCGGTGTAAATCTGCACTGTTTATCCCAATTAAACCAGTAATTAGTAAAAATGTTTGAATGAAGCTTCAATTAAGAGGAAGACTTGGTTTTATAAGGTGGACAAGTCCTACAAATCACCCGAGTGCAAAGGGAGGATGCTGGGAGGTACACGTGTCAGGCTGTTAATGAGGCTGGAGAGGACCGCATGCACTTTGAGATGGAGATCCTGGGTAAGCAGAATCAAGCATAAGCGTGTTTTAGCTGTAATTAGACCGAATTGTGTTTTTTTTATACGGATGTCTGATGTTTTCCTCCTCAGTCCCTCCTGTCATCACTGGAGCGTCAGAGGAGTTCATGGAGGAGATGGGAGCGGTGGTGAACAGCACCGTCGTCCTCCACTGCGATGCTACCGGACACCCAGCTCCAGCCATTACCTGGATGAGAGACGGGCAGCCTGTGCACTCTGACTCACAGCACCACATCAGCCAGGACGGGACCCAACTGCAGGTAGGACTCCGAAGACAAACACCGGACTCTGAACGGATCCAGCTCTGATGTTTTTAAACTTAACTATGTTCTGAAAACTCCATCCTGCAGCTCCTCAGCGTCCAGGTTTCAGACATGGCCGGGTATCTGTGCGTCGCTGAGAACAAAGTCGGAACAGTTGAGAAACATTTCAGTCTGACAGTTCAAGGTGAGAGAAGTGCATGAGCGTAACTCACGGGGCTTTACCGCCTCCTAACATCCGATTCCAGTGTGCTGAGAAGGCCTCATAAATGTCGTTTCCAGTGGATTTTACGACACTCGGCTGTTGTTTTCCATTTCAGTTCCCCCCAGAGTGATTGGCCGTAAAGAAGAGGAGGTCAGCGTGGTCGAGGGACACATGGTGTCATTGCTGTGCGACGTCCAAGCGTATCCGCCCCCTGAGATCACCTGGACTAAAGACGGGCAGGTTCTCCGCTTTAGCAGCGGGATTCACATTCTGCCAGGTCAGACATCGGTCAGCCGTGATGTGAAATTAATTTTACAGTCAGGAGCATTTCCTTTTTTTTTTTCTTTTTTATTCAATAACAGCTCAGATATCACATTTTCTATCTTATTAAAGGGGGACAGATGCTTCAGCTGCCCCGGGCCAGACTCGAAGATGCGGGGCAATATGTGTGCACGGCCACCAACCCCGCCGGCCAGGACCAGAAGAGCATCGTTCTCAGTGTTTATGGTGAGCGAACACACGGTAACACATCTTCACAGTTCAACTACATATACAGATGATCAAATCTTAAAACACTGCCCGAGCAGAAATAATAAAAAATCTTGTTTATTGTACGCCAGCTGTGAGTGAGGAGAGCTGTGGAGTGAATCATATCATGTCTGAGTGAGATCATGCTCTCTCCTGCAGTCCCTCCCACCCTGAAGACCCGTCCAAGTGCTGAGTCAGATTCGGTCACCCCACAAGTCGGCTCCTCGGTGACACTGAGATGCGAAGCCAATGGTGTTCCACAGCCTGAGGTCACATGGTACAAGAACGGGCTGCAACTGGCTGCAGGGAACGGCCTGAAGATGGACCGTCACCACCTGGAGATAGTCGGAGTTCAGGTTGGAAAAATTCGTTTTTTTATCTCATGACTTCAAAGCAGCAAATGACATTTTTTCAGGACTAAAAGGGGCCTTAATAAGGGATTTAAAAATGACCCCCATACCACCTCTACCACCTAATTACATTCAGTTAACTTCAACGCCATTAACTCGAGACGGGGCGGACGGGAGATGAAACGCTCGCCCTGTCTTTGACCTTACTGTGAATAAACGAAGTCAGTTCATCAGATTAAGAGCACACGCAACAACAAGAACACAGCGAGAAACCCTCTTTCCCTCCACCTGAGACGCAGCCTCACTCACCACAGTCAACCTCTGTTTGTTTCCTAGTTGGCAGATGGCGGCACTTACACCTGTAAAGTCTCCAATGTGGCCGGGCAGGTGGACAGGACATTCAGACTGACGGTTCACGGTGAGAACATGTCTGATTTTGAGCCTGTTTGAAGGTTGAAGAGGTAGAGTTGGTCATGTGATCACTGTAAATTCCCACAGTCCCCCCTGTCCTGGACGGGCCTCTGCGGGAGTCCCTGAACTACACCCTTGGCTCCCACGTCGCTCTGCTGTGTGAGGCCTCAGGTGTCCCTGTTCCAAGCATCACCTGGCTCAAAGACGGGACTCCTATCGGTAAGATAGACGCAGTGATGGATGAACTATATATATGTGCATTTAGCTTGTGTTAACGACTGCGTGTGCTGTTCAGAGAGCAGTCTGCAGTGGCAGTGGTCGGTTCGAGGGAACAGGCTGGAGCTGGGGCCTCTCACTCTGTCTCACGCTGGGATTTACACCTGTGTGGCCAAAAACAGCGAGGGACAAACCCAGAGAGACTACTCGCTCACCGTGCAGGGTGAAGACAGACGACAAATCTCTGCAAAATGATACTCAGCTGAGGAAATTATAGGAATCACACATAAAAGTCATGATTTTCTTTGTCCGGCTCAGTGTCACCGACCATCCTGAACTCTGAACTGCCAACCGAAGTGAGCGCGCCTGTCGGAGAGGAGCTGACCCTGGAGTGCAGAGCAACAGGAATCCCAACGCCACGCCTCAGCTGGCTGAAGGACGGAGTGACTTTAGGGGGATCAGACAACCAACACATCGGGTAAGTCATCATCATTCCTAATTTCGTTTGGCTTTTAAAAACATGATCCAACTCTGTAATGATGCATCTGAAGCATGGTTTATTAAAATGACGAGTTACAGAGCAGGACAGACACGGTTTATAGACAGAGAAATGAAGAAGACAAAGTCCCTTGCCTAATCTCATCATTGAAGAGTGAAAGCAGCTGTTTCACAGCTGTTCAGCAGCTTATGTGGTCAGTGCGACTGCATCCACCACAGAAAGCAGAGAAAGTGTGTGAGTGTGTGTGTGTGTGTGTGTGTGTGTGTGTGGGTCTGCACTGTGAGAAAATGGTGGGTGATGATTATAACGATGCTGATGATGGGAAAGCGGAGCTGAGGTTCAGAGGTGGGATGAACAAATTATAGATGCTGCTTATACTGACAGTGTAATGGGGTGTTAATGTGAAAACCTAATGTGTATTTTTAACTCGGCAGCGTGACCCCTGATGGCAGCACGCTGACATTACTGAGGCTGAGTCCTGAGGATTCTGGGACGTACACTTGTCTGGCTGCCAGTCCGGCGGGACAGGAGAGCAAAATCTACACCCTCTTTGTGCTCGGTCAGTTTGGACGTTACAAACGTGTGTATCTGTGACATGATTTAAGTCCTCAAGTAAAGGTTTATCTTTCATTTACCTCATCACAGTCCCACCTTCTATCTCCGGAGAGACCGCCGTCCCCAGAGAGGTGCAGGTCACACAGGACAGCGCCGTGACTCTGGAGTGTCAAGCAGCAGGAAGCCCTCCGCCTCAGATCAGCTGGCTGAAGAACGGGCGCCCGGTTCTTCTCTCCCCTCGTACTCGCCTCCTGTCCGGAGACTCTGTGCTGAGGTCAGTTTGGACAGAGACGCTCAGTACAAACATTATTCATTTGTAAAGACGGCGTGTTTATAAGTGAGGTAATGCTTCTTCTCTCTGTCTCTGAAAAAAGGATTTCCCCCGTGCAGCTGTCGGACTCGGGTGTTTACACATGTATCGCACGCAGTCGAGCTGGTCTAGCCGAGCTCAGCTATGACGTCCAGGTCCAAGGTAGAACCAGACCGAACCGCTCACTAACCTCGGGTTTAATCAGGATGTGATGTTCTGAAACTGAGGTGTGTTTGTCTGCAGTGCCCCCTGGTGTGGATCATGTTGAACCGGTGGAGCCCGTCACCGTGGTCCAAGGATCTTTGGTGACTCTGACATGCGAAGCCCGCGGCGTTCCTCCTCCAACACTGACATGGATGAAGGATGGTCAGCCGCTCTCTCTTCATCGAAACCTACTGCTGGACGGACAGGAGACCAGGCTGCAGCTGCCTGATGTCGCACCTCCAGACGCCGGTCTCTACAGCTGCGTGGCGAGTAACCAGGCAGGAAGCAGCACCAAGAGCTTTAACCTCACTGTGCTCGGTAACCCCAAAATAATCCGTTCTGAATTGTTTCAATCTGACACTAAATTTAAGATTAGGTGCAAACTGAGACCGAACTCTTTGCTTCCTGATCCAGAACCTCCGAAGATTTCCAGCTCCGGCTCTCCAGAGGAGCTGACCATCGCCATCAACAGTCCACTGGAGCTGGAGTGCACGGCTGTGGGGGTCCCACCTCCCATCCTCAGCTGGCTCAAGGACGGCCACCCCATAGCAGGGAGTGACATTGTCCAGCAGGACGGCCGGTTTGTCAGGATCAGCAAAGTTCAGGTCAGTTTGTCTAGAATGTGAGAAGACTTTAAATTTACTATATTCAGCATAGATATATAGTGTTTTAGATGCTGCAGTTTGTGGGAATCTGTCTGAGTATTCATGATTTACATGGTTACAAAAAATACAGCCTCGTCATGACAACAGAACCACTCACGCTGATTGAATAATCCCTTTAAAGGTGGAGGATGCAGGTCTGTACACCTGCTTGGCCAGCAGCCTGGCAGGAGAGGATGGACAGAACCACTGGGTCCGAGTCCAAGGTGACACAAACCGTGTTCTCACATATTGTCTAACTTTGAGGAGATATATCATCCCTCCCTCTGTTCCTTTTCTAACTCTGTTTACGGCTCCTGGGACATAATAAATAACTCTCAGTGAAGGTTCAGAAACACACGATCGGTTTGCAGTAAAGTGAAAACAGGCTTTTTCTTTCAGGCATGAGCAGTTTTTGGCTGCGGTCATAAAAAGAATTTATACTGAATATACACTGAGATGCACGCAATATGAACACGCACAGAGATTTATCCATACAGTATGTGTTTTGAAGGCTCCGACAGCTTTATTTCAGATATAACATTCAGTATCCCACAATAACATTAGTTCTGCCTATTCTGCTCATGCCAGAATAAAATGATGTGGTGCTTTTATAAATGAAATTATGCACAAGGCTTTTGGTGTCTGTTCAACTGCTGGGATTAATGATTCAGGGTCTGATGTGAAAACCCAAACGCATGTCATCATCCTCCTTTTTGCACCATGACGACACACTCAGCAGAGTCGTAAACTGTGTGAGTCATTTGAGGTAAAACAGGCCCTCTAATCGCACACGCCTCGTGATAAATACTGCTCGAAGCGCACTCTTTAAGTGTAAACACATGATTTCATATCTGGCCTCTGATCTTCCTCTGTAGTCATCTGTTCCACATGACCCCTGTTAATAATCACTGATTGTGTTTCAGTTCCGCCAACCCTCCTCGGCTCTGGAGATGTGAGGACGTTGACTGTACCAGTTAATGGTCATCTGACCCTGGAGTGCCTGGCTGACAGCGATCCTGCTCCTGAGATAGAGTGGTACAAGGATGAGGCCAAAGTGCAGGTAGAGAGTTCAGAAAGAAAGAAAACAAACAAACGTCTCACTGAAATAAACACCTCACATGACCCATACTTCTCCAACTGTCGACTCAGCTCGGTGGACGTATCCAGCGGCTGGCGGGGGGTCAGTATCTGGAGATTCAAGAAGTCCGACCGGAGGACAGCGGCCACTACAGCTGCGTGGTCACCAACATAGCAGGAAGCAACAGCTTGTTTTTCACCGTGGAGATTCTCTGTAAGTCAGCCTGACAGCTTTAAAACGACGTGAATAATAAACCCAGCTAACGAGACGATACGCCGTTTATTCTATCTGCAGTACCACCAGTGATCAAGGAGGGCAGCACAACGGTGACCGCACACGTCGGCCAGGATGCAGTTCTACCTTGTGAGGTCGAAGGTGACCTTTCTACTACGGTCATATGGAGGAAAGACGGCTTCCCTGTAACACAAGACAACAAAAAGTAGGTCACTTACTGTTACTTTACTAAAAACTAAACAGCTGCACTCTTCGCTCATACCCTCTCTGTGTCTCTGCTGCAGGTACACTTTCCTATCAGAGGGCTCCTTACGCGTAAACGGGGTTAAGCTGAGTGATGCAGGTCGTTATTACTGCACTGTGTCCAACCAGGCCGGCTCAGATCACAGAGGGATGGATCTGCGGGTGTTTGGTGAGTATAGAGAATAAAAACTAAGAGCTGCTTTATGACCCTGATGCTCCTCTGCGTGGTTAGGGGAATAGTTTTATGTAGAATAACTAAGTTAGGGATGTTGTTATCATTTTATTTCCATTTAATGACTTAAAGAAAGCATCACGATGAAACACACATTTGTTGTTCACTCTGTCTCCTTTCAGTTGGTCCCTCCATCAGTCCGGGTCCGTTCAATGTGACAGCGACCACCGGGATCAGAGCAATGCTGAGCTGTGAGACGACAGGTATTCCCCCGCCAACTGTGTCCTGGAAGAGAAACGGCACTCCCCTGGATATCAGCCTGCAGCCCGGAGCATACAGGTAAACTTACAGCTGATACAGCGCACTGTCATCTTCATACAGAGCTCACATAAAAGCTCAGTTCTGTGTTGATCTGCCAGGTTACTCCCCTCTGGCTCCCTGGTTCTGCTGTCACCGTCCACAGAGGATGAAGGTTACTTTGAGTGCACCGCCGTCAATGACGTCGGGGAGGAGCGCAGAGTCATTGAGGTCTTCCTGCAGGGTATTTATTCAGAGTTTTTAGACAGTAAAACTGTCAGAAAGTCACTTAAGATGACAGATTGAAGAATTTCCTGTTTGCTTCTTTAGTCCCGCCATCTATCGAGGACGACGTCACGACAGTCACAGCTGTGAAGATGTCTCCTGTGGTCTTACCGTGTCACGTACAAGGACGACCTCAGCCCACCATCACCTGGACAAAGGGAGGAGCCAAACTGGGGTCAAGAGGAGGATCCTACCGTGTCCTCCCCACTGGTATGACACCGTATCTGGGAACTTTGTGATGTAAAAAGAAGAAAACTTTGAAACGCACTAAAGTCAGCATATTTCTGCTCTCTGTAATGCAGGAGTGTTGGAGATAACCGCAGCTGTGCCCAGTCATGCTGGCAGGTACACATGCTCGGCCCGCAACCCAGCTGGAGTGGCTCACAAACACATCTCTCTCACTGTGCAAGGTGGGCTGGAACAGCATTACCTGTTTGGATGCAAAAGGGTTTAATACTTCAACAGGAGCTGTAATGATGGATTTGTTCTCTCAGAGCCCCCAGAGATCCGGCCGATGGCGGAGGAGGTACAGGTGGTGCTGCACCAGGGGACCGTCCTGCCCTGTGAGGCACAAGGTCTGCCCAGACCGTCCATCACCTGGCAGAGGGAAGGGGTTCCCATAGCAACAGGTAAAGAGAGATCGAATCACTTCGTCACATTCAAAGAAAGATACTTACCAAAGCACTCATGTGATCCGACTCTTTATTCAACCTCAGGTCACAGGCTGGCTGTGCTCTCTAACGGAGCTCTGAAGTTTTCTCGTGTCACGCTGGGCGACGCCGGGACGTATCAGTGTCTGGCGAAGAATGACGCAGGTGTAGCCATCGGCAAGACGAAACTAATCCTTCAAGGTAACGACGGAGCCTCCCGTTGCGTTTACTCCTCCAAGTCAAGTTGTGTCGTTTCAACAAATTACATATTAATGTTTACTTCCTCGTGTGTCTTCAGTTCCACCCGTGTTGAGTGTTCCTCGGGTGGAGTACGCCGCAGTGTTAGGTCAGCCGGTCAGTCTGGAGTGTGTCGCTGATGGTCAGCCTCAACCTGAAGTGACCTGGCACAAAGAGAGGAGGCCTCTAGTGGACAGCGCTCACATACGAATCTTCGCCAATGGAACTTTGACTATTACGTCTACCCAGCGCAGCGACGCAGGTCTGTACACGTGTACAGCAAAGAACCAGGCGGGCAGAGCCAGCCAGGACATGAGGCTGGTTATTCAAGGTGAGTCACCTGTGCGTCATTATTTCATGTAACAGATGAATGTATAAGATTTATGGTTAACAGTTAATGTTCCTTTTCAGTCCCACCCATGATTCCTCCGTCACAGACTGAACTGTCAGTCATTCAAGGATTCCAGGCGCTGCTGCCCTGTGCCGCTCAAGGTTCACCAGAGCCCAGGGTATCATGGGAAAAGGACGGTACAAGTGTGCCCAGCCTGCCGGGAAAGTTCACCATCCTGAGATCAGGAGAGCTGATTATCGAGAGGGCTGAGGTGGGTACGAGTCCAAACAGCAGTCTGAGCTACATCTGTTCAGCTCTCAGCATGTGGATCAGCTCTGGTCGCTCTCCTCACACAGGTCGGGGACGCTGGTGTGTTCACATGTGTGGCGACTAATGCGGCCGGGTCTGCGAGACAAGATATCCAGCTGTCCATCAACATGAGGCCCGCCTTCAAGGAGCTGCCAGGTGACATTACCCTCAACAAAGGTCAGAGTCTGGCCCTGTCCTGCCAGGCTCAGGGGACCCCCTCTCCTGCCATCTCCTGGACCGTCAACAACAGTCCTTATCCAGGTACACACGCCGTTATACATGAGGCTAATACAAAGTTATCAACTCAAACAGAAACATCTGATCAAGTGTTTAATTAAAACTGTTCCAGGTGCGACTGTAGACGGGGCCGGCAGGAGCTCTGTGATGATAGACAACGTGTCGATGAGTGACGCCGGGACCTACAGGTGCATAGCAGAAAACAGCGTGGGCTCCATCCATGCGCTCTCGTTTGTTCGTATCAGAGGTGAGTGACCGGTCAAGGACGAGTCTGAGCTTTTCATTTGGCTTTCAGAGGAAAATTCACATCGACCTTTTCCATGTTGTAAATCCTTGTTGTGTCTCCAGAGCCTCCGGTGTTGAAGGGTGAAGCTCACATGTCTCAGACAGTCGTCCAGGGAAGCTCGGCTGTCCTCGACTGCCCGGTCCACGGAGACCCCAGTCCTGTCCTTCGCTGGCTCAGAGATGGAAAAGCACTGCTCCATTCCCTGCGAATGCAAGCGCTTCGCAATGGATCCTTGGTCATTTACAGCGTCACTGTAAATATCTCTACATTTTTATTTTTATTTAACTTCTCAGAGCAGAAACCTTCTCTCTTCCTCACGTCAAACCTGAGTGATTAAACCTCCTCTTCTCTCCGCTGGCATCACTCATAGTTTGATGCTTTAGAAAACATGGTGTTATTTATCTTATCCCCTCTCCCCTGGTGTAGAGGAACAGTGAGTGACTGTCCTGCAGCGTCCCTCTCCCTCTAAATCAGATTCACTTCAGACAGAGAGGCTAACAGCATTAGCAGCAGAGGGAGGAGGTGAACAGAGAGCTGGATGTTCCCAGACTCTGCCCCCTTTTCTCCTCAGGCTCTAACCTCGTTAGCTCTCTAACTGCTGCCGTAATTGCACAGCCTTCAGTTGGGACTTTCTCACAAACAGATGACTGTCCATCCTACAGAGCAGTCAAACGTGAAGTTTCCTCTCTGGGGCCCATAATTGATTGACAGCTGGCAGGGTAGTCTGATTGGCAACTGAGAAGTGAGTCTGATTGGCAACTGAGTTAAGGACGAGGTGAGTGATCTGAGGCACAGTTGTGTCCTTAAGGCTTAAGGATATTTCCTCAGAGTGCCTATTAAACTGAACCGTCCTCCTCTACCTGTTTGATGTTCAGGCTGCAGATGAAGGAGAGTACCAGTGTGTGGCTGAGAGTGAGGCTGGATCGGCTGAGAGGACCATCACGCTCAGGGTTCAGAGTAAGTAGGAATAAATTAGAGTTTATCTCCCTCTTTGCAGAATAGAAATATTAATTCTCTCCTTTCTACAAAGTCAACGGAGGCTACTCGAACTGGGAGGAATGGAGTCCATGTAGCGTTACCTGTGGTCAAGGCTTCCAAGAGCGAATCAGACTATGTAACAACCCCGCACCAGCCAATGGCGGCCGGTCATGCAGTGGCCCCAGCATAGACTCCAGGAAATGTCAAGTCGGTCTCTGTCCAGGTACAGTTCTTTTTTTCTTCCCGCCTGAGGACAGCGGCGGATTTTTTTAATGTCATTTTGGTCGGGTCAGAGGGTTCGTACTGAACGCTGTTTTGAGCATGAGTGGACGATTGGAAAGGTTAGCTTAGAGACGGAGCAGACCCAGAAAAAAAACTAATTTACAGGATTTAAAATGTTTGTTTGATCCACCCATAATCCAGACATGAGTCTTCTGTAGTTCGTCTAAATTCATTTTACATGTTTGGTCACGAAAGGGGAAACTCCTCGCAAGACCAGAGGCAGCCTGATCGGCATGGTGAACGAGAGAGAGTTTGGCGTGTCTTACCTGGAGGCCAACATCACCGACAATGAGGTGGAGGGGAGCAGCACTCTGCAGGCACACCTGGACAACATCCCTCCCACTGTGGGTGAGTGAACGCAGGAGACAGGCCTGGTTAGATCTGCATTTTAGAGTTTATTCAGACGTACAAAGGTAAGAAAATAAACGGTCTTTACTCTACTTTATTATCCTCTCTAATAAACACAAACAGCTAAAAACAAGTGGAGTTAGTTTGTAATCCAAGTAGACCCTTTTGCTCCCCCTGCTGGCTGTTTGAAAGAAAAGCAGGTTTTTGGAGCTTCACTATGAAACCAGTATTCAGTCGATGGTTATTAACTTCCTCTCTGTGACATATTTCTAGTTCCTGCAGACCTCATTAACTGCATTTTTGTGGTCTTGCTGAGGTCTGATGCTGCTCTGTTGCAGGTCCTCTGATGAGGGTGCTGGTGTCTGTGTTTGCTCCCATCTACTGGACCACCGTGATGCAGACCGGAGAAGCTCGAAACGGCTTCTCCCTCACTCAGGGCCAGTTCAGACAGGAGTCTCAGCTGGAGTTTGAGAGCGGTGAGTACGACCGGCACCTGTTTTGTCAAAGACTTTGTCTATTTGTGAGGCAAATTTGTCTCTGTAGTACGCACAATAACCAGCAGATGGCAGCACTCACCGCTGCAGATGTAGACTCATGCTTTCCCTGCTGCTTCTTTGTTACTCTAAATGAGACGTGATTGCTCTTGTTGTTTCTAATCTCTCTAAACAGGAGAGATCCTCCGTCTGACTCATGTGGCCAGAGGTGTGGATTCAGAGGGAGTCTTACTCATCGACATTGTAATTAACGGATTTGTGCCTCCTTCACTGACATCATCTCATCTGAGCCTTCAGGTGAGCTCGCAGCTGCTCGAATAACACTCTCAAAGACCCGACACATATCTCACCAGATCGCCCGTTAATGCGCTGAAGATCCTCTCCGGTCTGTCTGACCTGATTTCTCCCGTGTCCCTCAGGAGTTCGATGAGTCATACGTGCAGACAGGCCAAGGACAGCTGTACTCATGGTCCTCGCAGACCCACCAGAGAGGAGGAAACCCCTTGGTGCTGCGCTGCAACCACACCATTATTTATGAGGGCCAGGAGGAGCGCCAGGGCCCGCTGCTGCAGCTGCTCAAGGTCTCGGGGATGAACAGCGTCTACAACATGTTTACCCTCACGGTCGACTTCCACATCACTGCCAGCCTCCTGGTACCAGGTCTGATTTAAAACCTCACCATCTCACGGAGCACTAAAAGTGAATGTTGAAACGGCCGTAAACTAAACTTTATTGTTTGCAGATGGTTACGATGAAACCTGCCCTGAAGGTTTCGCTCTGGACACGGCCTCCTACTGTGCTGGTATGCTGCTCTCCTTTTCATGCCTCCTGTATCTCTAACCTTCATCTCAGCGTTTGCCAGATTTGTTTATGTAATTAACTGTGTCCGTATTAGACGAGGACGAGTGTGCGCTCCAGTCTCCCTGCTCCCACTCATGTAACAACATCATGGGAGGATTTTCCTGTTCCTGCCCCTCTGGCTTCACCATCTCCGCGGACACGAACACATGCACCGGTGAGACAAAAACAGCCGTTCCTGGAGCTTGTATGAGATCCGCAGAGTAAAGGGAAAATCTTCATCTGCCTAACATTTGGTCTTATACTTATGTTTCCGTTTAATATGATACAGATATCGACGAGTGTTCCCAGAGTTCACACATGTGCCACTACAACCAGCAGTGTGTCAACACAGTGGGAGCGTATCGCTGCCAAGCCAAGTGTGGGCCCGGATTCAAACCCAGCATCACAGGGACCAGCTGTGAAGGCAAGTCCATCCCCGTGACTCCAACTGCTCTGTCATTTACAGAGAGACAAAGACACGGTCACGTTACTGTACACTGAGCTGACTGCGCTTGGTTTACGCACACACTTTAGTGACTTTTGAAAGTATCCGTCAGACAAAAACAGCTCTCATTCTCACCCTGAAGTTGATCACAAGTGTTTTCAGAGGCCTTGTGTGGTCGGATTTGTACAGTTTCTTGTCTCGGCTCTCTCACCACCTCCTTTTTTAAAACCGTACAGAGCAGAAAGAGACAGATGTGTCAATTATGTTGCAGATGTGGATGAGTGCCAAGAGTCTGCCATCTCGCCCTGCCAGCATCAGTGTCTCAACACCCTGGGCTCCTTCCGCTGTATCTGCCATCCTGGATACCAGCTGTCAGGACACCGCTGCCTCGGTCAGTTACATAACGTGTTGGCACTGTCATGTGCCTTTAAGAGCCGAGTAAAGTACATGAAAAGTCATTATACTGTTTTAGTTTCAGCCAATTAACTCATCGATTATAAAAGTACAGACTATAGCAGTTTAAAAAGTGTCTAACAGCTCTGTTTTAACTTTTCAGACATCAACGAGTGCACGAGGAATGTGTGCCCGGCTCATAAGGAGTGCAGAAACACAGAGGGAGGATACCAGTGTCTCGACAGCTGCCCGGCTGGCCTGACCAAAGCTGAGAGTGGAGCCTGTGTTGGTGAGAAGCTCTCAGATGTTTTAAATCGATGCCATCTTCATCGAGGAGACTCTGAATGTAACATCTAAACAAAAACAGAGAACTCTTTACGCCACAGAGAGACAATACTCACTCATTCATGCAGAGTTACACCTGATTTCAAACACCGAGTCGACACACATTTGACTTGTGACAGCGTGTCAACCTGGTCCTGACTGTATTAGAGTAATCCACCCAGTGTTAACAGGACTGTCGGCTCCTTCAGACCTCCTCAGAGTTACATAACGCAGGATCAGATTTCACAGGATGGCATCTGGGAGAAAAATGCAGCAAGCGGTCGATCTTCAAAAGGAGAAATTTTTACTTTTCCACAGTCGTCGTGTTTGTTTGGATGCACAATATCATGGGTGTTTTATTGGTGTCTGAATAATAGCTCAAAAAGTTTAATATCAGCACAGCAGATTAAACATTTCTGAGGATTTAACTATCAGCCAAAAACTTGACACATTAATTACCTGATGACAGCTTTGGATAAGTCATGCATCCTTCCTAATCTGTGCACAAGGGAACGAAGGATCCTCTTTAATACAGGCTGCATCAAAGTATTTTAGTAATATCTGTGTAGTATTAAAGTATAAGCTCTGCAGTACTCTTTTATTCTAGTGTCATATTTTCTGCAGGATTTGCACATTAAATATTCTGAACTTCACCTTTCTCAGATATCGATGAGTGCCAGGATGGAAGCCACATGTGCCGCTACACTCAGGTCTGTCAGAACACGATTGGAGGTTACGGTTGTGTTTGCCCCAGAGGTTACAGGTCTCAGGGAGTCGGCCTCCCGTGTCTGGGTAAGACTTCTCCTCTTCTCCTCCACCAATCACCTTTGACCCGACATGTACCTGATCCTTGCGCCACTTTTCGTTCCGCCCTGCAGACGTCGACGAGTGTCAGCAGACTCCAAACCCCTGCGCCTTCCAGTGTCGCAACGTGCCCGGCAGTTTCAGGTGCCTGTGTCCTCCTGGTACCGTGCTGCTCGGAGACGGGCGTTCCTGCGCCGGGCTGGAGAGAGGGACCACCTTCACCAACGGCACCAGGGTCAGGGCGAGACTCCGCCCACAGCTGGTGTCGTCTCTGGGCAGGCCGATCCTCTCACGCTCTCAGGGAGTCTCTCGCATCACCAGGCAGAGCTGTCCTGCAGGGTACACCAACAGAGACGGCACATGTGTCGGTGAGTGTGCATCAACGCAAAACCACGAGGAAATTAAATAACTCAAGATGTGTTAAAACGCTCCAAAACAGATGTAGGTCTTTATGTTTTATGGAAGAGTGCCACCCTCAAAACTGGAGCTCTGGATAGTCAACACATTATATTTTTACAGGAGGGATTAGCCTCTCCAGAGTCCTAATAAACCTCGGAGGATCTGCCAGCTCGAACTAACGTTAGCGTCTCTACTCAGGGATTAAAACAAAAAAAAAACCTTTGGACTGGTAATGTTCACGTTTAAATCAACTTACAGGAGAGCGCTCCATATAAGTCCTCATGATTGTGAACCAGTTTTTTTCCCCAAAGATGAAAGAAAATGTACTTTTTTTTTAGAGTGTGAGGGCCACAGATACGACCTTACTGTAACCTCAAAGTTGTCAGTGAGAAGATCCACATTAGAAGAAAAAGCAAATATGACAGAATACAAGAAAATAAACATTGAGAGATCAGTCTGTGAGAAAAGAGGACGTTATTTTAATCCTAAAAAGAGCTGTAATCATGACTCTGATCTTAAAGCAGTCATAACACAGGACAGAGATACTCTTACAAGTGTTACAGAGCGCCAAAAGCACGAGATAAGATAAGATAAGATATATGTTTATTTGTCCAAAAGGGGGAAATTCAAAAAAATCAAACTATGCAGTTATTGGGCAGAATATTTTTATTTCCTTATTTCTCTAAATATTCTCCCTCCAACCAGTGAAGATGCATCAACACAATATCATCATAAATTCATAATATCATATAATAAAGTAGAGTTAGCGTTTAGGGCATACTGGCCTTCACACAACTAAACTGTGTCTTTAAAATGTAAATGTTTTTTATTTATACAGCTCTTTACAACAACACTTTCAGTGAACCAAAGTGCTTCACAATACATAGAAAATAAAAATGAATGAGTAAAAACATACGCCAGCATAAATAAGTTCGTTTTTAATCAGGATTTGAAAAGGCCCAGGTCGGACATAGGTCTTATCTCGGTGGGGAGTTTATTCCAGAGTCTGGGACCAGAAACTGAAAAGGCTCGGTCACCTCGGTGTTTAACTTTTGACTTCACATGTGACGGTAAAAACACGTTAAACTGTTTTCTTTGTTTCTTCATCCAGATGTGGACGAGTGTCTCCTCAGGAAACCGTGTCAACACAAGTGCCAGAACACCGTGGGCAGTTTTCAGTGTCTGTGTCCCCCCGGGTATCAGCTGTTACCCAACGGCAGGAGCTGTAAAGGTCAGCTTTAAATCTGCGACCACGTGACCTCCATAGATTCACTCAGCAGCTGAACTCCTCACTCTCGTCTCTTTGTCTCCAGATATCGATGAATGTGTCGAACAAGGCATCAAGTGTGGAGCCAATCAGATGTGTTTTAACACCCGGGGAGGATACCAGTGTTTGGACACGCCCTGCCCAGCCTCGTACCAGAGCGGAGGACGCCCCGGGTAAACACTGAGAACTGAGAACTGAAAACTAGATCAGACGATAGATGTTGTGATATTGATCTCCTATCCTCTTGGTCTTTCAGGACCTGCTTCAGGCCGTGCTCTCTGGACTGTGCGGCGGGAGGATCCCCTCTGCTGCTGCAGTACAAGCTCCTCACTCTCCCCTCCGGTATCCCCTCCAATCACAACGTGGTACGACTGTCGGCTTTCTCAGAGCTGGGCGTCCTGCAGGAGCGCACGTCTTTCACCATACTGGAGCAGGAATCAGAGACGGGTGTGCTGGGTCGAGTGTTCGGCATCAGGGACGAGGCGGGCAGAGGGATCATTTTCACTCGGAGGGCTCTGGACAGACCGGGACTGGTGCGGCTCAAGGTGCAGGCCACCACCATCTCACCGGGGGGACGCATCACCTATCAGAGCATCTTCATCATCTACATCTCCATATCCACGTACCCGTACTGAGACTTTCCCTGACCGCTCTACTGATGACTCTGCCTCACAGCGGCCTCCTCAAACCCTGTGACATGGACACACTGGGCCCTGCAAAGAAGCTTTAACGAGGACGTTCCCGTGTGTGTGCCTTATCGGTGCATCTTTCGATCAATCGTGAAAATGCAGAATGTAAAGAGAGTTTTTATGTCGCTTTATTTGTCATTTTGTATTTTAATTTCTAACGTTTCTCCTCGTGTGTTTGCAGCCTGCACTTAGAAATAGAAGACTTAGATGTTTCCCCCTTTTTACTCTAATTTATTGAAGTCATTTGAACGCATCACCTCTCGTCCCAGAGGGTTCGAGGGAATAAGAGTCGACCAGCTTTATTACGACAATCCTTGAACGGCACATTGTAACTGTGGCTTGTAAGTAGTGACAGTGTTTGATCCATTTTGTGTGGTTTTTTTACTCTTTTTTAACGTTTTTTTATCATGTGAGAAAGTTTAAAGGTGCTATTCTGAATGTAGTCACGTTTGGTAACATTAACTTCTCTGTGTCGGTGATGAAACTCATGTTTATGTGTTTAATTCCTGCAGTTTGACATTCACGTCACTTAACACGACTTTATTGTTCCCTTTTTTTAAAACACGTCATCCTGCCTTAAAAAAAAAGTGCCTTTATATTTATACATCAGAGACTTAGGGGAGTTATCGAAGAACCAAAAACACACCCAACTGCAGTTAAAACGTTCATCCTCTGGTTTCAAATGAACTTTTCCCTGTCGTTGTAAATGAGTGTTTGTTATTGTTGTAAAATTAAAACAGCCCACACTTTTGCTTCTGTCTGTTTCTTCCATTCCCGCTCCTGCCTCCCTTTTCGGTTGTATTTTCGAATAACATCTCGCTAACGACAGTTTGCATGTGTCAAACATTACTGCTGCAAACTTTTACGATAAAACGAGATGAGAACGTACACGCAGCGCACTCGGGGGAATCTGTTTGGCTGCAACATGAACGCCGCCTCATTAACTCCGAGAACAGATGACAATCTGCCTTTGAGATTATTTCCACAGTGGCTCACATTTCTACTTTGTAAGGAGGTGTGACAACAAAACCGGGAGCGTGTTTACTCGCCGATGTAGCTGGATAATGTTTATTTTTGGACCTGATTTTATAGGTAGAAGTCTGTTAGTTTGTACTCTGAGAAAAACTTTAAGATGTTTGAGATTTGGGGTGTTAGGGTGTTGATTTTGGAGGATTTTGGTCAGGTGGTGGCACTATAACAAAGTTTTTTTCTTTTTCCTAATTAAAAGTCTCTGAAATTTTTTTTATTTTAGATTTAGAGGTCAAAGATGAATCTATTAGGGCTGCAACTAACGATTATTTTAATAATCAGATAATCGGTTGATTATTTTTTCGATTAATTGATGAATCGGATACAAAAACATTTTTTCATTTCAGATTCAGAGGTCGATTATGAATCTATTCACACTTTAAGTTTGATAGAAAACACACAGACTGACTTTATACAGCTCTTCTAGTAGAAGACAAGTGATTAAATATCGGAAAATAACCATTAGCCAAGGGGAAGGTGAGACTAATGTAAGAGTCCTTTTAAATCAAGAAGCTTCCCCCTTAAAGGGCCTCAAATAAGAAGGTCCAATCTTGGATCAGTCTCGTTAAAGTTCACAGTTTTTTTTCCTCTGACACAGTTTTCACAGACGCTCTGAACCAAACAGTCTGTGAAGTGAGGTCATTTATTGAACTGATCACTCTTTGGCTAAACTCTGAACATTTTTACCTCATTAAACACTCTTTTCAGATCTCACTCCCTCTTCCTACGAAGCTCTAAACACTTTCTCACTCACTCAAATGTGGTTTAAACACATTTTAGGTGCCCGTGGGTGAGGGTGACAGCAGGTGTCACAAGTTAAACTCAATTACAACACAAGTATCACTGTTAACACACGATGACTCCGAACTGTAAAAGATTGTTGCTGACTGTGTTAACGCTGATACAGAGTGTAGAGGTGAGCTGAAAGTAGGGCTGGGCGATAAACGGAAAATCACAGATACTGAAATTTTCGAGTGGAGGAGTTCAAGGATCTCGGGATCTTGTTCAAAAGTGAGGGTAGGATGGAACAGGAGATCGACGGGCGGATTGGAGCGGCATCAGCAGTGAAAGAGCTGAGCCGTAAGGCGAGACTTTCGATTTCCCGGTCGATCTCTGTGCCGATCCTCACCTATGGTCATGAACTTTGGGTAATGACCGAAAGAACAAGATAGCGGATACAAGCGGCTGAAATGAGTTTCCTTCGCAGGGTGTCCGGGCTCAGCCTTGGAGATCGGGTAAGGAGCTCGGACACTCGGGAGGTGCTCAGAGGAGAACCGCTGCTCCTCCATGTCGAGAGGAGTCAGCTGGGGTGGCTCAGGCGTCTGGTTATGACGCCTTCTGGACGCCTCCCGGTAGACATGTCCCACCGGGAGGAGACCTCGTGGCCGGCCCAGGACCAAGTGGAGGGATCATATCTCTCGCCTGGCCTGGGAGCGCCTGGGAATCCCCCTAGAGGAGCGAGTGGAAGTGGCTGGGGTGAGGGCCGTCTGGGCTTCCCTCCTGAAGCTGCTGCCCCTGCGACCCGGACCCAAAATTCAATATTTTGTCAACTTCTCTCCTTTTCAAACTAACGTGTCTTAAATTCACGACCTGTTATTTCCTCGACTGTTGAGTTCATATTGAAAAACCTGCAGCCTGATGTGAATATACTGCAGGAAGGTCAGGTAATACCTCGGCTGCTCAGTAGATGGAGCAGAGTTCAGGCTGTTTTTCAGATGCAGAAACTGATGCTCCCTCAGAGCCGGATTATTGTTGGTCTCTTTGCTCTTATCACTGTCACATGCAGAGCTGCTGGTTGTAATAAGTGTCTAAACGAGGAAAACACGAGTGAAACGGAGGAGCTGCTCTGAACCTCACATGTGGATTCAGACATTAACAGTAAAGTGATAAAGACGAAGCTGTTCGCCTCTTTTTCTGCAGGAGTTTGTTTTTGATGTCCCCGCCGGATAACAGAGCGGTGACGACCTTGTGTGTCACACATGTGTAGAAACAGCTTTTCCTCTAATCCCCCTGAGATGATGCTGATAGAGAAGGTCGAGGTAAGCTGACCTGAACGGAGCGCGGTGAGCGTGTTTGTTGATGCTTCGGTGTGTGTGTGTGTGTGCGTGTGTAGAAGCGGGCCGTTTCCTCCGTTTGTTTGGCTGTTTCTGTGGTGTGATCATTAGCTGGAGAGTGATGTCAGGAAGTGCGTGTTTTTCAGAGAGCGTTTATATACTGCTCAGTGTTTGGGTTTACATGATGTTAGTGGGTCACCGAGCGGCTATGTGAGTCAGCTAACCTAGTTTTCTTTCCAAAATAAACCACCTCCAGGACAATAATAATAATATGATAAATAACTATAACAATCACAGAGTCAAACATCGATGTCAGACGTCTAAATAAAACATCAGTTATTTTCTAACTGAGCCTAAAGCTTCATCATGTTTCAGGGAACGACGAACATCTGAAGGTGATTAACACGACTGTGCAGCGTTTTCATGCCTGTGAAGAACAGGTAATGACCAACGCAGTAAAGCAGTAGCATGAGGACTTTAACAGATACAAATATAGCATTATAAAGAAAAAAGAAAAGAGTCTAAAGAGGCAGGATCTCTGAGAAACGCAGCAGGACGACACGCTAACATGGAGGCCGCTCGTTCATTAAGGTTTTATAAAGCTTCACAGATTTCCTCCAACACATGTTCTATACTTTAAGGCAGACTGCAGGCCGTCTTCCTCTCCTATAAAACACAGAGTATAACCGAACATGAATGCTTCAGGCTGAGCGATGGCTCCCAGGAACAACTCCCCCACTGCTTTACACAGTCAGGATGTCAAGAGAGACGAGGACCGACTGTGATCCACGCGCTAATGAGCACAACGCCGCCGCTTATTAGCCGGTATAAGCGCCGCAGCTCCGAGAGCAGCCATCATGATCGCATTAAAGTCTGCAAACAAAAGAATTCAGCAGCTTAAAGTCTTGTCAAACATCTCACCGTGTTGGGAAATAATCTCTAGACACTGGAATTGTTGTTATTAATGCCAACAAGATAGCATCTCAAACTTGACTCTGCACTTCTGCTGTTATGTAGACAAATAAACCAGGTTTAGGCTACAATAGTGAGTTAATAAGGAGAGCACATACATGAGAAGACAAGGCAGGGAGAGCAGCAGCAAAAACAATAAATATATGATACTGGAGGTGAGCTGTGGACTCGACTTAAACGTAAATACTCTGAACTACCTCTTCATCGGACACAAAACGCAGTGAGACCAGTTTAGGAAGCAGCTGATGAAGAATAAAAATAATAAATTTTATTTACATACCTCATATCTGATAAAGCGTCTGATATTTCCCCGAGGACACAAACAGAGGAAGACACTAAACATGAAACCGAACACTAAACATATGCTCATTTAGCTCTCCATCTGCTGCATGTAAACACAAACATACTTTGTAGTCAAACTTTAACAGCTTTATCAGGTGATTTATTTACATCCAATGTGGACATAAGAATAGAATAAGAATAACTTTATTTATCCTTTAAAGCAGGATACACTCACTGAGTTTTTGTATCTGTTACAGACACATGAAGATAAAAAAAATCAGGAATTGAACAGTTTTGATCGTACTCTGTGTGGTGTCCTCCGATAATCTCAACACAACACTCACAAAATGATTCTGTTCCACCACTGATCTACAATCTAGTCCTCCGAGACAGAAATCTCGCCTGATAAAATGTGATCTGAAGAAAAACAAAGAAGAAGAAACATCGCCACAACTGGGAAACACAAAACGCAACATGGAAGAGGACACACAAGAGGAGGGATGATGGTGGTTTCGGGAGTATTTTTGACAGAAAAATCACGTACTAAACCTCCGTACTCCTGTAGGTCGGGCTTTATTTTTATTCGCTTTATTTGGTTCCTTGCTTCTCAGTCAGCTGGCTTCTTAATTGGCTTCATTCCATTTCACTTGACAATTCACAGAGTCATGACACGTGAAGAATTTTGGTCGTTAATATTGAACAAGTTTAATGTTTACGATTGTCGGCCCCGACCCGTTTCAAAACCAATTATCAGGACAAATTCACTCTTAATACACTTCAGACCACAGGATGGGATAATCTTAGAAGACATAAGATAATCCTCCAATTGTCATCCTTGGTTAGGAGGAGAAAAATCAGGAGAAAAACAGCCCGATTATCTTCATGTGTGTACCCCGCTTAAGGGAAATTCAATGTCATGACATGTCTTCAGTATCAGCTAATGCAGCTTCGTTTCTGTACTGTAGTGTGGATAAATATATTAAAATATGAGTCAATCACTTTATTAAAGATTTGAGTTGAAAAATGGTGAAGTGCAAAAGGGTGCAGTTCCTTGATTGTCCACTAGGGGCTGACCCAAAATGACCAGGAGAACTCATTAACACCCATGTTAAATTCTACAGCAACACTAAACATGTCTGCAGCCTGGTGATAGTTTTGGTTTTGGTTGGAATAGCCTCGTTCTCTTTTTTTAAACCTATTCTATACATGTTTTTAGACTTATATGAAGGTATAAGGTGTTAGTTTTGCATAATTTGAGACTCGGCTAAATTGTCTGACATGCAGGTACATTCATACGAAGAGCAAAATTAGGTTTATTCAACATTTACAAAGTTGAAACAGGTTTTGTGGCGCATCAAAAACTCCTCCTGCTTGGTGTAACCGCGACTATACCAACCATGTCACGATGCACGCA